ATTACTTACTCTTAGAAGAACAGTATTTCATGGTTACTTTATCTATAACTTTCTGCTAGCAGAAATAAGCTACAACTTTGAGGTGGCATATGTAGTGTACAGTCTATTGTGCTATTGCTGACTAGAAGTGGCATCCAAAAAGAAAACAATTCTTGTCACAACTTTATGAAGCAGCACAAAGGCACTAAGAGTCCAAGTACATTTGGTGATTTTTCTTTTGAAGTCATTTCCTCAATTTGACTTGTTCTTTTGGGTTAAATATCTATTATTTCATTAATAAATTGGATAGCAGAAAGTACACATTTTGCTTTAAAAATTGGTCAGGATATAATGTCAGAGCATTTTTTTGTCAGACATTTGAGATATTTTAAGTACATAAGTGATGTTGCTCAGCTAGTGAAAGATAAAAAGGTGAAAAACTTTTTAAACCAAGAAGGAGCTGGCAATGAAACAAGAGAGTACAAACAGTTCAAAACAGCACCCTTGAATCAAAATTATTTTCTGGTGTATATCAACCCACGCTTGCAGCAGTAAGTATAATGTGCCAGGAGTCTTTGTAGGGGGATTACAGAGCAGGATGCATGTATTCACAGTTGTTCTTTGCCATCCTGTTTCTTTTTTCTTTTTGACTATGTGTTCCTATAATGGTAGAAAGTTAGTTGATGCTAAAAACCATTATAAAACCCGTAACAAATGCCAACAAACAATTCCTTTCCACATGTACAGAGATTTATTTTTTTAAAACCTGTCTTCATGCTGCTTGCCATTAGCTACCCACTCACAATTCCCGTGGACTTTACCCGAAGTTCTGCATGTGAAGTAATTATAGACTTAGTTTTTCTGAAAGCAAACTTTTTTTGCTCTATTATTCCTCAGGTTATCTGCTTTGGAAAGCATATGGTTGGCTTGGTTGCATGTTCTGTAATGGGTTTTAGGCACATTTCAGTCACCAACACTGCAGTCTTCGCCTTTCTTTAAGCTTGTAAAATATTTTTGGACCTTCTGTCACAGTACTTTCAGATGATCAGCTATTCACTTGTCATTTGTTTCAATTAGATTTTATTCTGTGTTATAAACTGTAACTTGCAGCTTTAAATGCCTCTACTTCTACTAAAGAGAAAACTTACTTCATTCTACTCTGTACTGGTAAATAGGTGCTTATTTCATCTTTCTGATTGATACCTGGCCTGGAAAAATACAGTGGGGTTCAGTCAGTTACGGTATTTTCCTCTTCCAGAAGCACTTATTTAATCATTTTTAAAAAAATGTACAGTTGGTGCTCAAAGTAACATTTGTTAAGATATATTTAATAGAAATTTACATTTGCATTTGATATTCACGGACATGGGTACATGTATTTTTTTAAGAAAAGGTATTGTAACACTATGGCACTGCTTTTATAGCCAAAGTATAAAAAAATTAGAAAACTGACATGTAAAGACTGCAGTTCATTCTGATACTGTATCTTATTAAACAGGATGACTTTTCATTTTATGAGATTATCCAGCACATTAAGCTGCATGCCTTAAGCTCTCTCTAGGATTGTGTTCCTGATAGACGACTGTTTGGAACTATGAAGCAAAGTCTGTAGTACTACTTTAACTACCTTCTGAAATACTGTACAATGTTAGAATAATTTATTTTGCTTTACAGGAGTTTGTCACGTATTGACTTTAATATTGTATTTTGGTAATAAACTTCTTTTGTTAAACACTTTAGTCACTTTTATTTCACCTGTGTGAAATACAAATATGGAAAATTCAAACACTGAACCATGTTTAGAGACATGGGAACCTGTTTAAATCAAGAAATATTTTAAATACTTGACTGCCATTTCTTGCTCATTGTTGTTATACTTTTAATACTGTTAACACAAGTTTTATAAAAGTAACTGTAGTGATGAAATATGATGCTATTAAGTCAAAATACTTGTAAGCCTGCACACAGTTATGATGGGACAAGGCTGCAGGACACATTTGCAAAGTTTCTTCATTATGAAGCTAGTGGGAATTTCTTCCCCAGTTTCAATGGAATGAAAGCTTTAGGCAGCTCATTTCAGCGGTGGGTGAAGGTGTGGGTATTTCCAAACTGAGCCTGTAGTTGATGAGTTATTCTAATATGACTTAAGATTTACTCTTGGATACATTAACCACTATGTAAGGCAGTCCAATGCTTTTTCTACCACTATGTTTAAGTAACACTATTTTACAGCGTGGCTTGCGTTAGTAGTTCAGGAATGACAGAAGAATTTGTATTGCTGGTCCCCTGCAATCATTTCCACAAAATGGAAAACTTCAATGACCCTAGCATTTTATCACATACAAATATATTACAAATATGCAGTGTTAAAAATTACAGTGTCAAAAAACACAGTAGAATTTAAATTACTAACTCCCCCTCAGTACTACTACCTGTTGGCAACTGCACAACACAGCCTGTGACTTAGTTCAGAGTAACATCTATCCAAGTTTTGGTTCTGTAGAGAAAAAGCTTTTGGTGGTCCCAACTTTACTGACCATGTACAATTACTGGATTTCTAAAGCTCTTGAATGATTATGTTCTGTGTAGATTCTACTGTGCATTGGCCTCTTTACAGGTAGTGGATAAGCAGAATTTCCATTCTAGGAAACATCTTCCACAGCATTCCCCATCTCAGAAATTTAAGTCCATTATCAGATATGATATGAAGGAGGATATAAAGGCGGTCAGATATGACCTCCTTTACACCAAAAAGTACACATACTCAAGTCTTCTTTATTTAGTGTAAAATCACTTGTATGATTTGCATACAATATGTTCCTTTAATGAACCTTCATGATGTGGTATTGATGCCATTAGTGATAAAAACAAGATACAATTAATGCCCATTGTAAACCTGTTATTCTTCACTTTTCATATTAAGTATTCCCCAAAAATGTACCACCTGCTTTATTGCTCAAAAAAACTAGAAGTAAATTGATTTACAGTAGAAATTTTTCACTATTTGGAGAGTTTAGCAGAGGAAGTAAGAGAAAATCATTTGTTCTAAAATACACTTCTGTAACATACAACATGTACCAAGACAGATACTGAAAAATTTCCTGGTTTCAAAGCTGAATTACTAGAGTGATAACTAGTTACTTGGCATCTCTGAGCATGTTTTCTATGGATTATATACCTCTGTGTTCAAAATAACTCTGCCAGTGAACCGTGGTTGTGGAAGTATTGCTGGACTGTAATGGTGATGGAAAATAAACTAATACTGTCCTGAAGAAATGAAATTGATCCCCACCTGTTCTACAGAATTTGTCTGGAAATCTGCTTTCTGGGATAGGATCAGGAAGTTGGTGTGCGGGTAGAGGCTTTATGGGGAACTTTTCTGTCTACGACTATCTTTAAAGACACTGCAAATAAAACTCACTGTAAGGGTAGGCTGTACCAGAAAAAAAAATGGTGCTGCTGTTTTCTGCTACAGAGGTAGGTAATAGTCACTTCCCCCTTGCATGTTTATGCTGCAACTGATAAAGAAATACACTGGAGCTTAGAATGAACTGAATACAAAATCATCATCATAGACTCATAAATGGTTTGGGTTGGAAGGGACCTTAAAGCTTATCCAGTTCGAACCCCCTGCTATGGCAGGGACACCTTCCACTGGACCAGGTTTCTCAAGGCCCGTCCAACCTGGCCTTGAACACTGCCAGGGATGGGGCAGCCACAGCTTCTCTGGGTAACCTGTGCCAGCACTTCAGCACCCTCACAGGGGAGAATTTGTTTATTTAAATTCGAATTATTAAATTTAAATTCAAATATCACTTCACACATATCTGGCACTACACATATTTGGTAAAAGCATAAATAATAATAAAGTAAAAACTTCTATGTCAGTATTACAGAGAAGAGCCGTTCCAGCCCGCCGAAGGCCAGCGGACAGCCAGACCCGAAGCGGGGCCGCCTCGGGAACACGGCGCAGGAGGACCAGCCCCGCTCCTCGGCCCGCAGCCTTTCAGAATTCGGACTACCTAGAACCCTCTGGAGGTGAGCAGCGATGAGTCTGGGACCGGGCTGACCTCACACGTTTCTACTCCGCAAATAGCCTTCTCCTCTACTTCCGAAAACCCCACGAGAAGCTGCGCTACCCAGGCCGCCGCAGGTCGCAGACAGGTTCCTCCACCGCGGCCCGTCCCCGGCTCTCAGCCCGCCCACTGCCCACCACCGGCGGCTCCTCCCCGCTCGCGCTTCCCCGGTCCGGCGGCTGCCGCCTGCCCACCAGCGCGCCGCGGCCTTGCGAGCCGCCGAGCGCCAAATCACCGCTGCTGCGTCCGCTCCCCACCGTCTGACAGCGGCAAACAAAAGGCGCAGCGTCCGCCCCCACTCCCGCCCCTTTCCCTCCATCGCGGTGGGACCCGGGCGGTCCCGCGCAGGCAGCGCCGGCAGGAGAAGCCACCCCCCCGCTGGAGCCAACCCGCGGCCCTCGGATCGTCGGTAGGTATCGGCCCCGCCAGGGGAGATGCGGAGGGGTAGGGGAGGATGCGGGCGGGCAGAGGAGCTACCGCCAAATAGGCCGCGCCGCACAGCTCCGGGCCGCGCAGGCCGCAGCAAGTCGTGCCAGCGGCGGGGAAGAGGCGGCGCCCTCGGAAGCTTACCGCGCCCCGCCGGGGGTGCTTCGGTACCAGGCCCGGCCCTTTCGCCTCTCCCCTCCCGCCCTTGCCCAGCGTCAGGGGCTGCTTCGCTCTCCGGCGGCTCACCCGTCCTCTCGCCTGTCTGCCGAGCTGCCCGACAGCACCGACGGGATCGCCCCGTGCTCCCCACCGTGCCCCTGCTCGGTGTCAGGGCCTCATCTCACCTCTGGCGGCTGCTGAGACGAGGCGGGATGTTCTCCTCCCGGCGCCCTGCGAAGGGCAGACCCGTTCCCTTCGGTAGAAGGTGTCAAGGCAAGCTGCCTGAGACTGGCACTGGAAAGAGAGGGCCTGGTTATGGTAACCATCTTGCTTGCATTAGTTGTCAGGTTTTCTACGGACCAGGTACTTAAAATCAACTTGGCTACATGCTCACATAGTTCCTGCCATGTGTTTTCCGAGGCATGCAGAAGGGGATGAAGCTAACGGCTTGTAAAAGCTTTAAACAACGAATTTGTGCAGCTGAGGTGCATCTCTCGGAACGTTACTGTTTCCAGTCTGTTACACCAGTGGTAACACAGTTACATTTGTTTATGCTCTGGGAATGGCATTCAAGATGGGGCATCATTGATTCTCAAATATGGAATGGCAGGTTGCAGCAGTTTTATGTATGGACCATGCTCACAGAGCAGAGAGCACCTGGGAGTTGGTGGGAATGACTAGCTGCTCTGCTCTTTGTTCTTTTTGTAATGTTTTCAAATTTCATGGTGCTTTAATAGAACAGAATATCAAGGGGTTTTATTTTTTTTTTTTAATGCCATCTCTTTAGTTTTTTATGACACACTTCTCTGGTATCACTTTTGCATTTTATGGCCCCCTTCCTTGGTATTTCCTGAAAGCCAGGATTTAAATAATCGGTTTTCTCTTTTAGGTGCCCAACCAAAATACCCTGAAAGGACTAATTTTAATTTGAAGGGCTTACACTTTTTCAAAGAAATGGTGCCTGGCATGTGTTTTGAGTCAAGGGCTAAAAGGGAGGGCAGTCAAAATAAGGAACCATTCTGAAAACCTGCTCAAGACTATGTAAAATGGTAAACTTAAGTCTTTACATATTTAAGATCATGTTTTCTGTACTTTCACTTGCACTCTGAGTTGTACAGATTTTAAAAAATCTTGCATTTTTGTAAGATCCATTTCAACTGCAGTATAGTTTTGTAAGTCAAAGTCTCAGAGGGCAGTAAAATATGCTTCTGTTTTCAGATCTTTCATACAGTATTAAGTGAGTGTTTGGGTAAGAAGATGCATTGCTTGTATATGTCCATTTAGGGGTCAGACTGAAGAATAATGAATTAAAATGGCTGGTATGATGACAACTGTAAGACAGAGAAGGGTTGGAAAATGCACAGAAGAAGCTGAAGAACAGCCTTCAGAGGAGAAGAGTATAAAGCCTGATAGAAAAATTCTGTCTGGTGCGTAATGAAAAGGATTGTAACATTCTGGCTTTTTAGTAGTGTTTAAGTTTTGGTACTTATCATAAGAACAAGATAGAACTAGGTATGTACCAAACACATTTGCATACTTGAATATCAACAAAATTAATTGCCTGAGACAGAGGGCATGCAAATTACTGCATGTCAATCTCATCTCTGTTTTAAAATCCTAATTTAAATTGATGAGAATATTTTTTGTCAATTTGGTATCAGTGAGACACTCGGATTTCATACAGCCATCATAGATTCTTAAACAAATCCAAGTTTATATCATTGGTAACATAAAAGGATTTGAAGACCTGAATGTGCTGCTTAAATATAAGCAGGTTGCACATGAAATCTGAATTTAGCTGCAAACACTTGATTTTTGACTATAGGACAGACTAGCTAGGTAAATTTAAATGAAGTGTTAAATGTCTTAAGGATCTGTTTAAGTAATGAAATACTGAGCATTTTTCTATGGAATTGGAGCTTTAGAGTTGGCAGAGTTTCTTCGGTTTGTTTTTTTTTTAATTATTTTAAGGGAGACGTTTTTATATGAATTGCAAATGTTTCTGTATATCCAGTTTGGGTAGATATGGGGAAACAACAATGTCGCTCTCCTTTCAAGTACACTTAGGCTATGTACAAAACAGGAAAGTGATCATAGTTCTTATTCAGGCCACCCCTCAGTTCCCTTGAACTGCATATTTGGTACCCATTATGTAGATGTCACACACAATACAAAATAGCAATTTCACAGATACGATTCCAGATCACCAGCATCTGTATTAAGTCCTATATCAACATTAAAAAAAAAAAGAAAAAAAGGAAAAAAAAAGCCTATAAAAAACTCCAGGAATATAAGTGTACAATAAATTGATTGAGCTACTTAGAAACACAACCTTTCTTTCCCATCATTCTATCTATAATCTTATTCTGATGTCAACAGGAGATCATCTGCAATTCAAAGCATGACACCATTATCAAAGGCTGCTTTGGCTGCTGTTCAGTCTCTTAGTGAGACTTTTGAACCTTCAGTGTTGGGTTGTTTAGTTTGGTTTGGGTTTTCACAAAAAACAAGCAATCCCTCAAAACCAGGCAGCCACTTAAAGATGTCTAAAGAAGATTTTAATTTCTTACTTTGTGATCTAGCAGTCATCCTGTATTGCTTTAATTAAAAAGTTTCTCTGGAGGATACTTTCAACTTAGATGTAAAAATTAGATGTGGTATTGATCTAGATTTTTATAGGATCATGGTGCTCTTAAACTACAACTACATTTTACCAGTTAAGGCACACTTCATTTCACTTTGCATGCAAATAAAATACACTTGAGTTTGCTATTAAAAAATGCCTCTCCGTAAAGACCTCTTAAAACCAAGTGTCCTGTTACCTATAGAATGCAAACTGTACTAGCACAGATAATATATAAATGAGTTTCCAGAATTCCTTTAAATTGAGTTATGTGTTTCACAATTAGAGTATGAAATTTTTTTCTTCTAAGATCATACAGGTGGAAAGCTGTGGAACATACTCTCCATAACTGTCGGTGGAATTGTTGCCATCTCTCTTGGATTTCTTACTTCTGTTTACATTGCTACACTGCATGAAAATGACCTGTGGTTTTCCAATATTAAGGTAACAGCCATTTTCATATTTTCATCAGTGCTTTCATGGACATTAATGAGTGTTAGTTGAAATTTCATTTATTTATGTATTTTTCTTGGAACTTGCTCAAAACCATAGAATATTTCATTAAAAAAAAAAAAAAGCTGTGCTTCCCACCACTTTTTAAATACTTTAAATACTACAAATATCTTTCCCTAATTTTTCTCTAGAAGTATTGCTACACAGCTCCTGTCTGAGTTGTAGCTACAGTTCTTCCAACCACTGATCATTATCTAGAACAGAATTTCAACAATCTACTATATGTTGCTGAATAATTGTCTTTCTTTTATGCAGATCAATCCAATGTCAAACAGAACTCAAACAATATGCAAAATCCTAGTACAGAGCTCTCTAATTGTATTTATACTGTGATACTGCACAGTTTCTTACTATTCAGTACTAATGTTATATGATGTTATCCTAAATGTGCAAACCTCAAAGCATATTTCAGACATTCACCAATGTATACCCAGCTATTCTCAAGATCCAGGACTGACTAGTTTTTTTCTAGAATCATTGCATGGGAAAATAATGCAGCTGTACACATATCCAAATTTAACCAGAGAAAAGAAGCAGGTAAGTCATTTTCCTTTTAGATTCTAAAAATCATTCTGTTAGGTCTACATATAATGTAATTCAAAGAGTACATGTATTTAATTGGAATACTTGCATTGCAGTGTGTCTTTCCTGCTATGCACCTTTTCTGTCCCAGGAAACATTTATATTCCTGTAATAAAAATAGTTGGAATTTACTGTAACAAGCGCTATTGTGTATTATACATATAATACTCTTTTGTACCCACTCTCCTCTTTCTTTGAATATATAGATAGATGGTATATATGTTGAAGGTACATCTTAGGTTTGCCTTTTCCTACTAAAACCCAAGATTGATTAATATCACAGGTATTATATAACTTGAAGTACAAACAGGCATGGACTTGTGGCTATGTATGAACATAATAAATACCATTTATGTACAAAAGGTGGAGGTTTCGCTCTGAAGACCCCACTGATACATGAACATCATGACTGCATAGTTACGAAATTGTGCAGTTTGCCAATTAAATTCAACCCTAAAAATGGAAAGTAAAGAGAGTTCATTATGCAAAGTCATGATTCTTAACTTTTGAGTAATTTAAGTCACAACTCTTATGTCCTAAAGTAGTGGGTGCCTTTCTGTAATTTCAGTTGCAGTTCACAGAAAGCCAGCTCAGTTTTGGACATCTTCCAGTAATGGCTTACCCAACTAGAAAACCTGTTCTGTAGTTGTTCTACTGTTTTATTTTATTTTTTGAATATGGCTTTCAACAGGGTATTTATTTCAGCTGCTGCAGTATGTGTGAATCTTGTTCTTACTTGTTAATAAATATACCTGCTATGATAAATTTGCCATGGTCATTGCAGAAAGATACAAAATTATTTTCTTATCAGAAAAACTGAAAATGCAGACCTTGAGGAGTGTTCTATGCTGTGAAAGAGCTGCATGATTGGTATTCCCTTTTTTATTCCAAAACTTCCTAGAAGAACAATTTAAAAAAAAAAAAAAAGAAAAAATACCAGAATACCATGTTACTTAGTCAGAAGCTGTGTTTGTGTACATTTCTAGCAGAGATCACAGAAGGTTATAATCACTTATCTTGACCAAACAATTTGAAAGGAAAAGTTTGACTGTCCTCTCAAGTACATTAAAACAACAAAGATTTCTGTTTATGATGGTGAAAGCCAAAACAGATTTCTTATCCAAAAATATTTTCTCAGTTTTCTGAAAACTTTCTGGCACAACACATAAAATGGCTAGTCTTTTTTCAGTTATTTTTCAATAGCAGTTTAGTGCCTGCTGCTCAAATATAGTATCTTCCAGGAATAGGATCTGCAGGGGGAGAATGGCATCACCTCTCCTCTCAGCTGTTGCATTGCTTGTTCAGATGCAAACTCTAAAGAAACTTCAAATGAGCCAAGGCCACGCAGCAAAGGAATACTATAACACGAATAGATAAACTTCTAGTTTTCATTGAATCTTCATCCCTTCTGAGTAACCCTTTAAACTATTACTATTGAATTTTACTTTAATAAAACTACTGCTTGCAAGAAGTCAGGAATAAAACTATCAAGTTTTAAATCTTTCCAAGATGCAGGATAAGAATCTGGGGATTCTTTCTCTGAAGTGCTGCTATTTTCTCTTTATACATTTTGAATATAAAAGAAAGATGAAAAAAGGTGGGGAAGTGGGTAGCCTGCTAATTAGTACTCTAGAAAACGAATGCATAAGCCACAAAGAGAAGCAGCGTAGTCCAGTACTTTTTCAAAGAAGTTGTGTAGTTATGGGTACTTTTACCCTGGGTCAAAAGTCTGATTTGAGTAGGAACCATGCCATTCTAACAGATGGGCATGAGGTTAACCAGCCAAGAGACAACATACAAGCATTAAATCTGTTTGCTGAAGGCGTGATTCTCAACTGGGAGCACTGTTAGCAGCTGTACATGTGTGTATAATATGCATTTCTGCTTGTGTGGTTGAGACTACTTCCAAATCTTTCTGACCTTAAACTGTACAACTAAAAATATTTTCAGTTACACAAATTGTGTTTCAGCCTTGTCAGAAAAGAAAAGTACTTGGAGCTTCACTTACGCTCTTTATAGAAAACTTCAACTCAGACCTTTGCTACTTGCTCAGTATTCTGAATGACTTGGTTAAAGAGTTTGAGGAAACCTAAGGGTTTTTTAGAGTTTTGCATTTGAGAGGAAGTCCATTGTATTTTGATTTTAATGCTTAATGTTAAGATACAGTTACGTAAATTGAAATTGTATGCAACTCTATATGTATCCTGGAGGATAGTTTTGGGGTTCTTTTAACTTGGAACACTGGTTAACTTATTTGTTAAAGACTCACTAATTGAATATACAGAAAGATAAGCATGTGCTCTTACAATGCTTACCCATAAGTCCTTATGTTTGTATTGACGTGGAATACTAGGAAAAGTATAAATTGCAGTAGAACTGGAAAAGTATTGTTAGTAAAACAGATGTTATCTTAGCATGAAACAGATGTAAAACTCACCAGTGTTTGTCTCATAAACTATAGCATTTGGTTGAATACAGCTGGTGCCAGGATTACAAATTAATCATGTTTGAATGTGGTTTTGCTAATTAGATCCCCCTCTGTGACTACTCTCTCCCCCTTAATAAATTCCAAATGTTAACATTCCTTCTTTTTTTGTTCCTTCCTCTTTTTTTTTTCTTTTTTTTTTTGTAATGAGCACTTGGAATCTTGGAATCAGCTACATTTTGGTAGTAGAAAACTTTTCAGTAGTGATGAATGTGAAACTAGATCTCTTTTGAGCTCCAGCATTCTCACTTTGCTAAGTGTATGGCTTTTAGTATTTAGTGCCAATGTCAGTTTCTTCTGCTGGTATTACAATGATTTGTATGTCACAGAGCAGCTGGAGAGTTTAACTGTGAGCTTGCATTGAATCAGATGCATTTTTATTTGTTGATTTTTCTCAGACCAGAACTAATATTGATTTAGTTTGTCAACAGTTTACTTCAATAAAGCAGATGATTTGAGATAAAATTCTGTAGTGAGCAGTAGAGGGGGAAGGAGTATGCTCTTTTATCTACCTTTATGTTAGCTTTGAAATAGTATTGATCCTGTTCAGCAAAAGAGACAGGGCGGTATAAGAAAGGTGAAAGTGGAGATTCTATGTAAGGTTGCATTAACCAGAATGGCATTCATAAAAATCACAGAAAACTGTAACATTCTGTTATTTCAGTAATGTACTTCTGTAAAGAAAGCTGAATTAGTAAGTTTATTTTTAGACATCTCGTTTAAGTTTAATAACTTGCATACATGCATGGTTTAAACCCGGCCAGCAGCTAAGTACCATGCAGCTGCTTGCTCACACCCCTTCTACCCTGGATGGGATGGGAGGAGAACTGGGAAAAAGTAAAACCTGTGGGTTGAGATAACAGTTTCATAATTTAAATATAGTAAAAAATAATAGCTATGATTATGATAATAATGATGTAAAGGAAAATGAGAGAGAGGAGTGAAACCCAAAACAGACAAGTGGTGCATAATACAATTGCTTACCACCTGCTGACAAGCACCCAGCCCATCTGCGAGCAGCTTTCTCCCTTTCCAATTCGCCAGGCACAATTCTATACCGAACATGACATTCTGTGGTACAGAATATCTCTTTGGCTAGTTCAGATCAGCTGTCCTGGCTGTGCTCCCTTCTGGCTTCTTTTGCCCCTCTTCACTGGCAGAGCATGAGAGACTGAAAAGTATTTGATTTAACTTAGGCACTACTTAGCAACTCCTAAAACATCATCATCATTCTCAGATTAAAGCCAAAACACGGAACTGCAGCAGCACTGGGAAGAAAATTAACTCTTATCCCAGCCAAAACCAGGACATACACAACGTACAGGAATCTCATTTGATTTTCAAGTCTCACTGTAAACCTTTTCTAACTCACTGCTTATGAGAGATACTTGCTGAGATGTTTCTGTATCAACTACTAAAAAGATCACTAACAATAAAACAATTTTGTATATGATGCCTATTAATTCCCTTCATGTTGGTTGTTCATGCAGTTGTATTTTGTTTAAATGTGGTTGCTCAAGACTCTGAATTTGTTAAATTACATTAGATCTTCATAACTAATGAGTCCTTAACAAAAGGAAGTGAATTCGAAAGCAAATATCCTGCTCTGAGACCACTTTTCTCTGGGACAGCTTTCATATCTCACTGGGGTCCATCTACTGCAATATTAGCCAAGAAAGAGACACAGCTTGAAGTGTACCTAGTTTAAATAATTTGAATTTTTTAAGATTAAAAAATAACAGCTTTACTTACACCTGAAAACAAGTAATGAATTGTTTTTCCTTTGATCTGTAATTTAAGTATGAGAGTGATGAATAGCTGTCTAACTGCCAGAAACAGCACTTACCAAGTGGGAAACAGCATACCCTGCCAGCTGAAATACCAGAGTAGCATTATGGTGCAGTTCCATGTAAAGCATACTGAATTAGTCGAGCCTTAAGGTGGCACAGCCATGGAACACTATGGAACATCTGTATCTGGAAGAAAAGGTTAAATGCATGGAGCAAACATCTGCAGCTCAAAAGTCCAGCTGTTGGCCAGTGTGCCTATCTAAATATTGAATATTACAGAAGAATAGTAAAATATCCAAAATGTTTCTGAACAGCATTCTGAGCAGAATCACAAAATGGATATTCATTTTCCCAGGTACCAGAGGCATTGACACCTCAGCCCATTGTCTCACACCCTTTATTTGAGCTGATTCACATAGAGTGCACTGACAAGCCACTGTATAGATCAGTTTCCCTGGTGCAGCAAGAATTTGAGTTGAAAGCAGCTTCATATGATTGTGAAAAGCAAACAGAAAGTGAAATAATATGAACTTTTACTTTCAGGAAGTGGAAAGAGAGATTTCATTCAGGACAGAATGTGGACTTTATTACTCCTACTACAAACAGATGATTCAGGCTGCTTCCATCCAGCAAGGTATTGTAAACTGTAAAGTAAGTTTTACTTCATGTTGCCAGCTGACTATTTTTAATTTTTTTCAAAAAATTTAGTTGAGAACAAGGAATACTATAACTGTGAAAGAACAGTGTAACAATTGTACTTTAGACAGATTTATTCTGTTCCTGTGCCAGGCAGCCACTAAGTTATGGACATAATAAATTTCACAATGATATAGGGGTTTCTGTGTCACTCCTTCACATTCTGAGGAAGGCAATCACTTTGAGGGATAACTTCCATATCTGTTAAGTTTCAGCCTTGCTGGTTTATTCAGTATATTACTTTCATTTTTATTCTTCTCTTGTTTAATTTGAATTAGCAGCTATTTGTGGGAAAGGGCCATTTTTTTGCTGTATGCCTGAACAGTAAGTGACACAATAAGCAGCTTCCAAGGAAATCCTATACAATGATGGGACTTCCTGTGACATTCTCATGTTTCCTAGATGCTTAATTATTGCTCCCTAGCAATTTTTGCTTATACTATACATTTGTCAGTATTAACATCACCTGTATTTAATGTAATGACAAGAATGGTTCTCAATATCCAGTATGTACCACAGATTCTATGCTAGGAATGCAAGTGTAAAAAGAAATGTTACATGTTATTAAATATATAGTGCTTGTATTAACACTCTGAGTCAGAGTCGAAGCAGGGAAAGTGAAGACCTCACAAGGTCATGTTTATTCAGAGGTAATGTGATCTGAATCCTTGATTCAAAGTTTGCCATTTTTGATGACCGATCCTAGAATACCTTTGAAAAAGTTATTCACTGTTCAGATGAAGATGGAGGAGGAAAATGATAATCTCAATTTCTCTTTATCGTTAAGGTTTACATGGTTTAGTATATGACAATAAAACTGAATCTGTGAGGACAATTAACATACTTGAAAGAATGAATGTTTACCAGGAGGTGTTTCTCAGCATTCTGTATAGGATTCTTCCAATTCAGGTAGGCATTTATTTATGGCTTTAGATTGTAAGTGCATTATGAAGATTGTGCAGTGAATCATAGCTCCCCTTTTTATAGTTATTTTCTAATTAGAAATATTCTTGATACCTTTTAAATTTGTAAAAGCAAAACCTAATTCATACTAACTATAAGCCCCCATCAGTGTTTTATGTCAACATCAGTATTCTTGTGTTTTACAGCAATACCTAGAACCTGTTTATTTTTATATCTACACTTTGTTTGGACTTCAGGCAGTTTATGTCATTGCTCTGTATGTAACAAGCTGGCTTCTTAGTGGAACGTGGCTTTCAGGGTTGTTGGCAGCTTGCTGGTATATTACAAACAGGTAAGTGAGATTAAACCCTCTATCTTTCTAAAATTGTACCTCATTTCAAAGGTAAAGCAGTAAGGCATTAAACCTTCAAGTGCTGATTAGCTGGCCAAAAATTGAAACTGTAAGGCCTCTTCCAGATTAGGCAGAAAATAAAAAAAATAAATAAAAAAAAATTTAAATACTGCAGAATAATCAAAAAACAATCAGACTGAGACTAGGATTTTAAAGTTTCAAGAAGTTTGAGTAGAAAATTTTGTCTTAAATTGGCCTCTGAAACTGGATTACATCTTTCAGATGTGTCTGGATGTCCAGATGATGTAAGATGATGTTCTGTGATCTCCAGCCTAGGATATCCTAGGTGTTAAAGACACCTGTATATATGCCCTTCAGATCTCTCCTGACTGACCCACACCCAATCTCCAGGGATTCCTTCAACAACCTAAAACTGTCAGAATTTCAGCTTCTCAGTTTCCCTCTTGCACTAAGATTCAGAGAAAAAAGGCAGCAGTTCATTTGTTCTGGTGCTTTATCATTTTGAGAATTCTCAGTTTGGGGAAAAAAACTGAAGAACTGGCTTTATGCTAGTAGTGAGCAGCTGGCATGAAGCTAAGACTGGTGACATATAGGCTGTTATCTGTGAATTAATGTGGAAAATGAAAAGTACAGTGTCAGTTCTATCAAAACTGTTTGATATGTTAATCAGCAGCTCTAAAGGTGTTTATCTGCAAGCATGTCCATTACAGAATAAATAAGTATATAGAGGTAAAATGTTTCTTTCTCCAAAGATGAAAGTAATTAAAAAGTACATGCAGTGTGCAGTAGTTCACATTTATTTCATGAACTCATCTTTTCCATTTACAGAGTATTTGGAGCAGATCTGTTTTGTCCATCTTTCTCATAATGGAAGCTTTATACGTTATCCTTTATACAAATAGAATGGCATTGATTTGGATAAAGACTTTCTGTCCAGATGAAGCTACCAAGTTACTACATTTTAGACATCTTTTTCATCCCTATTAGCATGACTCAGATGTGTTACTTACTTGAGTTTTTAGCAAACATTTCCTCTACACAAGAAAAAAGGCAATTTTTTTTTGTTTTAACTTTCAGGTTTTGTAAATGAATGCCCTTTGGGGATGATTTACTCACTACCATTCCATACTTTTTGTGCTAGAGTATTCAAAAAATGCCTGGAAGTTCCTAACCAGTTTAGTGGTATTCAGATCTGAGGCACTGGGGTCACTGTGAAGAAACTGATACCTGTTTATTCTTATACATGCTTTTTACAAACTAAAAAATGAAGTAGAATTACCTGTGACATGAAAACTCAACATTTTGAGAACGGTTTTGTTTTGGCTTTTGTTTGTTCATTTTTAAACTACCCAAGCTATGCTTTCTAAGTAAGATTTACCATAGTGTAAGTTTTTTAACAGTAAGTGAAGCTGAAGTACAACATTTTAGATACAGATACAATGGATGACTTACAGAAATTTTATAACGATTTGTTTCAGAGCCAGGCATGTTGAAGGAGCTAGAGTGTCGAGACACTATTTGTATCCATAAGAAGTTAAAGTACCACAAAGATGCCTGTCATTACAACCTCTCTGTCACCAAGCTGGTATTTTAATTTTTTTTAAATTTATGAAACTCTGTTTGTTTTGTACAGAATAGATACTACAAGAGTAGAATTCACCATTCCTTTAAGAGAGAACTGGGCACTACCATTCTTTGCTGTTCAGATAGCAGCCATCACATACCTACTCAGAACTAATTTACAGCCTGCTCGACAAGTGAGTATTTCTAACATGTATGACACAGTATAATTAGTATCAGAAAACTGTCTAGAAAACCTATGACAAAGTGCTTAATAAGCGTTTACAGCAGAGAATACACACACACAAATCACTTATAATATTAAAAACATTAATCAGATACTCCTTCTGTTAATTTAAATGTAATTGAAATACAAAGAACTTGAATATGAGCTGGCTTCAGTGTATGCTCACAGCCCAGAAGGCCAGCCATATCCTGGGCTGCATCAATAGGAGCACAATCAGCAGGTTGAAGAAGGTCATCCTGCCCCTCTATTCTGCTCTCGTGAAACCCCACTTGGAGTACTGTGTGTAGTTCTGGTCTCCTTAACATAAGAGAGACATGGAGCTGTTGGAACAAGTCCAGAGGAGGCCATAAGAATGATCAGGGGACTGGAGCACCTCCCCTATAAAGACAGGCTGAGAAAGTTGGAGCTGTTCAGCCTGAAGAAGAAAAGCTGTTTGGAGACCTCATGGCAGCCTTCCGGTGTCTGAATTGGGCCTATAAGGATGCTGGGGAGGGACTCTTCATCAGGGACTGTAGCAATAGGACAAGGGGAAATGGATTTAAATTTAAACAGGGGAAGTTCAGGTCAGGTGTAAGGAAGGTCTTTATTGTGAGGGTGGTGAGGCACTGAATAGGTTGCCCAAAGAAATGGTGAATGCTCCATCCCTGGCAGTGTTCAGGGCCAGGTTAGATAAAGCCTTGGGCAACACGGTCTAGTGTGAGGTGTCCCCATGGCAGAGGGGTTGTAACTAGATTATTTTAAGGTTCTGTCCAGCTGTAACCATTCCATGATTATATGATTCTACGCTCAGCAGTGAAAAAATACAAAGGTAAGCTCTGAAGAGTACAAGAGTCCTGTGTTTTTATGAACTCATTAGAGTAACACAAAGCAGGCAGGAAATAAGCTTGTAAAGCACAAGGATTAAAGAATTTCTTTGATTTAATTTGTTTCCAAATTTAAGATGTGGTCCTGATCTGTAAGAATAAAAGCCAATAGGTGATACAGTTTCTTTGACAAACAGTTCTGAAGTTATGACTCCTCAATTTGATAAAATAATTGCTATTTATAGTATAGGAAAACACATATTGCAAATTAATCTATGGGCTGAAACTGAGATCTCACCGCTGTTTTGCAAGTGTTACTACAGTGATAAAATACAGGCATAAATACAAGAATCTGTAACTGTCAAAAATATCCGTTATCCTCCAAGCACTTATTGCAGCTAGAAAACTCATGTAAATGGTTTTTAAAATGGACAAATTAAGGTGGGGTTTTTGGTTGGTTTTGTTGGGGGGTTGTTTAGGGGTTTTGGTGGATTTTTTAATGAAGGAAACTATAAAGTTAAATAAAACCTTGTTCCCTCCTTCCAGAAATTGACATTTATGGCTGTATTTATAGCAACATTTCTCTTTAGCCTGACTTGGCAATTTAATCAGTTTATGATGCTGATACAAGCATTGGCATTATTTGTACTAGACTGCTTTGACTTGCTTCCCACAGCAAAGGTAAGATTATGTTTGGAAATATCCATTTTTTTTAAATATTTTTTTTCCTATGATAAAGCTAACAGTTTTGGAGGTATTTTACTAACCAGTGGCTCAGCCAAAAGTAATACAGATAAGACACTGTGCTGCTTTGTGCTTTTAACTAATCACAGCGTATATATACTGCAAGTGTAAAAATGAATCATCAAAGCAACATCATCTCTGGGTTTTTTTCAGCTGATTTTATTTCACTTTACTTAATTCACTTCTGCTGTTTTAATTTTTGGCTGCTTAGACACAGCTGTGGTTTTGCACTATTTGACACCTTTAAACACCATCCTAACAGCTGATCCAGTACCACAGCTTGAGCATGTCCTCTGGAAGTGTCCATGGGGAAAAAAAATCTATGCCTAAACTGAAGTAATAACAGTGTATGAATTTGGCCTCAAGTATTGTGCATCCCTGTTTGAAAGTTAGGTTTAGGCACTGTGCCACAAACAGAAGGAAGAAGATAGATCAGATTGCTCAAGAGAAGCAGTTAGCTTTCATACACTGAAATTCACCATAGGATAACATCCTCACTGCTGTGTTGCTGAATTGCATGAAACAAAAAGCAAAACAAGTGTAATTAGATTAAGGGATCATTTGCAGTCAATCTTAGGAAATAAAATACATTGAGGAAGATGAAAACAGTGTCTTTGAATTTAATGTCCCTGTGAAATTGTACCAAGATTATTTTAGCACTTGTAGAAGCTTACATTAGGTTCTAACCTTGCTAAGGTTCTAACTTTACTTTAAGGAAGGTTACAGTGGGAGGAAGCATTGCTCATGTTTGTTTCATTTTAAATTCAAAACAGACTTCAGTATTAGTGTTTGTAGTAATTTAACTGAAAATTATTATGGTGGCTGTATATCAAGATATCTATGGTTTATTTAACAGTTTCTAAACTCTTCATTATATTTGCAAATGTAAGCTGGAGTTAGCAATTAGTGTGACTAATCAGCAACCTTGAAAGTTTGCAAATTGCCAGCCTCATCCTGAATTATACCAAAACGGACTTACTGCACAACTGCTATTGCATATTAATTTTCCAAAAAGTGCTACTTAAACCTCTTGGAGCTTGTTGGGACTTTAGATACTGACTTAAACTACTGCTGTAATATAAGACTGAACTCAGGATCTTTGCATCAGATAAAATTGACATTTTGTCACCACTGTATCAGAAAATCATCTGGGTTTTAGTGTCTGCATTCAGCTGAATTAGCATAGCTCGAACAGAGCTATTCTAAACTGTTAGAAAAAAAGTCAGAGAAATCATCTGTTGTTTTTGCTGAACTCCACTGAACTGTAACTCTTTAGTCATAAAGTCATTAGAGACTGCAACAGAAACACTTATTTGACTAAAGAAAATACAAAACGTCTTCCAAATACTAAGTTATTAGTATTTCCGTCATTCTGCAATTGTTTAAATTACCTGCTTTATTATAGAATCAGACTTTCGTAGGTATAAAATATTAACCTAACTCGTTCAGGACATAAAAACAGAAAGGATATAGTAATGGCTTTAAGTGTAATGATTCAGTACAAGATGATACTTTTTTTTGTAAAAATAATTAATGTTGAAGTAAATTATAAAAACATTCAAAGAAAATCAGGTATGACTGTAAAGTTTTTTAGGCATAAAAATCTTACTATTGTTACAGGTTACATGGCTTTATATCATTCAGATTTCTGGATTGCTGCTAGTCTGTGTCTTACAGTTCTTTAATTCTATGATTCTTGGATCATTACTTATAAGTTTTAATGCTTCTGTCTTGATAGCAAGAACAATCCAGGTAGGTACTGAAATATTTTTGTAGTACTAAAGAGTGACGTAAATGAGTAGTTTATCTACATTATAATTGTAAATTACTAATTAGAGGAATTACTATAGCGTAAAGCCGCAGAAATGTTGCATGATCAAATAATGAATTCAATTACACTAACTGCAGTAAAACCAAGCACATCAGACACCGTAATTCTGTGATTGCTATTAACTTTTATGATAGTGTAAGCTGCAGTTTGGATCCTACAAAAAAAAAAATAATTGCATAAACAGACTTCTGTCTCAGCAGGACTTGTCTTGGATTTACGGATCTGCCTCCCATAAAATATTCTGGATACTTGGCTCTGTGTACATTTGTGCTTACGTGAACCTAATATAATCTGGCCTAGCATACAATCTATTTCAAGTAGTCTGTGTTGCTTTTGTTCCAAATACATATAAATTTACTGAAATACTAATATTTTGTTCCACATGCATACCAACATAGTACTGAAATACTGATATTTTCTTCTTTCTAGAAAAACCTAAAAAAGGGTCCCTTGCTTAATAGGCTTGGGAAACTTATCCTCCATGTACTATTAGTCTTGTGCTTGACTCTTGTAATAAATAAATTCATCAAGGTAAGCAAATATTCCTTAATATAGAAACTTTAAAAATTTATTATGGTAAAAGCTATTTGTTAACTATCTACAGTAATATTGTTAAATAAAAATCGCAGTGACATTTCACTGCATTTCAGAGACTGTGTTTTGGAAATAAAAGATTGTTTTGCTAATCTTTTTTGATTTATAGGTTTTTAAACATACTCTTAAAACTTCATAAATTAACACCAAATAACGGAATACATATTTGTAACTTGAAGCTCACCAGTAATTTTGTAGTAGTTGTAGGTTATACTGCATGTTGATACTGCTAAGCATTTGCAAAGTTTTTCACTGAATTTACTTCTCAAAGAATGCACTTAAAAATGAATACTTGTTATAAATATTTTGTAGACCATGCCATACTTTTGAGTTACTTCTTGTGCACAGAGCTGTCTGCCGACATTTGTGATTGTAACACTTCTTCTACCTTAGAGTTTTAGTCTTTTCAAGAGATCTCTTTCAACAGATTAAAAGTTAGTACATGTGGAAATTAAAAGATAAATCATAGAAATAAAGAGCACAGCAAAAAACAACCTGTGCTGGAAATTCTTTATCTGTAAATAAGAAGCTAACCCTAGTAGATATTCTAAAAAGTAAGTAACTTGCCCTTTGGACCACAGGACCATAATTACAAACTCAATGCTTGTTTGACTGCAAAACACCCTCTCTCAGTAAGCCTGTATTGCCACACAGTTTCATTTAAATGATGAAAAAGAAGTTTATTGTGTAAAGTTTCATTTTTTTGATACTTAAAATATAATTTCCTTTCTTTTTCCCATCCTTTGTAGAAAATTCTTAATCTTGAGTCAGATGAGCATATATTCAAATTTCTGAAAGCAAAATTTGGATTTGGGGCAACAAGGTATGAATCAGCTTCAATTCTGCTTTCTTATATGGCTCACTAAGTGATCTTGGTGATAAAGCATGCATTTTTACTGCATGTTTATATCATGTATTTTCCTTTGTAATAATCTGAATAACTCTGGCTTTCTAATTTCTTGGAAAAAAGGAAACTTTGGTCCTTTTTGACGTCAAGTTATGAAATATATGATGACAAGGATTATTCTTTTTTCTTTAGAGATTTTGATGCTAACCTGTATCTTTGTGAAGAAGCTTTTGGTTTACTGCCATTAAATACTTTTTCAAGACTCTCGGATACATTACTTTTTTACATCTACATATTTGTTCTCTTATTTATGACAGTAGCAGCTGTAATTGTTGCCTTTCGGAACCTCAGGTAAAATATATTCTTAAAATAATTCACAGTTTCTGTCAGTTTTCAACAGGCTAAGGAAGTCACAGTTTTATACAGCAGAATAGAGTATTACTTTCCACAGGTACTAGGGAATAGTAGAGCATGTAATAGAGAGATCATGCAAAATAAGTATTAAAGCTAAAAATGTAAAGGATGTAATGAGGCTGAACAAGGAAACATTCTTCCTTAGATTCCTTTTATTTGCTGTTCAAATTTTGCAGTATGTGTAGAATTGGCTGGATTTTGGTGGTGAGAGGGGAAACAGGGAAAGGGTGTCTTTATAGAAAACAGCATTAGCTTATTTTGTTCATCCCATTTTCCCTGAGCAAAGCACTCCCAGTGAAGGATTTCCCTGGTGGTACCCTCAGAGTGCCCAGAAATAAACTAGGATGGTCTGTACTGAATTTGCATCATCTGTGTGAAGAAGCAGGAGTGGTGGACTGCAACCATGCATCGCTGCTGCCAGTTCCCCTGGCTGATCTGTAGGTCTTAGGTCTTAGAGGTATTTACAGAACACCAGAAGAAAATCGGTACTGAACTGCGATTTAAAAAAAAAAAAAAATAAAAAAATTGGTTCATTACAGACCTTTCAGTTTTGCATTTACAACCTGGGCAAAAGCTAGGATGGATGATAGACAACTTGATTAATTCAAGGAGTTTCAAGGAGTATCATGTAACTAATGCCACTCATCATAGATTTTATGGAGAACAGGATAAAAGGGGAAGAGAGACAGGGGAGGGGAGAGGGAGAAGATCCAAGACATGCTGAAACTATGTTATGTTAGTTATGAAGTCACAGTTATCTGTAAGGCATTTTGATACTATTCAACCAGCCCTTTTAAAAAAACTTGGCGCATCAATCAGTTTTAAAACCGAAATGCTCTGCAGCTCTTATTTTCTGTAATTCTAGATATAATCCAAAACATTACCCTGATTTTTAATACTGCCCAGTTATTTCAGTTGTTTCCCACGTGATAAAAGCAAAAAACACACACTTTTGAGCAGTTTTTGGTTTTTAATCAGCCCTTTACATACATTCACAAGACTGGCCACCTCAAGCCAGTCCTTTCAGCAATTTTGTTTTTCTGTAAATTTACTTCCAATTTATGGCTGTAATAGCAGCCAGATATACCAGCACAACCCCACAAAACAGTTAAGTTCTTCACTCTCATCAAAAGCCCTGTGAAGCCCATGGGAGTAACTGCTTCAAGCAGTAAACCAACTGTACCTTTCTGTAAACAATTTTATCTCATTCTAAACCAGATCATTTACATCCACTGCATTTCCAGAAAACTAGGCATGAAAATAAATACCTGATGCTTCATCAAATTGATGCTATCGGGCTTAATTGCATAACTGATACAATAGAACATTTTATCTTCCATATGTAAACTGGTATCAGTACTATTGCTTATTAGCATCAGAAGGATTAAATGCATTTTAAAATACAGGCAACTCTATGAAATAGACTACAGAACTTAATATAACATTTCTTATATCTTCTGTTTAATTAGTTGTTCAAATCAAGTCCAGTTGATGGAAAAAATGGGCGAATGCACGATAATATTGAAGCCTGATGCTGCTTACAACTTGATTCACACAGTTCTTTTTGGATGTCTGGCATTAAGCACAATGAGGTATAGTTTTGGGGATTTTTTAATTCTACTGAAGGCCTTTTAGATGATTGAGTATATTTTTATAGAATGCTAAAATATGCTGACCACAAACTGATCATGATTCTTTCTTTCCCTGGTGTGTTTCTGCTTGTAGACTGAGGCATTTCCCAAAATTTGTTTTGAAGTTTGGGAGCAGAGATGTTCACAAAAGCACATAACAAAGTGCAAAAGTCTTTCACTCAGTTATTTCAGAGTCCTGAAAGTCCAAGACAACTGTGTTCAGAATTTCTCTTAACTGTTCTCATCAGCACAGCTTAGCAGAGCTCCAGATGATCAGCAAAACTTGTCTGTCTCCTTCCAGAATGAAGTACCTCTGGACATCCCACATGTGTGTATTTGCATCTTTTGGCTTGTGCAGTACGGAAGTATGGAAACTTGTCCTGAAATGTGTTCATCTCTACACATCACAGAGGGTTAGCGCTATACTTACAGCATTTCATGAAATGTGGGTTTGCTCCATATCTAAACCAGATCACGACTCAGAATTCTAAGACATCTGAAATGAGTTTTGTTTGTAGTCCTCCTAAACTGGATATCTGAAGTACATTTCTATAAATTTAGTAAGTGAAATGTATTTTCTAGTGGTTTATATATTAAACAATTTATGTATTAAACAATTCCATTTGAATACACTAGATGGCAATGTAGATGTGGCAATGAAAAATAACCGCAATTTTACTACAAAAGTCTTAGTCACCATATTAAGAAATCATCAGCAGTTTGGTAAGACCTTTACAGCCCGTTGTACTGAATGATACAGTGTTTTCCACTTTGTGGAAGATAGTATATAGATATAGATCCATCATTTGTGATGGGTCTGTGATAAGGGTTTTACTTGAAAACAAAATCAGAACATGGTCTTAAAACTGTAAATTCCACCACGTGATAAATATGTCAGGTATCAATACATTAAAAATCAAGTCTATCCAAATAAATGTATCATCAAAATAACCAATTTTTTTTTTTTTTTTTTGCGATTTCTTAGATGCACGTGATGAAATACTCCATACCAATAATTACATTACTATACATTTCATATAAGGTAAGACCATTTTTTGCCTGCCTGTTCTGGCTTTTTTTACTTATGTGGAATTTTCCTTTTCTCACAAAGGGATGTTGTTTTATAAATAATTACATACAAGATTTTTGGCTGAATTTTAAAAATTGGTATAATCTACCTGAAGTGGAAGTACCTTTATGAATATGAAATTGTATGTAAAGGATCAGTTAGGCTCATTTGATCTAAAGTAGTTGTTCATAGATACAAATGTTTGTCCAATTGTGTGTGTAAGTTACCAGGTGTTATTTAAATACACAGTTTTATGGAAATGTAAGTTATCTGTTTGGGTTTTCACCCTGCAGATAAGAGGCAGATTGTTAAATTGTGTGATGATTCATTGTAGGAGCAGAAATAATCATAACATACTATATGTTATGGGCTGTGCCTCATCCCATGTATTTTAAAGTACACAATTGTTAAACTTGTCAAGTACTTTTGTTGTCTTCATGTCTCAGAAACAACTTATAAGGTCAAGTGTTTAAATGTACATACATAAAATATATTAAAAATAATAACATATACAAGATTATTAGTCTTTCAGTCTGTCATAGCAGTGAGATTTAGAACATTAACTTAGTGGGCATACTATTCTTTTAATCTGTATTTACAAAGGTTGAAAATTCAGATTCCACTTCACTGGAGAACTTATTTCTGCAATACCTACTGTGAGATGAGAATACTTCTGTTAAATAATTGCCTTCAGGGAAAACCCAAGGTGAATTTCATTATCAAAATTAAAAAGACAATAATAAAGCACTTAAGAAAGCTGCTAGTAGAGTTTATTCTGAATGTCTGTTTCCCCCTATAAGACAGTGAAATGAAAATTCAAGAAAGACTGGAAGAGTTTGTTCAGTGAAGTTACAGTGAGGTGGTCCACTTAAATTTTCTTGTTACTCTGTTTTTAGAGGAGTTTTTAGTTTGTTTGGGGTGTTTTTTTTCCATTAGTATGCTGGTTAGGGAAGTCATTTATGTTTTTTATCATCTCTGAAAGTAATAGAAATAATGCCATTTCTTTTGACATGGCTAATGCCAAGAGCATGACATTCTAATAGATAGTCTCATGTGAGAGATCAACTAGGAAGAATTTTCATCCCACTCTTCATGAGCAGATAGGAAGTTCCTAAATCAGATTTAATTTTGAAGTCAACTGAAGTCACTGATTTTCATAGGCTTTAGATCAGGCATTAGTTGTGCTTAATCTGCCTCAAAAGCGTCATTTTTGTGTTTTTTCTAAATATAGGAAATCATTTTTATTGGCATTAAAAGTATCATTTTTCAAAGTGCTCAGTGGGAATAAAGAAATATTTCCCCATTCAGCGTTTTTTATTGTCTTAAGTCATTTTTTGCAGTTCATCTGCCAAGGCAGTGAATATCTTTGTGTACCTTTGTCTCTTCTCAAAAGCTGCAGAGTCAGTGAGCCTTTTGATTCATTCTGAGACTTTACAGTCTCATTTCACAACTGCTTAATTTATTTACTTATCTCTCAAGTGTTCTGAGAAGCAGAAATGTCTATTATAGTACTACTGCCTCAAACTGTAAGGTTGTGATATTGCCATGACTATATTTTAGGTGTTTCTCAGTCTATCAACTAGTATTACTTTAACAAATGTATCAAGTAAACAGAAAAACTAATAAGTTTTGGCCCAATTATATCCCCCAGCTCCCCAGACCTACTACCTGATACAGTTTTAGGGAAAGAATGCATGTTTTTGCTAAGCAGCTCAGCAGCATCACATTCAAATTCCTTCTGATCTCTTGGATGAATATTATCTAAATTGGATGAGTTTAGATTATCAGGTGTGTTTTCTCACACTTTTCTGTGACATTTCACTTTGCAAGCCAGCAATCTTATCTAAAGAAAGTAGGTTTGGAATAGGTTCACCATAACATCCTCTGTAATAAAGACTGATACAAAGCAATTGGCCATTAATATTGTCATTATTTCTCTTAATTACTCCTTCTTTGCCCTTGACTATTCACTAGTTTAAACAATAAGAAACCCTTAAATAAATCTTTGTTCTGTTGGGGGGGGGTAGGACTAAGCTTTTCAGAAATCGGTCCCAGAAATCGGTTTCAATCATCCAGATATGATTTATGTATTCTTGGTCTTCAGTAAATTTTGAAATGCTTTCTGTCCACCCCCCTTTTTTCCCCCAATAGCCTGTTGGATGTTGACATTCAGTTGCACTTTTATTTTTATCTTTAGTGGTTCTCTTTTAATTCAAAGTTCTTAAATGCCATTCATAGCACCCACAGCACATTTGATGATTTTAACTTCTGATACGGATTTCCTAGTGGTTTAGGGTTTGGTTTGGATTTTTTTTTTGTTTGTTTTGTTTATTATTACATAGTTGTACGTTGCCTCTCCAAACTTAATTCCTGAGGTGTTTCCTTTTCCTGTAATTACAGGCATTACTTAATGGCTTGGCTCATACATATTGAACTGCTACATGATGCCTCTTTATCTTGTTCCTTAAAGCTTGGTCTGTCAAGAAAAGACTTAAAACATTTGCATTCACCCTGTAGTCCAGGAGACTGAAATGGTTCACTTGTATAGTAGATATAATGCACAGCAGTCATATTCGGTGGAAACTTTTAGTTTCCCATTGATTTTTAAGGAACACATTGATCTTTATTAATAGAGTTCTGGAAACCTCCCGTGAGAAGTGCATCTAAGAAAAGCTGTTCTTCTCGGGTTCCCCACAGCAGGTACCTCTGTACAGGAGCTGCCAGATGACCAGATCTCAAATGCTAAACTTGTGTATTCATACTGCAGTGACAGCCACTAAACCTTCATAAGAAGGGTAGATACACTTATCTTTTGCAGCTTATCCATGAGCTGGACAAGATTAGTTACCAGCTAAGAGAAAATAATGTTTCGTCATCCAGGACTTGGTTTTGATCATTCGGTCTTCAGTTGCTTTGTTTTGTTTTCATTATAGTTCTGGCCAGGAATAATGGATGAACTGTCAGAGCTGAGAGAATTCTATGACCCAGACACTGTGGAGCTGATGAACTGGATTAAGTAAGAGGATTTTTTCTCTATTTCAGTTAAAGTCTATTTGTGTAGATCTAATGTTCTTAGTTATAGTGTTCTCCTTATTTGTCACAGCTCATCAGTGAACTCTGGTGACCCATGCAGATAGTTAAGAACAGATGGGCTATCAAGAGGTTAGCTATTAAAGGCTGTGGAGAACAGCTACATGCAAAGGCCCCCAGTCTGCTCTGTTCTAATTCAGTATCATGCTGCTGTATTGCATGTGTATCAGGGAATCAGTTGACTACGTTTTCTCCCGTAAGTACACATAGGTTTTCCACCTGAAAGAGGACAATTTCGAGGTGTCAAGCTTCTTATATTATACCTCCCTCTTTGTATTAATAGACCTTGGCAGTGAAATAATTTAATTTTTACCCCCCACCCCCATGTGTGGTTGTAGGGCTGGAAAATCTGTACTCTATAGTCTGTTCCTTGAAGTTTAAAAATTCTCTATTATTTATGTTTACCAGAATTAATCCCAACATATGTTCTAAACTGTAAACAAAATATTTGTAATTGAACTTGAACTTGCCATGTCTAAGCATAGGTGCAAAGTCCCTTTCAGGAGTATGAGTTAATCATTCCAAGCCTACCTCATCGCTTCTGCTTTCTCACAGAACATAGAAAGGTATTTTTAGGTGGAAACAGTTTGGAATACTGCATTTAGAGGATATCCTGAGAAAAAGGGACAGGTAGGTTTTTCTCTGAAGGATTTTGAATTTAAGGGACATGTTCTCTATTAAGATACAGTAACCACTAAAACCTTTCAGATTAAGTTCTGAATAGAGATATCCCTGGAATGTGTATTTATTTGGAAGCCTGACAAAGTTTCATGTTCTGGAAGAAAACATTCTGAAAGTAAATCTGGATTTACTACATTTAACGTTCAACTAGTCGGAGTATTTCCTTGGAGCCCTATATTCTGCTTTCATATGTAATGAGCTACAGGGAGTCCAGTCACCCAGCCTATTCTACCTATAGCAATATATTTACAGTCCATAATGTTGTATTTCTTTAATCCATAAACTAGAAAGAGTAATTTAGAAGTAAAATATATTACAAATTTTCAATGACTTATTTTGACAGCAAGCCGTGTTTTTTCCCATAATTTAAAAGTTTTGCAGCCATATTGACACCTTTTTGTGACTAATGTTTACCAGCCATTTCCATTTAGCACTACTGTTTTATTAAAAGATGGTAAATGCCTGATAGTTCATGTCTCCTGTGTACAATATGTAGAATTATATATAGATTTATACATAAAATATCCATGTGGAATTATTCCCAGCCATGAACTGAGTTTGACTTGATCCAATGAGAATATTTTTTCATATGTTCTTAGTGCTGAGAATGCTAAACTGGTGCTTAATGCTAAACTGGTGCTTGTCCTCTTTTCATTTTAAGTCATGACAGGTCATTACAGAAGGAAATTTTCTGCTTAGAATTTATTGTGTTTAGAAATATTATTTGTATAAAGAAGAGTTAATTATCTGTGCTTTAAATCAAGTCAGCAAAATTTGTGGTAAGTTTCTCGAAGTGGGACAGATTTTCTTAAGTTTTGACATGCAAGAGAAATATTTTACTATTCTAACACTTGATATTTACACTGCAGTTAATGATCTGTCAAGGTTGGTGTCAGGAACTAATAATTCGTTATTAAAACTCAGTATGAGAAGCTCTAATTTGTCATGTATAGCAGTGAATTAGGAATAACTCATCTGTCTTGCAATCTCTCCTCAAGAAGAAAACCTTTCTATCTGCTTAGATCTAAATGCATATTAACTTGTCCAAATATACAATCTGAATAATAGCCAACTATTAGTCTGTCCACTGGGAAGTGGCTGCAGATGTATTTTTCACTCTTCCCCCTTACTAGAATCACCAGAGCATTTTCAGGAAGATATACTGGTTTAGATCTCTACAATAAAGTTACTGCATAGTACAGGACTGCAGCTATTGCAGAGTGCATTTTTTTACCTAATGGTCTTGTATGTCCCAGTCTCTTGCTTTTTCCTACCCAACACCTCATTTTCTTAGCTTTTTTTTTTTTTAAGGAAAAAAAAAAGTCAAGAAGGTCCTGCAGTGACCCAGGGATAGTTCACAGCTGTGTTCCCAGATGGGAGGTACATTAAAATTCTTAGTTTTGGTCTTTCTCCCTAAGACAACAGGAACAACATGCTCATTTGTGAGATGGGGAAGAATATCAGTAGAATGAGCAAATCAATAGCGTGAACTTCCCTACTCTGTTTACTTCTGGTAAGTGTTTAAGAAGCAATGTCTTCTGCCTTTAAAGGGGAAACCTGTCTAGAATTGTGGAATATTTCATTAGCAGTTACCAAAACTCGTAGAACTTCTTGGAAATCTCAGACAAAAGCCAAAACAGTGGGAAAGTTAACTGAGACTGAGATTTGTCAGAGGAATTGTCTGTGGGGTAAAGAAGGCAAATTTTTATATTAGTGGAAACCCCACAAATTTCCAAAAAGCTCTTAAAGTTACCAAAATGGAATACCCATGTTTCAATGGCGGTTCTTTCATTTAGTAATTTATATTAATGGCTGTGTTTTAATTTCAAGACAGCTATAAATTTTAACTCTTCACTCTTACTTATATGCCTGATTTTCAAGGATAATCACCCTGAAATCAACCCATTCCAGACTTTAAAGGCAATACTACATTCTTGTAATTCTTGTTCTTAAATTTTTTGGCTTATCCTTTGTCATTGACTGATCTGTCAGTAAGATTCAGGCATGAACTCGATAGTGCCCGAGACCTAGGCTTATACCAGCTGTGTAGGTGCACTCCGTTATGTGAACAAAATATGCATGCATAGAATTGAGGCTGGGACTAACAAAAATGCATCTTGTTGCTCTTTCTTTGTGGCTGTTGTTTTCCATTTTTGCAATTTTCAGTCATTCCAAACCAGAGGGAAAAAAAAGAACCATGACAGTTTGACTGAATATGCTTTACTGCCTGTCATTTGCAGCTAAACCTGTAATGCTTTAATACAGTATTCTGCAAATAAAAAGACTTTCTTTTAACGAAGAAAGAAAGTCTAACATGGCATATTTGAGAACTCTTTTTCAGTATCTCCTTTTCCCAAACCCCTTTGCTTTGTAAAATCCCTATCACAAACAGACACTAGTGAAGGAATAATCTGAGATCTGTCAGAATTTATGGCCCCGAAAGCAACTACAGAGTTCAAATTTGCAGGACTTTGAAAAGGAATAGCCATTTTATTTCTAACAACATAACCTGTAATAGCAACATCATAAGGCTTACTTAAAACCAACTCAAAATAATTCTTTACCAACTTAAGAGAAAGACTTACTACCACTTTTAGAGTCTGTGCAAGTAGTTCCTGTAAAACCCTTTTAATTTTAATGAGTTATTCTTTAGTATTCGTATAATTCTCTAGATTCTTAAGTGTAGGTGAAGAAAAGCTTCATACAACATATTATAGTGCTTAGTTTACCCATTAGTTCAGATGTAATTAACTTGTTGAAAGCTTAGAGCTCCAAAAATAAATGAGATTATTTGTTCAAAATGCCATCAGGTCTGCTTGGAATGGCATTTAAATTATATAATGTAAATCAGTTTGACCTGTAAGTCCTTGTCATTATTTAGTGACATTTCATACAGAATAAATTGCTTGCAGGTTGGGCAGTGTGGTATGGAGCTTGGCAGAAAGCTATAAAAACAAATTATCCTTTCATTTTATACATCATTTGTTCAGACATTTGTAAAAATTGCTTTGTTTTTCTATAATAGAGAGGTGTCATTCAGTGGTTTTGAAGCACATTAACTGCCTTGGATACAGACCACAGCACCTAGGGGCTGATTTGGTTAGGATGACTGGAGAAAGATGCTTGTATGAACTGTAGAGATCATCCCATACCAGAAAAATATTACTTAAATTGTCACACCTTCTTCTGGTGGCTGTTGCAGAAGGTAAAGGCTCAATAACAGCCACCAGTTGAAGATCTTTAGGATGTAACTAAGGAGGGCAGACTTTGCATGAAGCTCAGTGTCACCACCCAGCTTCCAAGCAGTGAAATCCAGTGCCAGGTTTGTGCCTTTGGCTGCTGGTGGTGGCGCACATTGGTCTGGGAACCATCAGAGCTGGGCTCTGCATTTCTGACAAGCACTTTTACAGCAAGTTATGGAAAAACGGCACTGTCACCATTTCCTCTAGCGTTCCTTTGTAAGAAAAGAAGCTTCGGGCTGTTTTCTTGGGAATGTTTTGTCTTTGTTTTCTTGTGGTTTTCACTTTGGTACTTACAGTTTTGGTTTTTTTAAGAAAATTTGATTCTGCACAGTGGCATTTCATTGGGTTCTTCAGGAGCCAGAGGTGCAGGACGGCCTTGGTAAGGCCAGGTCAGGAGATAAGTACTGCAGAGCATGGCAGAATTTAAGCTAATCTTGACCAAACACAGAAACAGACTTTTCACACTATGACTTCTATAAATTGCTGAAAAACTAGTCTATTGGTCAAGTTAAACTGGCCTATTAAAAATATTCTCCCTGTCTTTCCTAGATGAGATTAATGTACCAGTGCAAGGAAGGGTTTGTAATTATTAATTCATTTGCTAAGCATAATCTCTTGCAAGGCAATAGTAAAATGTAATATTTGTCTCTGAACATTTTCAAGCCAATCATGGAGCATAAAGAAGACTGAATATGCAGCTACAGTTTCAAAAGGCTTCCTAAAGCATACCCCAGGGTGTCTCAGTTCTTTGACCACTGAGATAGGGGCCATATGGGCACATCTGTGGATGTCAGCTATTCACAGTCCTTTCTAATTTCATTTTGCTTGATTTAATGTATGCTTTCTATTCTTTTAGTCTTCATAGGACACTTCATGATGATATGCCTATTAAGTGCTGGAAAACACTCAAGCATACTATGAGCATTTTAATTAACCTAATTATAGTAGTCTCTGATGCCCATCATTTTTACTTTATCTTTTTGCTATGCCCTCCTATCGTGTCTTTACATATATTTTAGATTGGAAAATTGCTGGGAAGAAGGTGAGCAAAAAAATTATTTTTTCCTTGTGGGTATTTAAACAATCCTGAGATAGCAAAACACTTACTTAGATAATAATTCTAGACACTGGCTTTGCAACTCAGATGAGATCACAGGACAATTAATTGACAGCAATTCTACCTAGCACCTCATTCACTTCCTACCCTGCTTTTTGCAGCTGGCGTGACTTTTGTTTCATAATTTCTCTCCCCCAGTTGTCACAATAAGAGGATTAATGTCTCACATAGCAAAGTTTTTATTCCAAGTGAATGGTGAATGCCAGAACAGTCACAAGAAGTTTTAGCATTCAGATTAAATAATCCATTTTATGTAGAATGCCTAATATATCAGACAGAAATCAAAGTCACAGTAAGTTTCTTGAAACATGCCAAGAACTAGGATATAGACATTCACAAAGACTCAGAGGCTATATAAACCCTAGAAGTATATAAAATATGGAAGTAGTTTGAAATTCTGAGGATGATGTTTCCTGATAGTGCACAGTAAATTTTTTATTTGCAGTTAGAGTACTACCATGATTTATCCACTTCATATTTGAAGAAAACACAGTTGCTTGAACAGTTTGCTCCCTGAATAGAGGAGAAACAGAAAACCATTTTTTCAGTCTTTTTTTTCCTTCTGATCTGTAACAAGCAATGCAAAAATGCCCCTGCAGAGACTTCCTCAGCCTTATCACCATTTGTTTAGGTCAAACACTCCAAACACAGCAGTGTTTGCTGGGAGCATGCAGCTATTAGCAGGAGTCAAACTGTGCACTGGACGGACCCTAACTAATCACCCCCATTATGAGGATAAGAATCTGAGAGAGAGAACAAAACAGGTAAGAGTATTCTAATTGTTTAAGCTAATTCTTACCCAGAGCAGTGGCTCCATTCTAGAAAACACATGCAACCTCTAAGGGCAGGTTGCAAATGAGATGACACCATGTGCGTTACTCACTGAACTAACTTATTTTCAGATACAGTTCCAGAATTTAACTTCTATGAAACTTGTACTTCGCACATCTGCTAACTTGCTTCAGGCAGCTGGTGTATGTCAGAATAACTGTAACAAGTACTCAAGCTAAGTAGGCTGTTTCAGGTGCTGTTGGCGTTAATAGATCCTGCTGCCCAGATTTCTCCTGCTGCCCAGAGGGAACACAGCATTTCCTCATTTCCCTGATACTCCCTTCAGTTCCCACACCAGGACATAACATTTTTATATAGAAACCACCTTGAGAAACTCCACACCAAGAAGAGGAGATGGTTCTGAACTATCCTTTCCTCTAATTTAGACATTCTGAATGTTTTACTGGCATCTTACCAGTGCCTTCTGCAGACAGCACCACTATTCAGTGCTTTTGTAGTCAGCAGGACTACTGTTGTGCATCACAGTAGCAATAAAATAGAAACTCCTGGTGGCTGCTGAATGAAGCATTTAGTTGTTACAATTTTAAAATATTTAATTCAAATCACGTGGATTGGCAATCTCAGTTCGTCCTCTAGTTCAAGATAAAGGAATCATGAAAGAGCAGGCAAAGAAATAGTGGTGATATTATGTATTTTACAGCTTAGTTTTCTTCTTCTATAGATTTACCAGATCTATGCCAAGAGATCCCCTGAAGATGTTTACAGAATACTGCACTCCTTTGGCACAGACTACGTCATCCTAGAGGACAGCATTTGCTATGAAAGACGACACAGTAGAGGCTGTCGGTTACGTGACTTACTTGACATAGCTAATGGCCATGTAAGTATAATGTACAAAAGTAATAAAAAAAGTACATTTCATTTCTGTCTGAAATACACTTACAATTTGAAGTAGCTTACGTGATTTTCACTTCATGAGTGTAGGAAGTAAAATCTAATGCAGCCTTTAGACATTCTCAAAAACGGCCAAATTGAACACTGCTTGCTTTGGTGATAATTGATAACAAAAGAAGGAATTCAGGCTAGGCAAAGTAAATCATCACTTCCTCATGTGCTCCCGGTCAGCAGTACACAAATAGTGTTCTCTTTCAGAGTGTGAATCACTTCAGAGCTTCAACTCCCTCAGGACACTTGTGTTACTCCATTTTGTCTGGGGATTTTTCAAGCATGTCTGGGACTAATATGGACCCACAGAAGACACCATAACCCAAAGCAGATAGGCACATCTGACAATTATTATCTGTAATAGAAAAGACACTGTATATATCTTATATATAATGTTATTTTCTTCCTCCCACTTGTTTTATACAGTTGCTGGTAACAACTCTGGCCACCCTGACCAAAGTATTGTCGAGGTTGTTTTCAGCTTCCTGTTATTGCCTGTAATTATAAATTGACTAAAGGCATTTCACCAACTCTTCAATTTCATTGCAGATCATGGATGGTTTGGGGGAGAATGAACCTGATTTGAAACCTTCGACGTATCCTCGCTTCTGTGAGGAAATTAAAAAAAACCTGCCTTCTTACACCACACACTTCATTAGAGTGTTTCAAAACAAAACATTCCATGTTTACAAGCTTGCTAAGCATAAATAACATTCCCAACCCTTTAAGCTCAGTATTTTAATGGTAGGACCCACATTAGAAGATGCAGAAGTTTACAAACACATTACATTTGTAAGACATTTTACACTGATAGTTTCTTGTTTAATTACTGTGATTCTTTTTTTTTTTTTTTTTTGGACAGTTTAGTTTTGATAACATTCTCAAATGCCAAAAGTTTCATAGATTCATAAATAAATGCTAGCAAGGACCATTTTAATAATAGAAAGTTTTCCAGTTTTAACTGACCGATTAAACACACTGAGCAGCCTGCTGTGTAGCTGACCAACAAGTTCTACTCAGCAGTTTGGATTTTTATTCTCAATTCAATAGGAGCAGGCCATGCTACTCTGATCGTGAGGATGCATTATCTTTGTGAATCCTAAAAATAGTCACAGAAATTAAGTTTTTTTTTCTTACAATCTGATCCTTTTTTGACAGATCGTTGTCCTCTTTCAGTGCCTCTTTTTTGAATTTTTGGGAAATGTTTGTGGATATGAGTTTCTGAGTGCAAGTGTAGTAATGTTAAGCATTTCATGATGGAATGTTATGTATTTCTAATGAGAATGAAGGTTGGAGCATGCTTGATACATGTTGCATGTTTGTATCCTCATAAAATGCTCAGAGCAAACAAAACTCCAGATTTCTCAGCGTGGATTCTCACAATGCTATTTTCTGTATCTGCTTTATGAACTACAGGGGATCCTTTTTCTGTGTCTGAATTCCAGTAGGCTACCAAAACTGAACACTGCCAACCTCAGAAAAGAAAAACTCATCTCTAAAATCAGCAGGGAACTAGGCTTTGCTTTATGTTATTTCAGACACAAAGCTATATATTTTAGCACAAAATCACTGTGTCCTTGCTCTTTAGCCTAGAAGAGGCTACACTTATTTTAAATTGACTTAGAAGATTCAGTGAAGACAGGCTCAATCCTGACAACTTTGTTTGTACCCTTTGTCTTTTTACCAGCTGGAACTTTGTGAATTGTATTGACTTTCTAAACGCTCTGTAGATTGCACATGACTTTTGCTGTGGTTTAGCACTGCTTTGGTTTTATACTGAAATTAGACATTAAATCTGATTGAAAGCCTAACAGTACTTTCCAACTTTAATTACACATCCACTAGGATCATTTGTTTCTTAAGAAAAACAGAATTGTAATAATCAAGTGCCTCTAGGCCAATGTTGAATTAACATTTGAACACCTATAAGAGTGTTTGTGGCCTGTGCAAATAACTCAGTTATAATCATTACCACTGCAATTAATTTCTAATGATGGGAAACTTAAAGTGCTACTGATAGCAAACCCCACATTAAATTTAATCAGGATGTGTAATGAGATTAGCTTTCACAACTGAGCTGTGTTCCAGTTCCAAATGATTTAAGTGTTTTCCCTTTTCAGCTGTGCTGAGGTAAATTACTGAAGCAATGGAGATGGTTATGTCACATGCTCAAACAATTTTATATTCAGTAAATACCCATTAAACAATGTTCAACATCTTTCTGCACTTCATGGTAACAGAGGAGGGAAGTGTGCTTTAATCACACTGTATTTAAATCAAACAGTGAAAGTAGTGAGGTTGTTAAACTGAGCAGCTGAAACTCCTGAGTAATTTCTAGCTTGTGTCCCTTATTGAGGTTGGAGACCACTGCAGTTTAACATAATGCAATAATAAAACATTTTAATCAGTATTAAAACTTTAATTAGGCCTGTAATGATGCATGCCTGCTCTTGCTGAAAGCATGGGTCAGTGAATTCCTCGATGAGTGCCTTACAGTAATTGAAAACAAGCACACGTAAGGTAAAGTATCTCCAGGCTGTATTGTCTCACTTTAAAATGTGGTTGCATCTTTCTTTAAAGGTGCAGTAGCTCTCTTCTGAGTGAAATGACAGATTCCAAGATCCAGTGGTACCCCTATTGCTGTCAGTTTACTTGTGGGTAACACCTGAGAGACTAAGTTTTGACTGTAACAGTAATTATTTTTAAGTAGATTTTTTTTCCCAAAATACAGTCTCTAATGTTGCCAAAGGAGAAATGTAACCCTTTTGTTGAAACTACCAAGTGCAAATTGTTTTGGTTTAAAACAAAACAGTCCCCGAGCTCCCACTGCCCTTGGGTAAGCATAAAAACCATTGGCCATTACGATCCAGAACCACCACAGTAACATCATTTCTTCTTGCAACACAAACATCCCCCCAGGTAGCACACCAGAATTTTGAAGGATGATACATAAAGTATTAAGGAGATAGCCTAACTCTTGCAGTTCACAGTCCTTAAAGCCTCGTGTCATAGCTGGTGGCACTTCTAAACAACCTCAGCAGTTCCTGAAAAAGAAAGATGCAAAACTGAAGGGAAGGGTGTATTTCAGTGACTGCATAGTGCAGCGTTCAGACCAGGCTCCTTACAACAGTAGAACAGAAAATAACAAGGAGGAGAACCGTTCACCAGCTCAGAGGAGAACAACCCAGGCATCAAGACAGCACTGGAGGAGAGGGAGTGGCTGTTTCTCTGGCCTTCATTTAGGGGCTCTCCAGGTAGAGGAGCTAACTTACTTCTGATGGATCTGTGGTGCCTGCTATAGATGTGGCTGTGAGAGTCTCAGGCTTCTTAGGAGGTAGGTGGTAGTTGTCTAGTAACTATTTCCTCTATTTCTCATGTCTAGCTGGGATCTCTGTTCACTGCATTAAAAATGTGCCAGGTTTTGAAGAGTAACTTCAGCTATTCCTGAACTTCCCCCTGAGCACCTTATTTCCAAGCAGTTACTGCAGTGTTCCTGTTCCTTTGTATTACCTACCATCCACACTGAGGAACATCCCTCGTGGCAGCGTGTTTGCCAAAGTCTTACACGTGACTAGCAATGGGAATGGCACCACTGTGACTCCTGGTGTGTTTCCCTATTGTCTGTGAGAACTTTGAAGCTGTGCACTGTTGGTGGAAGTGTGGTATTAATTACTCTTTGTAGGTCACAGAGACAAATGTTATCAAGTAGCCGGAATATTTTTAGGGAAGAAATGCCTTTGAGATCCATGAGTGTATTTTCATTTCTTGTTTCAGTGTTCTGCCGTTGAGATCTAACATAGTTATTTTATAATATGTTATTGTAAAGAGATGTAATGACTATTGTATACTAAATAAATTGTGCAATTTGAAAACTCACTTTTTTGGTTGGTTTTATGTTGGGATGGACTGGGAAAGGTGCTCTGAGGGCATCACCTTCACTTCTGTCTGTGTGGAGGAAAGCAAGGTATTTTTCAGGAGGAAGTTTTGACTTTTCTCAGGCATGTTACATTGCATATTCACTGACTTTTTGAATCCCCTTTGTGTTTAAAGGGCTTGCTGGGATTCCTTTCCCTGTTACAAGTTAAAGGTGTATCAGGTATGATTTTTATCAGTCGCCATGTGTCCTGGATTCAGCAGTAGCAGTCATTTTTCTCCTCCTTGGTAGCTGGTGCAGTGCAGTGTTTTGACTTTCAGCTCGGGAACAGAGCTGATAACACTGATGTTTTGGTTTGTCCAAGGACTTTGTGAGCCTCATGCTCTGCCAGGGAGTAGGGGAAGCCGGGAGGAAGCAGAGACAGGACACCTGACCCAAGCTAGCCAAAGGGGTATTCCATACCACAGCACGTCATGCCCAGGATGTAACAGAGTTACCCGGAAGGGCTAGGACTGCGGGGTTGGAGGAGGTATCGGTCAGAGCTTGGTCGGGCTGGGGGGGGCGAGTTATCGGTTGGCTGGTGCTGAGGTGTTGTATTCTCTTCCCTTGTTATTTCCTTTATCATTATTATCATTGGTGGTAGCAGTGGTGATTTGTGTTATACCTTAGTTACTAAACTGTTCTTATCTCAACCTGGGAGTTGCATTCTTTTCAATTCTCCTCTCCGTCCCTCCGGGAGTAAGGGGAGGGAAAGAAGTGGGGGGAAGTGAGTGAACGAGTTTCCTGACTGGGTTTAGACCACGACACCATGTTAACTTCAGTAAGGTCAGTAGGCTGAGGCAGTTATGCCCTTTAAGTAAATATAATTTGCTTTGACCAATAGTCTGTGTTTATTTCCACATTGTAGCTCAAGCTTTAGCATTCTTCTCAGTAAACGAAACATGCATTCTTTGGGAGAAACAAATTGAGCATACTAAGGGCATAATTTGAAGCAGGATGTGCTGATCCATGTAAGCTTTTATAAGTCCAGGTGTTCCTGCCACAGGGAGGAGCCGGGTTTGTAGAGCAGCAGGTACCTGACTGCAGTCACAGCATTGCAGGTTAGAACCACTCTCAAAGGCAGTTATGGAGGAGTTTGCTCACTGAAATTAATTAGATGCAGATAGGGCTCCTGCAAGATTCATTAAAGAAATAGAATGTAATTGGTACATGTGCTTGCAGAGGGGATTCTGGGTTCTAGAGAACCAGTTTTCTAAAAACCTCGTTGCCATTAGCATGGTACAAGGGAGTGGGTCAGAGCTAAGGGCAATCGGCTTTTGTACAGCTTAGCTACATGTTACATACTTAGAATGTTATTTTAAAGGGGGAAAACCACAAAGATTAATGTAGTTGACAGGCAGATTAAATACTAATAGACACCCATAGGGTTTAAATTTCAGACCTTTGCAAATATTTTATACTCAATAAAATGTTCTTCCTACATGGCTAAAGTCTGTAAAGAATGTAGATTAATGAAAGCACCAGATTACTGAAAATCCCACTACCTAGGGACCCAAGAATAGTTTTTATCCAATGTTTTTTCTTCCCTCACCCACTGCAGGGCTTTCTGCTGTGAAGCAGCTGTTCCTGTTCTTGAGTGACAGCCATGTGTTGCAGAATGACTCTAAGAGCAGAACCATAGAGTTCTGGAGGACTGTGCAAGCAAGGCAGGGGGTGGCCCCCACAGGTGGCCGGAGACCGGACCTGGGAGGAGAATGTGGAGGAAGCTGTGGGGGCTAACCAATACTGTTGTGCCAAGAAGGAGTGGCTGAATTCCACTCCTATATATGTGTGAACTGCGTCACAAATAAAGGAGAAGTTGCTTATCACCCAAAAAAAAAAAAAAAAAAAAAATAGGGGGGAGAGAGTAATGATGTTACATTTAACTTTAACCTGTCTACTTCTGAAGAACTGATAACCTGGGGGAGGGGGTACATTTGTGTCCTCCTGCCTACAGGTCCATGGCGACTGCCTGCAAAGTTTGTGAAGCCTTCCCATGAGCTGGACAGACGAATGGATAAACCTGATGCCTCAGCTACAGGAGCTGACCATGAATACCCCAAGCAGAATGAGATGGAGGAAGAGAAAGAACAAATAACTGCAAAACATCACTTGGGGGCAACTGAAAAGTAACATCCTGAATATGTGTGCTTGTAAAGTAGCTATTATTAGAGGTTGTGATTTTTTGTATAAAACCACCTGTATTTACTAGCTAGTTGCTAATAAGAAACTGCACCTTGTATTGTATAGATTTGTCACTTGTAAAAGAGATGTTAGAGTATGCAAATTTGCAGTAGCCGCTAGAAAATGCTAAGGCAAAAGCTAGAAAAATTTTAATACAATGGTAGTGTTCTAAAGCAGGTGATGGAACAAATTAAGAGGGGGGGAGAATTCCACTGGTAAGAAATTTCTTTGGCTAGTCCTTCACTGCCATCAGCATCTTCAACATGCTGCTGCACCCTGTAATAGTTACTCTGCTAATGTAAGTTTGTGTGTGCCTTGCTGTAGTAACAACTTGTTACTGGATAAAACAAAAGGGGGAAGATGTGGAGACAGTGTTCTCACAGGAGAATGCATAATTGGTACATAAACTTTGAATAGTCCTGAAAGATACAGCAAGGCCATGGGAGGCCCGAAGAAGCTTAAGAAAGCAAGATAAGAGGCTGGAATTTACCAAGTTAATGAGAACTGTGGACTGTTGGCAAGCTTTCAAGGTTGAGTTCTCACACCTGTGTTTAACCAATTATATGTTAGTCACTAAGGGTCTTCAAAACATGTATCCAATCATAATATGCCAAATCACTGTAAGTGCTTCAGCCGGGGCCTTGGCTCCACTAAGCAGACTGGGTTGCTGAGTTGCTAAGCAGACACTTCTACATCGAAGGCAATTTCTGATTTGTTTTAATGTTGACTCTGTGAGACATGCAACACTGCAGAACCTTTTGTTGTTGGAACAGGGACATGGATGTGAAGAGTTTGATGGAATGTGTTGTATGAGTTTCTCTGATTATGCTGATTTGATGCACGCACAGCTGAGAACCCTGGCTCAGCTTACCCAGCAATTGTAAATGAGCAATATCCTAATAATTAGATGGTTGTCTTCACGGGGCATTACAGGTTGAGTCAAACACTGTTGTTTGAAGTATTGCACTTATGTATCATTGTTAGGTTAATCATCGTAGCTATTAGACTTGCTTATAGTTGTGTGATAAAACAGGTGAACAGAATAACCCATAATGCCTTGCTTGCACAAAGAAAAAGGGGGGAATTGTTGCAGAATGACCCTAAGAGCAGAACCATAGAGTTCTGGAGGACTGTGCAAGCAAGGCAGGGGGTGGCCCCCACAGGTGGCCGGAGACCGGACCTGGGAGGAGAATGTGGAGGAAGCTGTGGGGGGCTAACCAATACTGTTGTGCCAAGAAGGAGTGCCTGAATACCACTCCTATATATGTGTGAACTGCGTCACAAATAAAGTGGAAGTTCCTTATCACCCATATTGGGTTGGCTTGTCTGCTTCTCCTCGCCGCTAACAGCCATGCTACTTTGCAGTAAGCTCTTTTGTAGAAGTACTGAAATACCTGTATGTGTTGGTGTAAATGTGGAGCCAGTGAATATATCATTTCAGAAACTGCACAGTAATTAAAAAAGCAGCATGCAAATTAGAATAGATAAATTAAGCGAACTAACTAGTAATCCCTAGAAAGAGGTTTTAATAGGGCATGACAGCTGCAAATGAGTATGTCCTGTTACTGTGATTACTACAAACTACACACGTTTCTTGAGCAGTTTTAAAATGGTTTCTGACCTTTTGGGTTACACTGTAAGGCCAACTGCAATTACACAGCAGCTGTGAGCTTGGGGCAGGGGGTTATTATACATGTTTACTTACAAATCAGTGCTATAGCTTAGCAGGAGCACTAGTATGCTAGTACTGCAGCAACTCCAGGTTAGCTTCAGCAAACAGGACCAAGACTTTGATATCACAGAATTCTTAGACTAATTGCTACAGAATCCACCACCATGCTGTGTGCAAAAAGCACCTGGGCAATGGTACCATGCCTTGTGAGTGTGTAACTGGAGCGGGAGTCCACACATCCATTAGAAATAGCTGCTGCTTCCCTTGGCTTCAGAGAGAGCAGCACGCATGACTTATGTCTGTGGAAGTATCTGATCACAGCTGAGGGAGAAATAATTCAATAGAGTCCAAGCTTTAATCAACCCTAAATATATTCAAGGAGGAGACACTACATACAGGTTTATCTGTTACTTATATGGTGCCTTAGATACATACACCACTTCATGGGAGAATACAGTCTTTGCCCCAAGGAGCTTACAAGCTAAAATTGATTAAAACCAGCCAAAACAACAGCATATCCATAGGTATGGACAGAGCATAAGGTGTGCAAAGTTACTCCTGTTTGGGGAAGGAAGAGAGTTTTGTGTGTAACATATTTGCTTCATTTTCCAGATCCTGTTTGTGACTTCTATGTTCACAAAATATAGAGGCTGACACACCTCACATGTGAACACTGAGAGGTATTTTAGCCTGTATTTCCTCACAGGTAGGAGTATTGGTAATATTTCAACATCACAGACTATGTACAGCCTGTGAATCAAAGCTATCAGGTTGGGGGAAAATGGCATTTAGCTTTTCCAGAAGGAAACACCACATCATCTGCAGTGTAACCACTGGTTAACGGTGTGCTCAAGGTTTTCCAACATGTCATAAACGCACACAGGAACAAGGTTACCATGTGAATGTCTCCCATCTGGGAAGGGTGCAAATTAAGCCAGCCACAGACTCACCCACCTGTTTGTTCATGGGGTTTTAATACAAAAACAACAGCCAGACCTCCCAAAACAAGCTATTCTGCAACTTTAATCAAAGCAGTTTTAATTGCTTTTACAATACAGTTTGATGCTTTAAACAAGTTATCTTAATGTATGATATATTCGTTTTATCAGCCTGTAAGTCACATATTCTATGCTGCTTCTTGTGTTTGTGTCCTAAGATGGTGTTCCTGCTGTACTTTACTCCATTCATATATACAAGAGGCCTCAATTTAAAAGGAAAAAAAAATTAGTCTTGTGGGGCCTTTTCCAACTATTGTCAAATTTAAAAAATGAACTACAGAACGTCAGCTGGCCATTAAACCGTCTGAAAAAGGGACTGATAACTTAGAGCATAATATTGCAGCCCCTGCAAACAGTGTTAGTTTTTCCCTGCGTTTCTCTGTCCCGAGTTGATGATGATTTTCTACTAACCTGTATCCGAGGGAGGCCTGTGTTACTCTGTGCTGTCAGTAACAGCCTTTGGAAAGTTGCCATCTTTGGATTATTAGACTTTTGGCAGGGTTTTATCACAGGATTTTAATTTTAGAAGTGCTAGCACCAGGTGAAGTTCTTTTCTGGATACAGGACTTCAGTCATCCCAAAGACACTGGGTATTCTGACACATCCAAGGGATGTTGTGTTTTAATTCACTGAAAATGCCTCTGAATCCCCGGTCAGCTCTCCCTGCCAAGGCAGTACTTGGCTACAGCTGTAGTGGGTCAGTGCTTCTATTAGAGCAGTTAGTCTGCAGCCTCTCAGCCCTAATTCTTGCAATGCTTCTGTTAAAGGAAGTTTAGCAGAATCAAGGGACAGGAATGTACATGCAAATGATAAGGTTCAGGCTGCTCCTTAGTTTAGGCTCAGTTTAATAGCTCATTAGGAATGAGAGATCACAGTGAACTGTGGTGTCTGCTACTAACTAGACATCTTTGGGGCTGGTATCTTAGAAATCCTGGCCTTTTAATTCAGACCAATATTTAGCTGCAAGCAGTGGATTGATGTGTTGCGCCTAAATTCAGATTCTGCATTTAAACAACAGCATGAAGGAATTTCATTAAGGTAACTGAAGCTGAAGATGACCATCCATGCTGCTTCGTTCCTTTACCTGGATATGCAGACCCTGGTCTGCAGTGGGTTCAGTAAGCAAGTGCTGCAGCTGAGGCTTAGTCAGGAAAACAGGTATGGCTGTAACACAACATGGAGCTGATTTCCATGAGAAGATGACATGCTTTTTTAACTCCAACTGATAAAGCTCCTACTGAAAACTGGACACACAGTGTACTTTCTTCATGCTTTGAGCACCGTCTTAGTGTACATACATAGTACCTCACAGAGTCCTTTATTACCTTGACAAGTCTATTTGTTAAACCCTGTAGGTAAATAAGTATTGCCTTCCAGTAATTTTATATCCCTGAACACAAATGCCCACAATATCCCACAATTAGCTCCTGCTACTATATTGTTCAATCAGATGCAAAGTGTGGCTGGCTAATGGGAATCTGACCACCTCCCACAACAGGGGAAGAAAAGGGAAGAGGCTGGGGTAGGACATAACAGGAGCATGAAAAACTGTCCTTCACCCTTGCTTTGAAAACAGTTGACTTGGCAAACTACAGCTCTTCTGCATCTGTGTGCGAGAACAGTTCACTCAGTTTGAGACGCTTCAGTCCCCACTCTTTAATGTCATCATACACAAGGTCCTCCTCCAGTCCAGAGGAGCTCAGGGAGCTCAGGCTGCTGCCCACCAAGCCTGCTCCTTCCATGCAGAACACCCGCAGCGTGCGGGTGTGGTACCGCCTGCGGACGACAGTCGGCATCTCAGACAGCATCTGACAAGCACTGACAGAAGTCTGCGCTAGTCCAGGACGCTCCTACAGTCACAGGGGGCCTGGTCTGCTCCTGTGTGCCTGGGGACGTCACTGAGGAGACGGCCCAGCCTTGTTGGTTGTTCTTTCTTCTTGCAGAGGGAATAGGCAGCACTGCTTTGAACAGACACCTGCAGCTCTGCCACGTTGCATGCAGCCTGGAGTGAGAAACCACTCATGTTAAATCAGTATTCTCTGTAGGTCTCAAAATTTCATGTTCTAGTGGAAACAAAGAAGGAACAAATCCCAAGGCAGTCCATTTGGGGTGAATGCATGAGGATGTGAATACATGGCTTTGTTCATTCAACTGCCACCTACAATAAGCCTAAGCCAAAAGGTATAAGGAACACCTATGCAGCTATACTACAACAGTAAAGAAATTAAACATGATTTTGAACCTATTAGAAGTGAAACAAAAATGACAAAAATGCTCCAATTTTTATTCTCAAATTCAGATCTTAATATTTTATCATCATTAAAAACTGATACCAAGTCTGGCAACAAAAGTGAGAAAGGATATTCACAAACCACATGTTAAAAGAAATCCTTCATCAGTAGTTCAACCATCTATGGTGATTTCTGTTAAAATGTTATCAATCTGTGGAATAATGGCTGGTTTTGTCACACAAAAGTGGCATGACTGTAAAATCCGAGTAACTACCTATTACAAAAATAAACTATTCCCTTCTAGTGCAGAAGCAGTGAATGCTGTTAATGCTGCCTGGTAACTGTGCCGCAGTTCCTGAGGTGCAGCTTCTGGCAGTGAAGGCACCAATACCATGTGTGTCAGTTGCAAAGACTGGAATCTTTATGCCAGATGGAAGGAAGAAGAGAAGCATTGTCCTACAACCAAAGGTTGTGCCTCTGGATGTATTTACAAGCCAAAGAACCCTGACAGACTATGAGAGACAGAACTCATTTGAGCAAACACGTAATTATCTGTACTGCTCACACGTTTTATCTGACTAGTAGGCATCAATGACAGAGCTGTCAAATCAGCACTTTCCAAAAACTTACATTTATTCTCTCACAAATTAAACTCCACATATCCATTTTATAAGAGATGATCCTAGGTAATCTTGGTGAGCTTTGCTGAATTTCAATCGGAGACAGAGAACTGCTCCAAGATAAAAACAAACAAAATCCTACCTGCAACCAGGAACTGTTTATACTGCCAGTATAAACACAGTTTGTGTTCACTGGTGTGCTTCACTCCAGAACAGAAAAAATGCAGAAAGGCTCTTCCACAACCACCATGTGCTCTAGGGCTGAAGAGGAATCGGTGTCACACCTTGCTTCCTTAACATGTCAAGTCTGAGCAACTGCTGTCAAGAACAGCTCCCCTTTCTCTGCCAAGAGCAAGCCTGTCCATGAAGAACATCTCACGCCAGGCTCTTCCAAGCCCCCAGTGCTGCAGCAGTAACTGCCACCAAGAACCTGCGTGTTCTGAGCCACAAAACCAATACCATCAGCTGTGAGCTCTTTACTACCTCACTAAACTCACTCTACAAGGATTTTTAAATATGCACATAGGATCATTTGCTTTAAGACAGAATTTGATAGGCACTTATCTCTGCTTAAGAAACGTGCACCCTTGTGTACTCAACCTTGCCAATAATTCATCACCAATTGCAGTAATGAGTTGGCAGAGCAAAACCTAAGGTCTTCAGTTATAAGAGAAAAGCATAAACACATTTTCATTAGCACCGTGTCCCCTCATAACACAATGACCCTTACCTCGTCTTGCTCCCCACCCCCTTCTTCATTGTAATTGAGGATATTTTCTCGTCCTCCAAACCTTCATGCTGGGCAGATACATGGTAAACTCCTCGCTTCACACCTTTGCGAGTCTTCCAGTGAGCCCACAAGAATCCAGCACCAAGAAGAGCTGTGTGAACACACAGGAGCAGAAGAGAACATCATTCAGAAACAGATAAAACCTGTACATGCACAAGAGCTGCAGCCTGGCCTAGAGTATGAGTGCTGCAGCACTGCCTGTGGTCCAGTCACAGCAAGGTCTGGTTTTGTGTTTCTTAGCAAATGCTTTATTCTTGTACTCTTCAATGTAGTTACAAGTGAACATCAAAGATAGAACAGGCCTTGAAAAAGAACCTTAAAATACCCTAAATACTCTTAAGCTGTTAAATAACTGAATGAACCCAAGTGGTGTTCAGAGACCTATTTACTGCCTTGAGTTAAGCTTTGTAAGTGGTAGCACTTCAGTTAACAATGTGTGGTCAATAACAGATACAATTACACAGAAATGAAGCACAAGATGACATGAGACAAAAGAGAAAATTACTTTGATACATTTTGTGTACCACTGTATTACCAACCCTATAAATACTGATAAAAGCTCATTGTAAGACTTCAAACCATTGGACATCATAAACTAAGGATGAAGTGAATTAACAACACTAGCAGCTCTTACAGAATACCTACGTGGCAGTCGAGTGCATTCTGTGGAGCAGCATCTGGATGACCTTGAAACTGAGGCACGTGTACACAGAGGGCTGTACCCTGCACTGTGCTGTGTAGCTACAACCTTCAAGCCAAATCAGTGCATTTGAGATGTGTATTTACCTGTTCCTCCCTGCCCCTCAATGCATCACACAGATGCTCACACACATGGTAACTGTCTGGTAGTCATTTTTTAGCTGAGCTGATTTTTAATCACAGAATCCCAGACTGGTCTGTGTTGGAAAGGACCCTAAAGCTTATCCAGTTCCAACCCCTTGCCATGGGCAGGACGCCTTCCACTAGACCAGGTTGCTCCAAGCCCCATGCAACCTGGCCTTGAACACTGCCAGGGATGGGGCAGCCACAGCTTCTCTGGGCAACCTGTACCAAGGCCTCACCACCCTCACAGGGAAGATTTTCTTCCTCGTATCTCATCTCAATCTCCCTCTGTCACTTTAAAGCCATTCCCCCTTGCCCTGTCACTACAGACCCTTAGTAGAAAGTCCCCCTCCAGATTTCTTGTAGGCCCCCTTCTATTGGAAACTTATAAATTTGTAAGTGAAATTGCATGTATCAATCATTTTTCAGTGCATTACTGTTTTCTAGAAGCTGTGAAAGAGAAAGGGCACCTGAAATCTTGAGAACAAGAAATTTTATTAAAGTTGTCCTAATGGAAGTTACAGTTCTGTGATAATACCACTGTTAGCCACATCTACTAAAATGTTTACAACAATGCACATCACTTGGTTAAAAAAAACTGATTCTTACTTATAATTTAGAACTGAAAGATTAGGATTATTAGGTCAAAGATATTCTTGCTTTTTCAGTCAATTCCAGCCAAGCACAGGCAGCAACACAAAGTCACCTCACAATAAAACTCCTCCAACACAGCAAAAGAATCCCTCCTGTAACATAACAATCTATTATCAGCCTCAGCTACCTGGGATTCTGAAAGCTTTGAAAGTATTTGGCTTCCCATGTCATTTTCTGTTTGTATTTGTATGGCCAACATGGTGTCTAGGAGAGCTGAGGACAATGATGGTATTGCAGGTAGCTAGGCAGATAGATTTAAAATCCACATTCATTTTCATATTCTCACTACAGCTTCTGAATGAAACTTAATTAACACTGCAAAAGCCAAGAGAGAAATCTTTCAAGCAAACTTTCATAGAATTTGATTAACAAGAAGGACACAAAGGTGAGATCCTTCCTCACTAGTGAGACCCTTGTTCTTCCTCTTCTGAGATCTGAAAATGGTTGAGGAAGCAAAAAGCAGCTGTTTGTTAGGAGCTGTGACACCACTGGTTAAGATGCAAGAGACTGCTATTCTCTGATCAAGTGTACTCCTAGTAGTGTATTTCCCCTAGACTGACAAATCCATTTAACGCTCAGTAGTATTTTAAACAAAGCTTATCTGGTAGCAATTTCCACCCTTGCTTTTCGATTACATTCGCTTCCAATTAGGCATCTGAACACTTCCTTAGCAATAAAGTAAAAACATGCATAAAATAAAACTTCAAAGCTTCCCATAACTCTCACAAATGTTGATTCACTTAGCAAGATACGCACACCAGGATGAAAAACAAGCTACTGATGGAGCTGGGAGCATGGCAAAGAAGTGAAGGCAGAGTCAAGTCTCCAGTGGGAAACTGAGTTTTTCAGCAGAAGAGTGAGATGAAGACTATTCAGGACAAGATGGATAAATGAGTTCACCATAGGTAGTGCAAGATGTAGTTGCCATAACTACCTAACAGAGCCAAAAAGCAAATGCAGATGGCAAACATGGATCTAAAGCTCAGGCCTGTATCCTTGCGAAAGACGGCCAGTGTGACCTCACAGGTATGTCCAGTATAGCCATCAGGGCAGCGGCACTGGAACTCAGCTGGTGACTGTGAGATGCAGGTGCCGTATTTACAGGGTCTTTTAGCACACGCAGTGTGGACACATTGTCTACCAGTGGCATTCTCCATGATCATGTATCCTGGAGGGCAACTAAAAAGACAAAGGCAAAATGAAACCATTAAACTTGTAGAAAAGTAAGCATTGAAGACAGCATTTAAGATTTAAAACAGAATTTGATGATGCAGTTTCTGAAGTAGCTACTAGAAGGAAGTTACTTAGAATCTAAGTACAGGTCTACAGTATTTCTAAAGCACCCACACAACAATGCGTTCCACAGCTTTAAACCCTCAGGTTTTCTTAACTCAGTTCCACTGACTTCTGCCAGATTACCCATGTGAAAAATACCTGCATTAGGGTCTGTAGTTCTGTCTCAACAGGATGGGCTATGCCATGCTCTTTGTGTTTCCATCACAGTGAATTCCCAGAACAAAATTACACCTCTAGACAACTCCTGATACTGTGGACAGTGGAGTCATTAATGCTTCACATGTACGTTTTCACAGCACAATTAGCTTGAATTAGCATTGTTTTAACCCCAGCCACAGACAAACGCAAGAACTCTGAGCTTAATGATGCAATGCTTCTGACGCAACTCAAGTGGCCAGTGAGGGGTCAGAGGTCAGAATTTAAGACAGCATTAGGAGTGGGACACTAAAAAAGAAACCACATCTACATTGCGCAGCACGAGCTCCACAAGACAGCTAGCCTTGGTAGTGCTCTGCTCCAGGTAACAAACCTTTTCTTCCTGGTTGTCAGGGTTTACAGAGTTTATAAACATTCTGGACTTGCTGCTATTCTTCAAACATTTTCCATTAGAAAAGAGAGGCAGCTGAAATCATTTCAGAACCAGTGGAGATAAAGCAGATTTACATCAGCTAAGGGTACTTCCTAAAAGGAGAGTGCTCTCTGAGTAACATGGCACCTGTGCAGGCATCTAGCTTAGTGTTTCACTGGTTCTGTTGAGGTGATGAGATTCCCAGTGGCAGTCTTCCAGCTGCACACTTCTTCAGCTTCCACCCTTTCCCACCTGCAGCTGGAGGTCCTCATGTTTTTATTACCTGTGTTTTGTGCACCAATTACCTGCATTCATGCATCATCCACAAATCAATACAAATAAATTCCTGGTTACAAGGGTTATTCCTACAAGCTTCTGAAGAACAGCCTTCTTTGATGCCTTGGGCACTTAATACTGACACCAGATCCTTCACATGAGTGTCCAGAGGGATTCTGTAGTTATTAAATCTGACATCCTTCATACATCCTGAGGCAAGGCACAAAGAAATTGTTTTAAAAGCCATTCTGCAAGAATGATCTGAAGCAGCTGTAAGATTTGGCAGTTTATGTCTAACAAAGGAACTGAATTTACCTGAACTTTCATAGCATTTCTCCAAGTAAGTTTTTTGACTGAATGTTAAAAGTTTTGACCAAAATTCCCCATGTTTTCCACAAGAACTGAGTGCTGCTGCAGGCCCCTGTCTGCTGGGTTCAAGACAGAATAACATGTACCCCTTCACTATGTTTTCATGTCATTTTGTATGTACAAGATGCCTCAGCACAAAAGCATCTATCTTTATGTATTTAAGTACATTTTATAACTTCAAAGACCTTAAAGTTTAGCTGCTTAAGTGCAATATTAATTGTTCTAGTTAAAATTATGATCATGTAACCATTTGACTATTTACTTAAAAACAAATGCTATCACTCCCATAAGAAAAATTCAAAACGTGGTCCCTCATTCTGAGTGTAAACTTTAGGTATTGGAATATTTCTATTGAAACAAGAGAAACCATCTTTTTCTAAATAATCTGTGATACATTGATATTGTAATTGTAAAATATATATGTTGTTATTCTATTTAATGCATATACATTTTGTATGTTTTCTCCTCCCACTTTAGTTATTAACTGGAATACTTTTACCTGGTGAAAACATTACCACCTTGTTTCAATGGATTTACTCTAATCTGGTTAAAGAGGTGAAGGGCATGGGGGAGAGATAACAGGCATGAACCAAGTAATGGTGTGTGTCTTTCTTGTCAGTACAAAAGATGTGCTGTGTAACCAGGCATTATTTATACTGTGATTTTAGGGAAAGGGAAGCTTCCAACTGAGGACAGCGTAAAAAGCTGTTATGGGTGTCTTAATCTTACATTTCTCTATATTTCTCCTTGTATAACCATTCAATTTTCAGGCTTAAAATGGATTTGCTTTTTAACAGACATCATGACTTCGTCCACTCAGTTGACAAAAATCTGAATTCTTAGCTCTAATTCAATAAACCATTTCTAATTGTAGTTAATGCCTCAACTTAGTGATGGTAAAATCCGGTAAACAAAGGGTAGTGCATCAAGGTAATAAACCAACCTGTCATCTGCTATTCAGTGCACATATAAAAATACTCCTTCCAGCACAGGGACAGCTGTATTTGGTAGGGAAGGACAGCTGTTGGATGGCCTGGATAGCACTATGCAATGCACCAATTCTGCATGTCTAACACAGTGAGCTACTCACAGAATACCTGGGAGAAGCTTGTAGACCTCCAGCTACAAATACTCTATGTACAGGCATGTGAAGAGGTTACCATCTTATTTCCAAGTCCAGTATTTGCACATAATACCCTGCTGTACTTTTCTCATAGTCAGAAAAGTTTATGTCTCCCTTTCGCAAAGTGTCATGCAAGAAATCTGTTTACTCTGGCCTCTACATAAACAGAAAAGCTTCTCACAACATGCCCACGTAGTACCAATAAACCTTTTTTACAGTGCATACTCTGAACACCAAGGTCAAGAATTCCTCACCTTGAAAACTCCTGTTTTGATTGAATAGGTGGGTGTTTCCAAGGACCAAGCTACTGGGGTCAATCACAATCTCTTTGTACATTCCTGCTGCTTTCCGAATTTCTCTCTTTCCACCTCCTTCATAAAGGCGAAGAGTAAATTCATTTTCATTTCTCTCCAGTGTGATATGATGCCATTCACCATTATCAATGCGGTAGGAGGGAAGGCTTACAGAATAGTCTCCATCACCCAGATTATATGAGACCACTAATAATCCCTGAACAACCTTGTGAATAATTAACAAAGTAGTAAGAAAGAAAAGTCATCACCTGATATTTTGTATTGACCTGTAACTTCAATCAATTTGTTTAAATTTAGGGTATGTTGACGGTGCACACAGAGTATAATATACATATAGTGAGTTGCTGAACTGGACAACCTAAATACTGGTAGTGGTGTACCCACACTAGCATGGAATTCACTTGGAGTAATTTTACCCTGCATCTCTATTGGATCAATTTATAGGGCTCTTCAAATGGGTGAGAATCTGATACATCACCTATACACTAACAGCCCAAACCAACTTAGCTGAAGAGGTGACTCATTCAGTGATGTGTGTAACATGGGAAGGGTGTCATGTTGAGAGTCTGACATCACTAGAACTGCTAGAGGCACGTTTCTGGCAGAGTCTAAACTATGCAGAATCAGCCACTTGTGACCCTGGTTGAAGAGAACACCAGGGTAGCAAACTATACTTCACAGTAACTGGCAATAAATTCCTTTGAAATCCAATGGGATACCATGGTTGTGTGGTCAACATCTTAATTGGAGGTTCAGGTCTGTAAGTGTCCATAAAATGAATTCAAAATTTTTTTGCTTAGCATGAGGTTTTTTGTTCTATTTCCAACTTAAGCTAATGTTTTTCTGGGCTAACTATTCACAAGCATTGATTTAACTTTACGATATCACTGTCTGGGACACGTTGCTCACCTGCAGGGTGATGTATTCATCCTTATTTCGAGACAACATGCTTGCGATGACACCATCAGGCTGCCGTGTCCTAATCATGGCTTCAAACAGTGTCCTCCGGGCAGGCACACTGATGGGAAGCTGATAGCGAATGTGACTTCCGGGCCCAAATGTATATTCATTGGCAACTAAAAATACAGGACAAAGACCTTTAAACCATTTTGTGAGAAGCAGAAAATATTAATGTTTACATTGTTTTCATAGTAATATTTGAAAGTAAAAAATTGAAATGCACAGCATGGATCCATGAAACGTAAGTTTTCTTTCAGGATATGCCCATTTATCTGTTTCCACAACAGTCATTCTCCCACTTTATCCTCCTCTCTAAAGAGGTGATCTCCCTCCTGAACTGATCCTGCTGTTGCTCCTCCTTACAGTGCTCATTCGGGATGATAGCAGGAAGATAGAGGCTCTGACCAAGACAAAAGAATAGACTGCAAAGTATTAAGTACCACAACCAATTTTCACAACCTGGTATTTAATAGTTGTATTTTTGCCACAAATTTTGGCTCCATAAGGGCTAAAGGTAAGATCCTACGATACCAAAACCACACATCCTTCTGCCAACAGTCTCCTCCAGACACCAAAAGAGCTATAATTTCTAATTCCAGTTGCATAGTCCCAATTCTGCACATTAAGGGGTAGTGGCATACTCACATTTAAGTTTTAGGTTATTAGATATTTCTGAAAGTATAAACAAATGCAAATTCTAAAAGTTGTCATGAAAACAAATAATTTTTTCCAGAATTCTTTTTTCATGCAATCTCCATTGTATAGTTACTGCACAGGACTATATAGTCACTCTCAGGACTAAAGAACTGGTCTGATACTGGAGAGCGATTTCTCAAAGGGAATTAGAAAGGAAACTGTAAAAAATGGCAGGCAACTACACTGGAACATGGCTTTACACAGTGTAAACATCACAAGCCACCTCAGCAATCACTACCTGCAAACATTCTAAGTTTTCCGTATTGTAAAATTTACCAGCCTATCAATGACATAGCAGAAGACGACTTCACCTTTATCACACTGATAGCCATAGTAACCCGGCAAACACTGACAAGCAAATGAGCCCCAGTCTCCAAGACACCTCCCATGAACACCACAGGAAGAAGACCCCATGGTCTCACAGCTCCCATCCGTAAGCGTGCAGCCAGGGAAGCTATTCAGGGACTCTGCAGGAGACTGAAGATCATATACCTTTAAGAGAAAATCATACAACACCAAAATATTATTTAAGAAACACACTTCATTTTTAAAAAGAAAGAGCTCACCAAGTAACAGTCTGTTCTTCATCTGTACTACTTAAGATGCCAAGTTTGCCTTTTGATATTCAGATTTCAACTTATTTTATCAAGACCACATTTTGCTTTTGAATAAACTCAACTGACTATGAAAGCAAAAAAACCCTAATACTTTCTAACAAAGCAGACAGCTGGCGTAAATATACCATTATGCAATTGCCATTCACAAGTTCCCTGAATGTGCAAAGAAGCTCGGAAGACAGCTGCATGTAGTAGCGGATAAAGAAAAGCACTGGTTTTGGCTCACAGATATATCTGTTTATAATTGAAAAATATTTTTTCAAGGTAGTTACTCTAATATGACACAAAATTCAGAATTTTCTTTATTTTACACTGATGCACACAGGCATTGAATAGGTGAATGGAAGCAAAAGTTTCAGGTATAACACAGATGCCCCAAAAATTGAATAAAGAAGTTTAGTCCTTTGCTAAAGCAAAATGTTTCAATTCTCGTACCTGAGTATCCAAGATGAAATTGCGCAAACAACCAGAAAAGTGTTTGTGTAGCAGCTGTGGGTAGGAATATGGTAACGATTCCTTTACACCACCCAGCTGTAGAACGTGGTTCACATGCAAATACCTTTAAAAATTATATGAATAATAAAAATAGATTTGAATTTATCTTCAAACATTATGGCATAAGGAACATCTATTTTGTATTTCCAAACAATAAAGGCTTTCTAAAAAAACAAAATAACACAACTATTTTATCTTCTTTCTCTGAAATACAATCAGCCAGTGAGCAGTAGCTGGCCCTTTAAAATAAAGGGGAAGATAAAGGTTTTTTTAAACATGACAGTTAAGTCTGTGGGGTTTTAACTATTACAATTCAGGTACTTTTGTGTTCAAGTCAGGAACAGCTGTGATATTCCAGACACCATATTCTCCTTCAAGTGCTCCTTTGCATGCGCATTCATCCTATACTACAGGAATAATGTAACAAAAAAATTGTTTTGTGTATGACAAAGGCCAGATAAAGGCCAGAAACGTAAAAGTTGGGCCACTGTGGTCTAAAAGGTATGTTACACATGTCCAGGGTCTGCAGCATCTCCCAGTCATCTCTCTGAGCCAAAGAATTCCATTTATTTTAGTCCTCACAAAGTTTTTTCTCCTGAGTTATCAACTCCATCTTTTGTTTTCATTTGTTCTTGTATTTTTCCCTTTTTTGTGTGCTCCTTTCATGACCAGGAAGGCTCCATGCCTCTGATGACAAGGCTTAATCACAGTGGTAATCAGCACACTTTCTGGGACTATCTATTTCACAGCTCAAGTATCTTTACTAGTACAAAGGTTTCCTAAAATATAACCTAAATATTCCTTGCCATAACTCAAGGCCCTGTGTAGAAGAGATCATCTAAATCCTCTTTGTAGCATTCTTTTATATACACTGACATCATATCTCTCCTCAGTTTTCCCTTCTTGCTGTTAAGTGACCTCAATCCTTTCATTCTTGATAAGTCTTGTTCTCAAGACAAGCTGATTACAGTCATTGCTCTCTGGACTAAGTCCAGCTGGTACACAGCCATCCTGCACTGAGGTACACAAACTGGACCCAGGACTCCACCTGAGGCCCAAATAAAGTGAGAAATCATGTGGGAACAAGATGGCACAGGGTACCCACAAAAGCTCCGGTATTAGCCACATAGTGTTCTGGGGTTGTCATTTAGCATTGCATCACTACCCAGGTTCCTTAAAATCTGGTTAGTGCTCTAAGGTCCAGACTTGACCCAGAAGATCCTAGAGAAAAGGAAATGCTTTCAATGCTCCTAGTCATTAATAACTTGGCTTCAATTTGACAGGTAAAATGTTCAAAGGCCTTAGAATAAACTGTCTTCCAGTCAGTCTCCAGATATGTACCTTTCTCTTCGTGGAACAGACCCAAAGACTTCACAGTTTGTACGATCTTCAGTGGAAAGCCATTTGCCTACCCCTTCAATCTCCGAAACAAGAGCTGCACTGCACTGATCCAAAATGAATCGAACATTCTGCACCAAAACATGGCATTACCGAATTAAGAGTTTCTGTAAAATTCAATAAGCATATTATATAAAAATAATAAAAAATTTCTTCTTTTTCTTTTTGCACACCATCAAGCAAAAAAAGGTTGGAGCTTTTTTCTGTTCTCTTTTCCACCTTGCAATAACCAGTAAAGCCAAAATGAAACCACTTAACAAAAGAAGGCACTTAATTCTGCATTCAGTTTATGCTTCTGAGTAGTTCAACCACTTGCACAAAAACTGTAATTGCATTTGCAAATAAACAATTATTTGTTTTTTGTGCATAGGTAATCAATTTCATTGTCCGAATGTATACATTGTGTAAAGTACAACTAAGCCTTTATGCACATTCCACATGTGCTGCAAAGCTTAGAAAACAAGAAAAAGATTCCTCTGATCCTAAAATATGGATTACAACACTGGCAGATTTGGAATTGACAATGCTGTCTTCCCAATGCTTGTATTATTCATCAAATCTACAAGCACAGAATAAAACATAATTACACAGTCTTTTTTTCTATACTTCTGTTTCTGCACAAGGAAATAAATGCCATTGGAAATACAAACATGCAGGTAGAGGGGGAGGTTGGGAGTGGGAATCAAATAGCTGACCTGACCGCTAGTTCTGACTTCCAGTTGATGCCACTTTTTGTCTGCTACATTCAGGTGACTTGGAAACTGCAGCATCACAAAACCTGAGCCATGGCTCATCTTCAGCACAGGAATGCCACCGGAGAGCTCTAATACAAAATGAACAAGAAATTAAATTCAGTTATGAGAATCTTTCCATTTTGGATATGTTAGCAGTTAGTGAATGCACTGTTTTCATGGTTATTTACCTAAAGTGGGGTTCCCTACAGAAGTCGCTAGAATTATATTCTATGACCTCTAATATGCAGAAATACTCATTAAACATAGTATTTATTTCTATGCTTGAGACTGTGCCACTTTCTCCACCAAAACATGGAAACTAATTCCTGATAAGCAATCTGCAAGTTTGTAGTGCTCTAAAACAACACAATAAACAATTGAATTGCTGAGGCGAGCAGCTCGAGAGAGGACGCCTTCAGCACCGGAGCGGGGGGAGATCAGCGTCCAGGAGCCTCAGCTCAGAGCGGCGACAGCCACCGAGGGAGCCTCAAGTCCTCGGCAGGACCTGCCCGGGAGCCGGCAGCTCACCTCACGCGGGCAGGGACTCACAGCGGGCGGAGCCTGAAGCAGCGGCACCAGCCCTGACTGGGTAAAAACCTGCCCCAGGGAGCGCGAGCGAGCAGCAGCGCGGCGAGGCAGTTTGTGGGCAGGAGAGCGGGATGGTGAGCACCCGTCGTATGATCAGGGCCCCGTCTGGGGGCTCTGCTCTGGCTGCCCCGGCGGTGGCAGCGTAGGCACCCAGACAGAGCCGGTGAGAGGGGAGGCTGCAGCGCAGAGCTCGGGGTGTAGAGAGTGCCTGCACTGGTCTGGTGAGGGGAGGGTGCACAATGGGCAGGGCTGCACTCGGCGCTCCCTGGTGGAGGTGCTCCTGCAGCAGGGGCTGAGCCGCGGGATGCTGTCAATAGGCTGCGAGATGTCAGGGAAGCTGAGAGGAAGCAGCACTGCTTGCTCCCGGCCCAAACTGTGCAGGGGCCTCGAGCTTCCCCTGTAGCTCACGGAGGAAAGAAGGAGGCCGTTAACCCGAGGAGCTGGGAAATAGTAACAAAGAAAAACAATAAAAAAAAAAAAGGAGGAAGAGGACAATTAAAAGCATGGGGCTTCCTCCTAAATCTGTGGTCCTCACCCAGAACCACTCTGCTGTCCTGCAGGGGGCTGATGAGGAAACACATTCGTGCCATGAACAACCGGCTGGTGCACTGCTAAAGAAGATCACTACTGGTGCTGCCAGGAATAAGCAGCGGGTCGTAGTGGTAGGGGACTCTACTCTGAAAGGAACAGAAGCACCCATCTGTTGGCCTGATCCAGTCTCAAGGGAGGTGTGTTGCCTACCAGGGGCACAGATCAGGGATGTTGCAGAGAGGCTGCCTGCTCTAGTAAGTCCCACTGACTATTACCTGCTTCTAGTGATCCATATGGGTGCTAGGGATATAGACAGCAGTAGCCTGGGGAACATAAAGAAGGACTACAGAGCCCTGGGAGAGGTGGTTAGGTGCTCTGGAGCTCAGGTGGTCTTTTCATCAATTCTCCAGCGTACAGGGGAGGAGCCTAAAAAGGCTAGGAGGATTGGCCAGGTTAATAAATGGTTAGAATGGTGGTGCCATAGGCAGGGGTTTGGGTGTCTTGAACACAGGACCCAAGTTTGTAGGCCAGGTCTAGTGGGGGCTGGTGGAGCTGGTCTGGCAAGGGGAAGACTGGTTTGGCTAGGAGGCTTGCCAGACTGGTCAAGAAAGCTTTAAACCAGATGTGTTGGGGGAGGGGGCATCATTCCATCCCAACACACCCAGTCAGTTGCCAGAACCTATAATAAATGCTTGGAGCAATGTAGAGATATCCCAGGCGCTCCAGTCAATGAGCCGGCTTCAGTTGGAGCTCGGCTCAGATGCCTCTATACAAACAGCCGTAGCATGGGGAACAAACAAGAGGAATTAGAGATGTGTGCACGTCTACGAGGGTATGATATAATAGGCATCACAGAAACATGGTGGGATGGCTCCTATGACTGGAGTGTTGGAATGGAAGGTTTCAGGCTCTTTAGAAAAGACAGGCCTGGCAGGCGGGGAGGGGGAGTTGCTCTTTATGTTAGGGATAGGCTGGAGAGTATGGAACTCTGTCTGGGGACAGGTGAGCAGTCCACAGAGAGTTTGTGGGTCAGGGTTAAAGGGAATATACCTATGGGAGACATTACTGTGGGGATCTGTTACAGAGCGCCTGATCAAGGAGAACCTGCGGATGAAGCACTCTACAGACAGAAACAGCCTCACACTCGCAGTCCCTTGCCCTCATGGGGGACTTCAACCACACTGGTATCTGTTGGGAGGGATGGTACAGGCCAGCACAAGCAATTCAGGAGGTTCCTCGATCATGTGGAAGACAACTTCCTTCTGCAAATAATAGAGGAGCCGACAAGGAGAGGTGCCATGCTTGACCTCGTGCTCACCAACAGGGAAGGGCTCATTGGAAATGTGACGCTCCAGGGCAGCCTTTGATGCAGCGATCATGAGATGGTCAAGTTTGAGATCCTCAGGACAGTGAGAAGAGTGTGCAGCAAGCTCACTGCCCTGGACTTCAAGGGAGCAGACTTTGGCCTCTTCAGGAACCTGCTTAGTAAGGTTCCATGGGATACAGCCCTAGAGGGCAGGGGGGGCCAAGACTGTTGGTTGATATTCAAGGATCACCTGCTACAAGCTCAGGAGTGTTGCATCCCAACCAGAAGGAAGTGCAGCAGGAGGGCCTGGTGACCTCCTTGGATGGAAAAGGAGCTCCTGAGGAAACTCTGAACGAAAAGAGGCTTATAAAAGGTGGAAGCAAGGACAGGTGGCCTGGGAAGAAGGGATGTTGTCCGGGAAGCTAGGGACCAGGTTAGGAAATCTAAGGCCCAGTTAGAATTAAACTTGGCTAGGAATGTTGAGGATAACAGGAAGGGATTCTATAGGTACATAGCAAATGAAAAACAGACTAGGGAGAATGTAGAACCCCTCTGGAAGCTGTCGGGAGAACTGGCTACCCTGGATTTGGAGAAGGCTGAGGTTCTTAATGACTTCTTTGCCTCGGTCTTCACTGACAAAGGCTCTGACTGCACCAACCAACCATCCCAGGCACAGCTACAGGCTGGGCAGAGAAGAGATTCAGAGCAGCCCTGCAGAGGAGGACTTGGGGGTGGTGGTCAATGAGAAACTTAACATGAGCCAGTTTCAGTGTGCGCTCACAGCCCAGAAAGCCAACCGTATCCTGGGCTGCATCAAAAGCAGCATGACCAGCATGTCGAAGGAGGTGATCCTGCCCCTCCACTCTCCTCTTGTGAGACCTCACCTGGAGTATTGTGTGCAGTTCTGGTGTCCTCAACATAAAAAGGACATGGAACTGTTGGAACAAGTCCAGAGGAGGCCACGAGGATGATCAGGGGACTGGAGCACCTCCCATATGAAGACAGGCTGAAAAAGTTGGGCCTGTTGAGCCTGGAGAAGAGAAGGCTGCATGGAGACCTCATAGCAGCCTTCCAGTATCTGAAGGGGGCTTATAGGGATGCTGGGGAGGGACACTTCATTAGGGACGGCAGTGATAGGACAAGGGCTAATGGGTTAAACGGGAGAAGTTTAGATTGGATATAAGGAAGTTCTTTCCTGTAAGGGTGGTGAGGTACTGGAATGGGTTGCCCAGGGAGGTTGTGCATGCTCCATCCCTGACTGTGTTCAAGGCCAGGTTGGACAGAGCCTTTCATGACATGATTTACTGTGAGGTGTCCCTCACAGGCACGGGGGTTGGAAACAGATGATCTTAAGGCCCTTTTCAACTATTCTATTCTATGAACACATGCAGGTTTTACTCCCTCTCTTATTCATATAGACATGTAACTGCTAAACAAAGCAAAAATGAGGTAAATTATTAACAATATCCAGTATTACCTTTCAATTAATTAGGAAAATAAAAAATGCCAACCATATTGTGCTTCTTGTATATTAACTCAGACAAAATAAGTAATAGTAACATTTTGAATTTGTGTCAACAGAATGAGTTCTACTTGTGTATAGATTTTCCTATGGTGGCACAATGGGGCTGGATTCATCCATCAAATCATTGCCTGTTTTTTAAAACATGAAAAAATGCCCTAAGACTGAAAGCAGTTGAAGTAGATTTCTCATCAAACTAGGTAAGAATGACATGCGACTAAGACTGCATAAATCATGTAATACCCATCTTCAAAGTCCCTAAATTCCTTCATAGCACTACACTTTTCCTGGGGGAGTATTTTTTTATATATATCAGTCTGTCTATTTTGTTCTGCCCTTGATTTCTACTACTCAGCAATGGACCTAAAACCATAGATGCAGGCTACAGAAATAGACTTTGAAGAAGAAAGATTTAGTAGGACTTGTTTCAAGAAATTCTGAAACCAGAAAACATTTTTGAGAAATGTTGAGAAATGCTGAGAAAGGTTGAGAAACATTTTCTCACAAGATGGAAAAACAGAATTCATACTCTAACTACTACACTGCTCAGAGGAAACCCATTCCCAAAAGACATTGAATTTTTGCACACACTTTTGCAGAAGTACCTATTGCAATGAAGTTTTCTGTACTCGCAGGTTCTGGATTTGATAAAGGACCGCTATACAGTAAAAGTCCATCTGGAACCACAGTAATAAACTCAAGAGAGAGTGAGCTTTCAAAACAAGGCCTGATGGGATGAAACCATGCATAACCATTTCCATGGAAACTGTGCTTTGTCTGCTGGCAGTCTGGTCCGTGAAATGAGGCAGGACAAAGACATCTGAAAGAGCACAAATTCAACAAATAGTCAAAATTCCCCACTGTTCAAACTTCTTTGTTTGCTTGTTTTATATGCAACAAATGTAGCCCTTAAATCACAATAAAAAAAAAAAGAAAAAAAACAGTGAAACAATAAACACTTTAGCAATCTCAAGGCTGCTTGGCAATCATTAAAATACTGAAAGGACACAAAGCATATTAATCCGATGCACTATCTCCATTAAAAAAAAAAAAAAAGGGCATTTTTGAGGCCATGTTTTGGAGAACCATGAATTATTTCCCTAAGTGAGTAACACAGAATACCAAATATCAGTTGGCCAGTGTATTACAGAGAAAACTCAGGGAGGTTAATTCCTAGCTAGAATAAACCAGTATATTTTCACTAAAGGAAAACTGGTGCACACCAAGTGATGCTAAAATAAAGCAAGTTTCCTATCTAATGTTTTCTAAACTTTTTTATTTCCCATGTTTAAACTACATTTCCCTCCCCTTACATCCCTGCTATCACCACTGATACTTGCCTTTGTTATTACTCTTCTGGAAAAGAAAAACAACCAACCAACCAGCCAAAACAGAGCGCACTTCCCATTCCTTCATGCTGAATTAGGTGCTTTTAAAAAATGACACGTTAATCATACCACTGTTTTTTCTCAGGGTTTTTTTTTCTTACTCACACATTATGTGCACCCATTTCAGGACTACAGCTCTGTTATTGGGCCATTAGGAAAGACCCGGCTGTCACTAGGTTTACTCTCCAGTGCACTAGTGGGGTTTTTCACTTCTCCTTCAGTCGGAAGGACATTTATGATTTTTTAGACCTGGACCTTGTAAGCACCACTTAACACACAGAAAATAGAGGCATAAGAACCTGCAGTACAAGTTTCCTCACCTGTAACCATTCAAAGTGTCAATACACACCCCACCATTGAGGCAAGGGCTTTGAGGGTAGGAGGAACATGAGTGATGAACTCGGTCCCGAGCTGAGCAGGTGCAGACTGCACTGGTGGTGGTTGTTACTGACACAAACGACACACTTCCCGTATCCACCACTGTTGGGATGTCACTCACAGCAAGGTAGTTTTTGCAGCCACTGCCCTCGCTGCAGTTTGCTCTCCTACATTCATCTACTTCGATCTGTGAAATGCTCAGCTGTAAAGCTGACTGGACCTAGGAGAAAATAGAGTTTAACACATCGCCAGTCTCATCACAACAAAGGCTTTTACTTACTCCTTCATTTCTCAAAAGTCTAAGGCTTTGCAGACTTCATGGAATGCTTTAGTTTCTTGAGTGTTAATTAGTAACATTCCTGAGTGTAAAGGCAAAAGAAATTATTTGCCAAATACAGGAAAAATTTAAAAAAATTACAGTAGCAGTATTTCCTAAAAACTTATTCACCGACATGACTGCCTGTGAGCATGTTAAATCTGTACTGGCCAACTAATGTTATTTCCAAGGATCAAAGCTCTGAGAACATTTGAGACTCCACCTTCTGAGCTGTGATGTCTGTGTCACACTTCTCTGCACTGTGATAGCATGTTCCAGCTCAAGCCAGGATAAAAATTCTTCCTCATGAGTTACACCCAGGTATTATTTCTTACCTTCTCTCACACAGAACACAGCCACGGAAGAATGCAGGGCTGAGCTGCTTTCAATAACAATGTCCACAGGCAGCACCTGACATCACGACTTTGTAGCAATTAGGATTCTGTCTACTGGTTCCTGATTGTGACCTATAAACTTACATTTAAAGTCAAACTGTCTGAAACAAAACGAAGTCAACTGGATAAGGTATCTTATTCTAGCTATTCTAATATCCCTTTTGCTAGTTCATTGCTTTTTATCATTAATTGGGGTTGAACCTGAAAGCCCAAACAGCCAAATACAAGAGCTCTCACTACTGTTACAGAGGTATACACTGAGGTATACAAATGTAAAACTAAGAGTAGATCAGACTCAGACTCTATTCATACATTTAATATTTGGGGTGGTTTGGGTTTTGGGGTTTGGGTTTTTTTTTCAAATCATAAATATCTCCAAAATAAGCTTTGAAATTATGAAAACAAATACATAAATACTAAAGCAGAGGATTGTTTTCCCCACTGATACAGTAATCTCAATTCACCACTGTAAGAACTTTGACCTTTATAATCAATTCTCACCATAGCCTCAAATATCCTGATTGTCCCCAAAGGCATAAAATACACTTTATAAAGACATGAGGCATCCTGTCAATGTAGCCTGGTGTCTGCTGCCCAAACCTATCACCATTAGTGGATAGACCCTAATGAACATTTAGATAGCTATATAATGCCATTACAGAAAAAACCACAATGTATATAAGCAACCTTGGCTCCAGCATGGTATTAGGATGGATTATTTTCTTGCTAAATAAAAATAGTTGTTATAAAGCTATATCCCAAGGAGGTAATGCAAACATATTATTTATTTAGCAATTCAATGAATAATTCCAGCGCTAATTACTTATTTTCAGTATTTATACGTAAACATATGTACAAAAACTACTGGAGAAATTCTCCAGCTATGATTGGTTTTCTGTAAATTATTGGTGATTATTCACTAAAGCTATTCATTAAATATTGAAAGGTTATATACAATTAATACAAACATATTTTTCATTAAAATATGTGAAGCAATCCCGTTGTTACCACTTTGATGAATTCACCTGCCATACATTGTGGCATAGAATATTTGAAATCTGTTTTCTGCATTATTTTTGCAGTAATTCAATAAATATGCAAAAGAAGAAGTCATTACGCTTCATGAATACTATCTGTCTCTGCCATTTCCTACTTGGTCATTCTGATGAGTCTCAAAATCCACACAACTATTGAAGATACACCAAGGTGTTGGCAGGTGGCAAGTTAAGATATTTCTGCTTGGTTCCCAGAATCAGCTGACTCTACCATATCCACACCAATTTCAAGTGGTGCTGCTGTCTCTTCAGTGAACAATCCTTCATAAGATGTGCCACGTATTGTCACAGAATTATAGAATAGTTAGGGTTGGAAAGGACCTTAAGATCATCTAGTTCCAACCCCCCTGCCATGGGCAGGGACACCTCACACTAAACCATATCACCCAAGGCCTCGTCCAATCTGGCCTTGAACACTGCCAGGGATGGAGCATTCACAACCTCCCTGGGCAACCCATTCCAGAGCCTCACCACCCTAACAGGAAAGAATTTCCTTCTTATATCCAACCTAAACTTCCCCTGTTTAAGTTTTAACCCATTACCCCTTGTCTATCACTACAGTCCCTAATGAAGAGTCCCTCTCCAGCATCCCTATAGGCCCCCTTCAGATACTGGAAGGCTGCTATGAGGTCTCCACGCAGCCTTCTCTTCTCCAGGCTCAACAGCCCCAACTTCCTCAGCCTGTCTTCATACAGGAGGTGCTCCAGTCCCCTGATCATCCTCGTGGCCCTCCTCTGGACTTGTTCCAACAGTTCCATGTCCTTTTTATGTTGAGGACACCAGAACTGTACCCAATGCTCCAAGTGAGGTCTCAGGAGAGCAAAGTAGAGGGGCAGGATCACCTCCTTCGACCTGCTGGTCACTCTCCTTTTGATGCAGCCCAGGATACGGTTGGCTTTCTGGGCTGCAAGTGCACACTGAACCCGGCTCATGTTAAGTTTCTCATTGACCAACACCCCCAAGTCCTTCTCCGCAGGGCTGCTCTGAATCTCTTCTCTGCCCAACCTGTAGCTGTGCCTGGGATTGCTCCAACCCAGGTGTAGGACCTTGCACTTGGCATGGTTAAACCTCATGAGGTTGGCATCAGCCCAGCTCACAAGGGTGTCAAGGTCCCTCTGGATGGCATTCCTTCCCTCCAGCGTATCAACCGAACCCCACAGCTTGGTGTCATCGGCAAACTTGCTGAGGGTGCACTCAATCCCACTGTCCATGTCACCGACAAAGATGTTGAACAAGACCGGTATTAAACCCAAATATATCCAAAAATTACAAATTACATGTCTGTAATTACACAAATTACATAAACTACTGCCTTGTCCAGGGAAAGTTACAAGTAGAGCAGTGGTATCTTGCCTTTGCTCAAGGCAGCAGCTTTAGTGTCTATTCAGCAACAGCTGCAGGCCTTCAGTGAAACCAAGATCTGAAGAACTACAGAAAACAGAAGTGGGGCCAAGATAGACTGGTGTAGTGTCTGGGTAACTGAGTTAGAGAACATGCAGGATCCAGTAAAAGAGTAGGACAGTTAGGGTACATCTGGAAGGTGAAGAAAACAGCTTATATTCAAGAACCCTTTTCCTATTATAACAAGAAAAAAAAGCTGGGGGAGGGCGTCACTTTGTATTTAAAGTTGTCTTTCAGTGAGTTAAATACAATCGCAAAATTGGTTGACTCCATGTCACTGATCTAACTGTTCTTCCAACCTGCATGTTCTTTCCAGCAGGGTTTCTAATATGGAGTGCCATTTCTTTCTAAAATAGGATTTCCATCTGGGTAGTATCAAGCCTCTACTCTAAGTGTCTAACCACAAGTTGATGCTTTGGGTATTTCCATCAGCATCTAGAACATCTAAAAAGCTGTCATTTTCAAGACATTCTCTGTACTACAATACCACTTTGGCTTCTAGGTATTCTGACTTCATATTCAAAACTCTGATAGATTACACAATGAAACACTGATTGGAGACAACACAAGCAACTGTACCGTAACAGGAATGGAGAACCATCTTTCTGTGACTAAAAAGTGGTTATACTTATTGAACCAGAAGTTAGTGCAACTGTATTATAACTGTATGTGTGGGACTAAGGAAAAGGGAGAAACTTTGAATTAAGTGCTAGCCTAAGAAGTGTTTTTGTCCTGACTGAAGAAAAGAGCCCCTTATCTGTAGATGTAGCATATTCTTCCACTGAGGTTTGGGATGTATATCCCACACATTCAGTATCTGGGTGAATTAGACAGACACACACTAACCCTAGAGAATATACCTCATTTTTAAATGCCTCCATCTCCGCATGAAGTTTCTCAGGTCTGTAATATGATGAGCCATCACGGACTGCAAATCTTACATCTATCTGTTTTCCATCAATGTTCGTCACACTGAAGACCATGACATCACTGGACTTAGTGAGTAAAATCTTTGCTAGTAATTCCTTGAACTTGCCATGTTTCGTTTTGCCATGTTTATCTCTCCTTATGAACTCCTCTGCTGTGATATCTGAGTTTGAAAACATGAAATGCTGGGACACCACAGGTTAGTTTCTCAATATCTTATTTAACAATACTGAAACATACTGGGAAGTTCCCTATGGTGGTAAGTAAATTAAGTATTGACATAACACCACCTACATCACATAAACATTCAGTTACAGAAGCAGCAAATAATACTAACAACTAACTTTCACCAGCAACTAATACTAACCTGACAGATGCACAGCGGCTGAGTTTTGTATAGCTTCATTTTCCAGCTCTTCAACATGGATTTGTACTGTAGATATAACATCAGGACAAACTCCATCAGAAACCCTAACTTTTAAGTTGTACATTCCTTGAGGAGTGTTATCCACCATCATCAAAGAACCAGTCTTCTGATTTAATCTGAAAGACCTTTAATTTAATAAAATAAAACTGAGCACTTACTTTATTCATTATTTAGAAGGTCTTAAACGTTACCATGAAGGTTACAGAATCAAAACTTAAGTGGATTAGCAAACAACAGCAGAAAAGAGCCAGAAACACCTAAATTCAGAAATGACAATCTGTAGAGTTTATAAAAAGATGTTTCTGCCACTCCCAATCCCCAGACTTTCCCAAACTTGAATGAAAGCAGTGTGTAGTGGAACCATGGGGTTCACCATAATCATCCATCTGGAACAGGTTAGGCTCTGTATGAAATCTCTGATACCATCTTCATTTCCCACCTCAAAGGGACAGTAATCAGTAATGATGGAAGTATTCCATGACCACTACTGCAGAATAATAACCTCTTAACATGGAAACAGATCCAGGGGCTACTGACAGACAGAAAGTAAGCCTTCAATTTTGGGCTACATAAAGCTCTTAAACTCTTATTCACAGCAGATGCAACAATTCACACGGATATTCACATCCACTTTCTGTATTTCAAACAGCATATGATTATGCTATATGCCATCTCACTTGATGATATGAACAAATAATATACAAGTGGGTATTAGGGATCTAATTCAACACTTACATTAACAGAAAAAACTCCAGTAATCTGAGTTGTGGTCTTCACATGCAATTGTAAATTTAACCATTAAAGGAGATGACCAAATTCCCCTCCAAATTTGATTAAATGATTCCATTCTGACTTTTACATTTGGGATTTGTATTCCACTAACTCTAACATTTGAAAGCAAGTATTAAAACCTCTGCCTATTTTTAAAACCGATCTTAACAGAATGCACATTTTCAAATAAACTAATGACGACATCTGACTAAAAATCAACATCATGGTGTAATCCTGCATTCTCTTGAAAACAACATTTCCTGCATTAATTTCTTAATACCTAGTTACCCAATTAAAAAAGAAAAAGAGCATTCGGAGGTACATTCCTTAATACACTCAATAACCCTGGCTTTATGCACATCCGGTACATGGAGAAATAGAGAGTGAGCAAAATAATTACAGAAGCATAAATATTACTCATTTTGACACAAGTACAATCCTCACTTCAGCATTTTTCCTTCAGAGAGAAATGTTTTATTGTCCCAGTCATCTTGATCTGGTGCAAACACTTCCCCAAGCACTGCTGTTGACCATTTTCCTGTTGAGATAAATTACAATAAATCTGCATTGAATTTCTGCTTTTCAGTGCACTTTATATTTTGCTGCATTCATTACTGCATTTATTATTTTCAGATTCCTGCTCAATTTGGTGATGGTTACGATCCAAGATTCTTAAAATAATGCATAGCCTGTCATATTATTTCTGCCAGTTCTGGAAACATGAGCACGCTTGGATGTCACATGAAAGAAGAAAAGCTGAGAACAACACAAAACAACAATAGAATGATAAATAAATACAACTCTATATACAATTCTCAGACAAAAAAAAAAAAAATTAAAAAAAAAAAAAAATCATCACATCAGAAGTTAACACCCAAATGTTTCATTGCCACTCTATTATTTCCAGTGTCACACAAGTGGAATCCAGCAAAAGAGGGAGAGCATCTCATAGGGTGCATCTGGGAGAGAAGGCCAGGACAGAGGAAAGGAAATGGGCAAGAAGCCACCAAGCTGTGCCAGGTCTTGGCACTTTACTCAGACCCCTGTGGGCTGCCACTGAAGTGAAACATCCAGGCCGCTGTTCTAAAACAGCAAAAGAAGCAACTCCAGGGAAAAAGACCTCTGAATTCTACAGCCAAGATCCAGCAACATGGGAAATGTTTTAAGGCTCAAATCTGGAGCCAATCCACCCTAGGAACTTCATTCTCTCATTTCTACAGTAGGAACTGGTCACATCTCTTTCTCTTTTAGGTATACTGAATTCAGCAAAAATAACTCACTGCAAGAATACCTTCTATAGATTAATCTTCTCTAATATTTATGAGTAATTGTGCTAATGCAATGATGACCGAGATACAGCCAAGTCTATATGGGACAGAGTATTTGGGGATAGGTGTAATGAACCATGCTTAGTAAGTTCTATTATTCAGGACTATTTAAGGTCAACTTTTACAAATAATTCAGGAAAAAAAAATTAATTAAAGACAATTTTTAGAAAATATTATCTAAATGTTCATCCTCTACCTACTCTGAGAAATTGTAAAGCATTCATGTAATGGATGTATTTGCTCTGCTCTCTCCCACTACAACCTTAAAACTCACAGTATTGCTGCTACTATCACAGAGCAGCTCTCCTGAGAGTATTTCATTAACTCAGTACTGTGCACCACTCCAGAACAGCAGCATCATCTTTTTTTCAGTCCAAAGACTACATGCTCCAGGAAGCAGTCACTTATTGCATCCCAATGATTATTCCTTAGCTAAAAAAGCACCAACCCATCTTTCTCTTGGATCCTTTCTTGACAGCACAAAACCTCCTTCCTCAGGACTTCTACCCTGCTCAGCCACACAGTGCCTGTCAAAGTGGCAGTGGGACTGCTCTGAGATTTCTGGGTAGGGCTCATCTATAACCCTCTATTTCTTAAAGTTGCTTCACTTCTGCCTTTCTCAGCTCCAGATCTCTCAGCATCAGATGCGTCCCCAATCACAGGTTCATACACAAAAGACTTCTCCTCTGTGCAGGTAAAAACTAGCTACCGGAAAACAGATTTTATTGGTTTAAAAAAATACTGCTTTTTCTGCAAGTGCAATATATACTTGTCTGCAGCTAATAGTTTTCTGGGAGATGATCTTTTACATACCAGGGTCTGCACATATACTTTACTCATTCCACTTGATTTATTAGTTTACAGAACTGGAGTCTCAGTTTTGAAATATGTAAACCATTAAAAAAAAAAAGTAGAAGTGCAAGAGAGAAATTATGCTTAAAATTGTACCATATTCATGAATCTGATATAATATCCAGATAGTACTTACCTTTGTAACTGTACACATAGACTTCCTTATGGCCAGATTCATGGCAGTTGTCATTTTCATCACCAATTGTTATAGTTAGGGTGTTTGTAGAGCTCATAGCTGGAATCCCACTATCTGTTATAACTACTGGCAGATGAAACACCTTCTGCTTTTCTCTGTCAAAGGACCTCAAAGCAGTTACAGTCGCCGTGTTATTTCTGTTGTCAGTAAGAGAAAAATCCAAAGAACTCTGATAATCTGGGGGTAATGAAAACATGAAGGGTGGCCCATTTTCCTCACTGTCTGGATCAAACGCATGCAGCAGTTTTGATGTATGGTTCATTGACACTATTTCAGGCTTCAGTATATTTTCCCAAGCTACAGGCATATATGGTGCCTCAAACCTTGGTCCATTGTCATTAACATCAAGCAAGTTAATCAGAACTGTAACGCTTCCAGTGCGGGCAGGTGTCCCTTCATCTGAAGCTTGGACAATTAAACTGTATTTTTGAATGACTTCATGGTCTAGTGCATTTGCCACAACCAAATGACCATACTGGTCAACTGCAAACTGTCTCATGGGATCTGAATCTGACTGTATAGAATATATAATGTTCCCATTCAAACCAGAATCCTTGTCTGTAGCTCTTACTGTGGTTACTGTAGTACCTACAGGTGTGTTTTCAAAGAAAGGGCTTGTCTGAATAAACTGGGAAGGGAAAATTGGGCTGTGGTCATTAGAGTCTTCAACTTCAATCAGGCACACTGCAATACTAGAAAAATCAAGATCTTCCACTGCAATAGTAAGATTAAACTGCCTTTCATGTGCATTCTCAAAATCCAATTTTTTTTTCAGTCGAATAGCAGCACACTGCCATTCTTTGTCATTCCCAATATAAAACTTCTGATCTGGGTCTCCCCTTACGATACTGAATATTAAGCCAGCATTTTCCCCAAAATCTGCATCTGTAGCACACACCTGCACCACTTCTGAGTCGATGGCACTGTTTTCAGGAATTACTGCCTGCCACACGTTTTTTATGAATTTAGGTACGTGATCATTGATGTCTGCAATCCAAACAGTGGCAGTGCCAGTTCCTGTTAGACCTCCTCCATCTCTGGCTTCAACAGTAAGAAAATAATTTTCAGTCCTTTCTCTGTCTAGCATTCCCCCCGCTACATAGATAGTCCCAGTATCAGCGTTGATATTAAACATGTCAGCACCAAACTCATTTCTTACGTTCTCTGTTATCCTGTAGGTCAGGACAGCATTAAGACCTACATTTGGATCATCACAGTCAACAGCACCCATTTCCATGACTAATGTTTCTGCAGGAGAATTTTCAAAGACATTCCCGTTGCAATCATCAGGCATGCATGTGAACATGGGTGCATTGTCATTTATATCCCACACGTTAATAATTACATCAGCAAATCCTGTAAGTCCTCCTCCACCTTCATCCGTAGCCAATACAACAAATCTCCACAGTGCTCTCTCTTCCCGATCCAGCATCTTGTTGGAGTAAATGCTACCCGTTCTCTCATCTATTGTGAAAACATCAGCTGCGCCATGCCCATGCAATGAGTATCTCAAATCTGCTTCATCCACATCACTATCAGGATCATTTGCCAAAACCTACAAAAGTTTTGACAACAAGGACATGGAAATTATAAAATACGTAAATATTGCACTATATGTGTTCCTACAGTCTGAAGGAGTCCAATCAAAAGTAGGTAATATGTTATTAGTATGTGCATGCCAGAACACTGGCAAATGAGAGGTGGCTGAGGGACAATCCAGGTAGGTAAATGTGCTTTGTACGACAATAAGAAGGTAGATATTCTAATACTAAAATCAGATTTTATTTTTCATATTTTTAGAGGTGATTTGACTATGCTATTCTGATAGCTACTTTAAAATGTTTTCAGGATTTTGAGCTATTCTGCTTATTTTCTACTTAATATCCTTGTAATTATTTTTCCATAAAAGTCCATTTCTCTTCTTCCACTGACAAAAAAAAACCCTAATGAAACTAAATTTCATTAATATATCTGTTTTGGACTATTAACATAATTTTACCCTAGGTAAATCTGTGCTCTTTCACTGAAATATTATAATCTCTCTATATATGTACTACCTGAAGTACAAAGACTGGTAATCCATCCAGTTCCTCAATTATACTTCCATAGTATTCACTGATAGAGAAAACTGGAATCTCATCATTTTTATTCATGACATTGATGATGATAACTGCATAGTCTTCCCATTTCCCATCAGAGGCCAACATGCGAATCTCATACATTTTTGTTTCTTCATAATCCAGTGGTTGGGCAATAAAAATGGCTCCTGTTTCTGATTTTACACCAAGGACTCCTCCTGTGTTCCCAGATGTGATCTGATACCGTAATTTAGCATTTGTTCCTGTCAATTACGAACAGTGTCAGAAAATACACATTTCTTGAAGCAGATGAAACATGGGATGTTAAGAGGAAGTACAAATCATACAAGAACTTATTTTTGGTATTACAGCTTTGTGGTCTTTTAAAACATGGAGCTATGTCAGATTACTTACCAGCATTTTCAATTCTGGTATGTCCAACTGTAATTTGTGTCTTTGCAATGAAGTATTAATTCTGCTTTTACTTATGATCCCTCAAATTCACTGAAGGATCAATATGACTGGCCAAGGCTATGGGACCAAAAAGACAAATTCTTATTTGCTAACACCCAGCATGTAATACTGAGTTATCATAAAATACTTCATACCATAGAACCATTCAGGACTCATTCTAGGAAGTCTAGACTCGAACATCAGAATGCATACAAAGAAAAAAAATGAAAGAGAATACAAATATACTGTCTATAGGGAAAGCAAATGAATCCCACTGAAATAAAGTCTGATTTGTTCTAGTTAACCAGGACATTTTTATTGGTGCCCATTTATAAGAAAATTATATGATCTATTATAAATTTGTATTTGCTGGCACAGAAATTATTCCCCATCATCCCACATTAATGCATTGCCTCCTGAAATAAGAGTTATTTGACTTCTGCCTCACAGCTCCATTATGAACTAATGTTCATGCCCAATCAGTTCACACTTAAGTTTAAAAATCTAGAGAGAGACAAAAAGACATTTTCCTTTCTAACACCACTAACTATGTCTTGGTGTGCTGAAATTAACTCATTAATATTTTAGACACAGCTATTGCAAATTCCAATACTTCACCTTCATCTTCATCAGTAGCACTGACTGTAATGATAGTTGAGCCCACATCCTGGTCTTCATCCACATTTACTTCATAGACACTTCGAGTGAAGACAGGCTTGTTATCATTCACATCACTGATAAAAATGCACACATAGGCAGTGTCTAGAGAGGCAAGAAACAAGAGATTAAAATACTCATCTGTGCCATGTCTGTCAGCTACAGCTCCTTAAGCTGTCCAGACACACACTAAATGAAGATGAATATGCAGACAATACAGAAACAAACCCTTAGGGCTGTGGGCCATATACATACAACATTACTCAAAAGCAGTTGGATATCAAATGAATGTCGCATCCAGTATGTTTAAACAGATAATATGTGAATAATTGATGCATAATATGGCAATTGTACAGTTTTTAGTCATAACTTTTTGTCGTGAAGCCAAAAAAGCCAAATTTTAAGTCTGTCTTTAAGCACAGCCATCAACTGAGAATGGGATTTTCTACCTTGAACTTTCCTGCTTCGTACTTCATTAACTACTTCAGACTGAACACAGTGCCTTGTGCAGTGCTTTGAAAAACACTTTCACTACCCAAAGGTCTATATCCTAAGGATAATGGGTGTATCTTTACCAGCAGAGAAATACTCTGTAAACACTATCTATGAAGTCCTAGTTTTAATTCCAGAACAAAAGACTTACTTGCTCATCATATAAAATACCTCTTCGAGCTCCGACACAACTGTTGCACAGACAAATAATAAAAAAAGAAAACCAGAACCAACCTAAAACCACAACAATGGACATTCTTTCACAAGTACACTTGAAAAAAGGGCAATGAATATCTTAATCTTGCATTTCAAGCTTCTGTTTTCAGAGATGAATCCAGGTAAAATCATCCCTGTCACAGACATCTGTCTCTTACCAGAGTTTGGCTTCCCATGCTTTCCAGGTCGAGCTGACTCAGAGCCATCTACTGACTTGACTTCTAGAAGATAGGACACTTTCTTCTCTCTGTCAAACACTGAGGCAGTGTATATTGAGCCTGTCTGTGAGTCCAAGCGAAAATATGTGTAGTCTCTGCTACTGTCATGTAACATGGAGTAAGTTATCTAAAGGATTAAAAAAAAAAGTTAATATGTACTTTCCTTTTGTTGGATAGTTGGCAAGTAAGTACTTAAAGAGAGGAAGAACAGTCTTGTGTTTGAGAACTTAATCAGGGCCAAGAAAGCTAGGTAAAGCTGCCAGTTTGAGCAATCAAGTTTGACGTCACTTAACTTCCTCGCATGCTGACAGCCAATCTGTAAAGGCAATAAATTTGTCTTGTCTAATCAGTTCCCAAGTTCATGAGTTCACATTTGCAAAGCACTTGCGCAACAGCACCCAAACTCAGCTAACAATCCCAGGTAGTAACAGAATAGCCACAGGTTAGCTGCATTCGTACTAGTCTCATTTATATCCTATTGTGCTCCTGTCTTGAGCTTGCATTCTTGTTCGAAGGATGCAACTACTTTCCATTTTTAAAAATCAGTAACGGATACATCTACTTTTGGTGTTAACTTGACGTATTTTATAATGATTCAATTTTCATTACTCCCAATGATTTACAACTCACAGAAGCTTTTAACACATTTTTTTCTTCTATTAATTTATGCAATCACATTTTAGGTCTATGAAGACCTTTCCGAATGAGAGCATTCTACAGCAAGTTTTTCACCTGAACTACAGATGGCATAAGTATATTTTGTTTTGTCTCACACCTACTAGGTTTAATAGCATTTTTCACATGGCAAGACAGAGAAACATGTTACTAATGACTTAATTTCATCTCATGTTTCCCTATTAGTCATCCCTTTTCTAGGTTGAAGACTTGTAGTCTGTTTAGCTGTTGTTCACATAGATGTTATTCTATACCTTTTGTCACAGGAGATGTAGACCGCTGCTTGCTTACCTCACCATTCTGACCAAGGTCAAGGTCGACAGCTGACACCTGAACAACAAATGTCCCCACATCAGCTCCTTCTGTTACCAAGGCTTCATAAACAGGTGAAGTGAAGAATGGGACATTATCATTGACATCTAAAACATCAAAAAGAATGCATAAGGAGAAGTATAAAACTTTAAAGAAAAAAAAGTACTATGATTTTACTATAACATCACTGCACAGCTTACAAACCTGTTACACTAATATAGATTGTAGTGAATGCTGCCAGAGGAACTGCAGCAACAGTCTGTGCTCGAACTCTCAGCAGAAAGCTCTTTGTTGTTTCATAATCTAGTGGCTCAGCTACCAGGATTGATGCAGAACCATCACGTCTATTTGAAGTCAAGTAGAAACGAACTGGCATGTTGGTCTCCGGAACAAGTCCCTCTTCTAAGTTGTAAGTCACACGGGGATCACCAAGGGGAGAAGTTGCTTTGATTGTCTGCACAGTTCAGAAAGTTTCATAAGCACAGCAACATTCCAAAAAGCTTTTGTGCACTGACTCTCACAAATCATCAGCTCTCAGCTGAAAATGACAAGCATTTCCTGATACCAAATCTTAACCCTTCCTGAACACCTCCAGGCTGCAGACAGCTGCAGGCAAAGGTTACCAGTCATTACGTGCTTTGTTGTTCATGCTTTTGTCTTAAAAATATGTATTCTAGACTTACTTCATAAAGCTGTTTTGATTACTCATGCCAAGCAGTCAAACTGAACAACACTAAGTACTCTAAACCAAATAATCACCTCAGGTAACACAGAAACAAATAAGCAGTGTTAAGTTACTCTATAGCCTTAGAGCTACAGGTAGACAAACAAATCTGTCACAACCTTACCAAAATTGATGCATCTCGTGTCGTGTTCTCTGGAATAACAACTTCATAGCTGTCTCTTTCCCATTGTGGAGGCTGGGTTTTTGCACTGGTAATAATTACTGCAAGGTCAACTTTACTGCTTCTATTACCTCCATCTGTAGCAATAATCTCTCGAATTATAGATGACCTCTGAACAGTAACAAAAGTTTTATTACAGAGTGTTTTAATCAGGACTCCAGTGAATTTGGGTCTGTTTTTTTTTCAAAATAATGACATAAAATTAAAGCCACACTTTAAAAAACCTGACAGAACAAAATCATCCACAACTGTAATATACTAAGCTCAGAATATGAAGTAGGTGCAAGGTTGCTGGAAATTCTGCTCTTTGCTTCACTTAAAAGTTGCTGGAAGATGTTCCTATTTGTCTCAATAAACCTCAGCAAATTTCACACAAAGTTGACAACAAAACAAATAAAGAAGCACTTTGTAAAGCCCCTGAGTTCTTATGCAAACCTATCAACAGTTTTTGTTACTAGGTCTGTAAGGTTCCTGGATTCAATAAAGAAAATATGTTAAAAGGGTACACCTTCACCAAAATTTTATGTGTCAGTTACTTAGGAGTTAAATCTCTACATTAAAAATATCTATTAGCTATTTAAAGATTGACATCTGCCACAATATTTTCATTTCAACAGAAATTGCAACTCTGAAAGTATCAAACTGCTTATGTAGGTATTTAGAAACTAATGAAACTGATAAATATTAGGTATCTACATGCAACAGTTGCATTCATTTCTAAGGGACAGCTTAGTTCACCATGAGTAACATTAATCACGCTGGGGCTCTGTATCAGAAGCAAAGTTTAACACTGTTTCAGTCAGGTTTGTGTCTTAACTCACTGCCTGTTAACGGAGTGAAGTCCTACACCCAGGTTCTTGCTCCCCTGCTTATGGTCTCAGCCCTCGGGTCCTTGGTATCACTATGCCAAAGCTAATGAAATGGGAAGAACAAGTTCTCAGAGGCAGTGCTGTCAGGTGCTATTTTCCCAGCTGAAAGCAATTTGCAGTCAATGAACTCATTAGCTAAAAGCCTTAGACTCATGCTCAATTTAAACATATTGATCCTTTAATGTGAAGGAGTAACACAAACTCATAACCTGAGTCTGTCCTATGTAATACTGAAATAGCTTATAAAGGAAAGCAAGCACCATACCTGAGATATGGGTTGGTTCACAAACACCCAGCCTGTAGTAGGATTAATCTGTAAATAATTAGGTTCTTCATTTGCTATTGAATATGTAATGGCAGCATTGGAGCTGTAGTCATCATCATGGGCTGCAACACGAAGAAAGCTGGTCCCAACTCTTGTGTCTTCTCTTAGGAAATCTAATGTAAGGAAAGGATATTTCAAACTGATCATTAATTCACTGAAGTACCATAAGCATCTTACTAAGAAATGAAGAAATACTAAAGCTATAACTTTATCTTCCTTGGAACAATGGCAGTAAGAATTCAACTGAGTATTCTGAAGTGCTGCTGTCACTCCAGAGCTATGGATCACATCTGAACTTCTTATTACCACACTGATAACCTGAAATTCTTTTTTCTTATACTACTTTTTTTAGTTCTTGTATTTTTACTAAGACACTACTTGCTCTGTGTGAAACATACATAAATGTAATATTCATTTATTGCATAAAGCTAGAAGAAAAGGTCCTACTTTCTAGGACTTAGTACAACTATAAACGAGTTAGTTATACTAACTGAGAAGACTGATAATTCAAGTCTCATTTCTCCTTCAGTTAGTACAAGAAACGGAGAATTATAAGTCTTCATTTGTTTATGAACAATATACATGCCCCTGGGGGTTCATCCATAAACAGGGAGTTTTTGAGGAACCAAGAAGGCAAGGCAAAACAACAAACTATGAAGAATTAAAAAATTCGAATGGGAAAAAGTATGCAATCAAAAGTTATTACAAAAATCTATAAATCAGAAAACAAAGGATACAGTTATTGCTCAGCACTGCACACTCATGTTCTCACTGCAACTTTCACATCTCTATGTGGTACCACAGACACTCAGTACACTCAGGTAAGGAAAGGTACTGACATGGCTATTGTTACAAGGAATTTTCCCATAATGACACTCAGGAGTCAAGACTGTTCTCGTTCCACTGCACATTACACAGAGTTACAATCAAGGTAAGCCCGTCCCTGGATGCAACCACCTAGTTGGACATGTGATGTACTGTCAGGAAAGACAACACATCAGGTAAGCTCACACTCAGGGCACTGAAACGCTATCCAAGGATTCTCAATTACATTCATAATGGGTGTTTTCAAATCTCGGATCATTGTCATTTTGGTCCAGGATGATAACATTTATCTGACACATTCCAATGAGCGGCTCCATTGCCTGATCTGTTGCTGTCACAGTGATAGGATATTCCCTTTGCTTTTCTCGATCAAATACTTGAACAGTTGTCAGAACACCTGAAACCACATTAAACACCAGAGAGTTAAAATACTGTGCATTCTGCACTTGGATGCTTATTTGCCTGTCATACAATGAAACACATACAATGAAACACAACCTATAATGTGAGCTTCAGGTTCAAGCATTCAAACACAAGATTTAACTGTTTCAACAGCTTACAGTGTCCTGCCTCAGGCAGATACAAACTTCATATACACTTACATCTACACACAACTGAACTTAAATTTAGAAAGTGGAGGTAAGTACCAAACTGAGAGAATGACATTATAAACAAAATATTTCTTTTGAAGAGCAATAAGGACAGGATAAAGGCATGCTTCATGTCTTTCACTCTCCAAAAGCTGAGCCTGAGTTTAGTTTTGGCCTCCCAAGAGTTAGTCTCTTTCTATTTGTAAGACTGCTGTCATTTAGATAAATCATTTCTATGCCTTTAGTAATGCTGCAATATACTGTGCATTTAAAATATGGTGGTTCTTTCAAATCCAGTTACAAAAAAATAGACAAGTCATTATTTCACACAGCAGAACTTCCACATGTCAGAAAAAAAGTTCCTTCTAGGTCACTCCTGAACATGTAGGACACTTCTGGTTTCACAGAATATCTGCTCATGCAGTTAATGCAGTTTCTATTTTGTCTGCTATCAAAAAACTAAATGAAAAACCATGAAGTATGATTTTATTTAAGGTTTTTTTTCCATCAGTGTAAGAAAGTGGTTTCTATATTCTGGTATCAGTTCTGTTACTTGCTTTACCTGTGTCAGGATGAACACTAAATGCTGGCAGGACACCATCTCTCTGCACCAAGCCGTATTTCACTAGACCATTGGCTCCTTCATCAGCATCAGTAGCTTCAACCTGCAGTACAACTGTCCCTGAAGGCTGGTTTTCCAGTACAAAAGCATGTTCCTGGTAATACTGACACTGAAAGAAGAAGGAAAACAAAAACCCAACAAAAAAAACCACAAGGACTTACCATGCTGTTTGATTTAAAGATATGGGAGGGGGGAGAAGGAAAAAAGTTTTAGCTACAGTTTCACTCATATGCACTGATACTAATGTTTTACCTGTAATGTGACTAATTTACAGACTTTAGTTGCTACTTTGCAGTTGTAACACAACATGAGGCCAATAAGCATCTCCAAATAATGAAAATACTTGGCCAAAAAGGTACAGTTAATTTCCAAATGCAAATATTTCTCCATATCAGCAAAAACCTCATGAGAAAAAAGAGGGTATACACTTGCCCAGTCTACAGAACGGCTTTGCTCAAAACGGGATTTCTACAAAAAGTAACTTTGTTGAGGACAGATTACTGAGAATTCCCAAGAGTAACACTGATAGTCACTGACTTTTCAAAATGTGCAACACTGTCCATCAGCATTCAACTTAATTTTTAGACAACAGATCTTTAATATGAATCAGCATTCTGAAAACTTATACAAGCATTTATTTTTAGTACTTAACAAATTAAGATAAAAACGCACTTTTATTCTTCTCTTTTTCATCAGTTCCAGACATACAGTCTTCAAAATAAGCCTATGTAATTGTCCTGGGTTCAGCAGTAGCAGTCATTTTTCTCCTCCTTAGTAGCTGGTGCAGTGCTGTGGTTTTGACTTTCAGCCTGGAAACCAGCACTGATAACACCGATGGTTTTAGTTGTTGCTAAGTAATGTTTACTCTGATCAAGAACTTTCTGAGTCTCATGCTCTGCCAGGGAGGAGGGGAAGTCGGGAGGAAGCAGAGACAGGACACCTGACCCAAACTAACCAAAGGGGTATTCCATACCACAGCATGTCATGCCCAGAAACTGGGGTGAGTTACCCGGAAGGGCCAGATCACTGCTTGGGTCAAGCTGGGTGTCGGTTGGCAGGTGGTGAGCGGTTGTATTCTCTTCCCTTGTTATTTCCCTTATCATTATTATTATTGGTGGTAGCAGCAGCGGTTTGTGTCATACCTTAGTTACTGGACTGTTCTTATCTCAACCCATGGGAGTTACATTCTTTCGATTCTCCCCCCCATCCCTCCAGGAGCTGAGGGAGGAAGCAGGGGGAGTGAGTGAACGAGCTGCGTGACTGGGCTTAAACCATGACAGTAATTTAGAGAGGTGTTTTGGAATATTCTGGAACAAGTCCACTGCATAGGTACACCTATATAACTATACCTATCCATTCCTCCTCACATGTCACACTGAGCATGGGTCCAAAAGTTATTCACTCAACTTCATCTTCTAAAATGCCAGAGATGAGATGTGGTTCAGGGAAAAGACAATGCTCACAGGAGCTATTCTGCCACAAGAGCACAAACCCTGTATATCTTAGGAGAGGGATGGAAAAGACGCAGAAGACAGTAGCATAAGGCCTCCAAGAGAGATGGAAGTGACCACTTCTTGAATAGCTCAGCTGCTGCACCACTTGTACCAATAACACAGTCTTAAGCATTTACCACACAGTCTAATACAAATGATAAGCCTCATATATTTACCTTCTGAAAGACAGGTTTGTTATTGTTGACATCATCAATTTTCACAACAACCTGGGCAGTACTTGTAAGAGAATGGGGACCTCCAGAGGCATTATCATCAGCAGCTGTGACATTAAGTACATATGTTCCTTGCAGCTCCAGAAATGGACTTGAACGAAGTCTAACTAGCCCTGTAAAAACAATAGGTTGTTGGGGTTTAATTTTTTACTGCATTAACCAACTACAGTTATTCTCACTAGTAAGCACCACAACAAACCACTCTGGTTTATCTATTCATCAATTAGCCATAAGGCTGCTATGGTTCAATTTAATCATGGTATTTTTACTGCAGCCTGATATGAACACAGAATTAAGACAGCACACCAGGTTTGTCTGCAGGTTTGTCTACAGAGCTAAATGAGATGACAGTTACAAATCAGCTGACCTGCACATATTAGCTTTTGTGTATCTGCTGCAGAAAAAAAAACAGAGCAAAACAAAAATACAGAAAAACATTGGGCCAGACTTGTGTTTTACCTGTGCCTGCCCCATTAGTGAGTCTGCTTGTCTTCCTGTATCATTACTGAAGCACGTGGCACCACATCTACTGCTGTAGCTTACATAAAGTAGCTCAAGTTTACCTTCCTGCAGCACAAGCACAACAGAATTTATCCCTACAGGCATATTCTCAGAAACCCGTGTTCTGCTATTCTCCCAAGTCAACCAAATGATGGGTGGGACACAAAGGCGCTGTCAGAGAAAGATATATGAAAGATTTGCCACAAAAGAAAAAGAGACTACAGCTATCTGAGGCCATGCAGTAACAAGCTGTCATCGTTTTGCTCCATCATCCATCAATCACCTCTGTTCATGAGGCATAACAGCAACTGCCATTACAACAGTATTGTCACAGCATCAATGTCACTCAATTTGCTTGCAAATGTCTTGTTTTAGCTGCAGCACTTATGTTTGACAGATCTCCACTTTACCTTGGCATTTCTGCAGCAAGGGGGTACAGACTATTCCCTTGACATCATTTCTGAAAAGAAAATGCTACAAGCCACTGTATAACTTTTATTAAGCAACAAAAGCCAGAAAATGATGATGTTTCTAAAATTAAGTTTTAAAGACTATAAAAGTTAATTGGTAAAAAAGCATAAAAGTATATATATGTGACTATATTAAAACTATGGAGCTAACCTCAAGAGATGCTCTCAAACAAATGTTAAGATTCATTGTGCACTTACAATACAGAAATTCAGGAGGATCAGATATACAACATCCCCATGGCAATTAGACACTTTTAAAATCATTGTTCCTTCAGGTGCCAAAATACCTTTAGAAATTTAACTCATGGAACCTACAATTCTAGTTTTAACTCAGAAAGGACAAAAGGAGCTCTCAATAAATTCAGGATCATGTTTCAACACTTGAAAATTACCTGTAGACCGTATTTTTGGGAACATTTTTGAATTTAACATGGATATTGCAGAAACATGATCTGCATTGAAATTAACATCTCCTGCTAAGTGAACACTATGAAATAAAGGAGGAATAACATAGCGCGGCTTACTCCTGCCTATATATTTAACACTTACGCTTTGAAAAACAGAAGTTCTGATTTTGATTGCAGGTCAAAACAGGTTACATATAAAGTAGTTTAAATGAAGTTAATTACGTTACTTCAATCCTTCAGAGGGATTTCAATTTGAAGGACTCTTTCTATCATCTTCTGTTTTTTTCAAGCAATCACCAGCACATAAACCCTAGTAATTTAAAGGCATGTGCCAGCCTGCTCAGGTAATGTGTGTTTATGCATTTCTTAATTTTTTCTTTTAATAAGGACACTGATTTTGTGCGATTTCTTCCTTTGGGTTTTTAAAAATATTCAAGTGCTGAGAAAAATTTTAAAAGATGTAAAATCTGCTATTTCAGAACAAATTACTTAAACCACGAAGCATTCTCCACACGTATTTTTTTATTTCATGCATGCAGTATTCTTGGCTAAGTAATATTGCTCATGTGAATACTGCAATTTTGAAACTACTTTCCTAGTTTAAATGTTACTCACGTCCTATCCTTGTTTGACATTTGGAAGGCTACACTGTTACCAATAATAACACTCTCTATTAAGTTACTTGTTACCTAGAATAATGTTCTCTACTAAGCTACTGACCAAAAGCAAACAATAAACAAGATAGGTAAGATACAAAGCTTTTATGAAAATAATATGATTTTTTTTTAACATTATAACAGAGTGTAGAGCAACTGTATCTTTTCCCTGCACTTTTTAAATTAGGTATTAGCTTCAAAAACAGAATATGCTATTCAGCTTTTATAACTGCCGCCAAATGAAGACCAAATTCAAGCTGCACCAGATCAGAATCAACATTATAACTGCAACAGCAAAGAGCTAATATATTATTACCTTTCTTAGGGTCAATAACAAAGTTTCGTTTTTGATTCCCAGAGAGAATACTGTATGTCACACCATCTCCATCAGGGTCAATGGCATTAACTGTAGCAACTAATGTGTTTGGGACCGCATCTTCAGAAACAAAACTCCTGTAGCTGTTAAAAGAAATGAGTATGATATACTTATTTAGACAGGAAATAATATATACAGAACAGTGCTTTACACCACCTACTCACTATATGCACAAAGGGTACTGCAGAGATTTGTAATTTATTAATACAATTACACTGATAGGATGCTTCTGTTAACCAGTGAAATGTTTGCATTGATGATCTGTCCAACCAACCATGTCTTTCTGTTGTTACCTCTCACAGATTTCCGCTGCAAACTTTCAGCAGTACTGAAGCTCTGAAACTCAGATTTGCAACAAGATTTGCGCTAAATGCAGAATTTGCTTTTTTATTTTAATTAAAAAAAAAATGAGCTGCCTGATTCACAGAATCAAAGCAAACATTTGCCAAGTTAAAGCATTGCTCATCACAGCACATTTTCTGACACAAATTCTCAAAACGCTTCTTTGCACCAGCAGGACTAAGATGAGAATCAGATCTGGAGGATGTGTGTGCAACATCAGTTTTGCAAAAACCTCAAGTCCAGACACATCACTGACATAATAAGCTCTTAAGAGGCTCAGTTAGAATTAAACTTAGCTAGAGGTATTAAAGATAACAGGAAGGGATTCTACAGGTACATAGCAAATAAAAAACAGATTAGGGAGAATGTAGGCCCCCTCAGGAAGCTCTCGGGAGAACTGGCTACACAGGATTTGGAGAAGGCTGAGGTTCTGAATGACTTCTTTGCCTCAGTCTTCACTGGCAAATGCTCTGACCACACCACCCAAGTCTTGGAAGGCAGACGCAGGGACTGTGAGAATGAAGACCTTGTGCCTGCTGTAGGAGTGGATCTGGTTTGAGACCATCTTAAAAATCAGAACGTGCAAAAGTCCATGGGTCCTGATGATATCCATCCGTGGGTCCTGAAGGAGCTGGCGAATGAAGTTGCGAAGCCGCTGGCCATCATATTTGAGAAATCATGGCAGTCAGGTGAAGTTCCCGATGACTGGAAAAAGGGAAATATAACCCCCATTTTCAAGAAGGGGAAAATGGATGACCCAGGGAATTACAGACCAGTCAGTCTCATCTCTGTGCCTGGCAAAATCTTGGAGCAGATCCTCCTGGAAGGCATGCTAAGGCACATGAAAACCAACAAGGTGCTTGGTGACAGCCAGCATGGCTTCACTAAGGGGAAATCCTGCCTGACCAATTTGGTGGCCTTCTATGATGGGGCTACAGAACTGATGGACAGGGGTAGAGCAGTTGATGTCATCTACCTGGACTTGTGTAAAGCAGTTGACACTGTCCCACACGACATCCTTGTCTCTAAATTGGAGAGACATCAATTTGATGGATGGACCACTCAGGGGATAAAGAACTGGCTGGATGGAAGCATGCAAACAGTTGTGGTCAATGGCTCAATGTCCAGCTGGAGACCAGTAACGAGCGGTGTCCTTCAGGGATCGGTGTTGGGACCGGTCTTGTTCAACATCTTTGTCGCTGACATGGACAGTGGGATTGAGTGCGCCCTCAGCAAGTTTGCCGATGACACCAAGCTGTGTGGTTCGGTTGATACACTGGAGGGAAGGAATGCCATCCAGAGGGACCTTGACACGCTTGTGAGCTGGGCTGATGCCAACCTCATGAGGTTTAACCATGACAAGTGCAAGGTCCTACACCTGGGTCAGAGCAATCCCAGGCACAGCTGCAGGTTGGGCAAAGAAGAGATTCAGAGCAGCCCTGAGGAGAAGGACTTGGGGGTGTTGGTTGATGAGAAAATGAACATGAGCCAGCTTCAGTGTGCGCTCACAGCCCAGAAAGCCAACCGTATCCTGGGCTGCATCAAAAGGAGAGTGACCAGCAGGTCAAAGGAGGTGATCCTGCCCCTCTACTCTGCTCTCCTGAGACCTCACTTGGAGCACTGGGTACAGTTCTGGTGTCCTCAACATAAAAAGGACATGGAACTGTTGGAACAAGTCCAGAGGAGGCCACGAGGATGATCAGGGGACTGGAGCACCTCCTGTATGAAGACAGGCTGAAAAAGTTGGGCCTGTTGAGCCTGGAGAAGAGAAGGCTGCGTGGAGACCTCATAGCAGCCTTCCAGTATCTGAAGGGGGCCTATAGGGATGCTGGGGAGGGACTCTTCATTAGGGACTGTAGTGATAGACAAGGGGTAATGGGTTAAAACTTAAACAGGGGAAGTTTAGATTGGATATAAGGAGGAAATTCTTTCCTGTTAGGGTGGTGAGGCACTGGAATGGGTTGCCCAGGGAGGTTGTGCATGCTCCATCCCTGGTGGTGTTCAAGACCAGGTAGTGAGGTGGACTGCGAACTGGCTGAAGGAGAGAAGCCAGAGAGTTGTAGTCTATGGGGCAGAGTCTAGTTGGAGGCCTGTAACTAGTGGAGTGCCTCAAGGGTCAGTACTGGGACCGGTATTATTTAATATATTCATCAACGATTTAGATGAGGGAATTGAGTGTACTATCAGCGAGTTTGCTGATGACGCTAAGCTGGGAGGAGTGGCTGACACGCCAGAAGGCTGTGCTGCCATCCAGCGAGACCTGGACAGGCTGGAGAGTTGGGCAGGGAGTAACTTGATGAAATATAACAAGGGAAAGTGTAGAGTCCTGCATCTGGGCAGGAACAACCCCAGGTTCCAGTATAGGTTGGGGAACGACCTGTTAGAGAGCAGTGTAGGGGAGAGGGACCTGGGTGTCCTAGTGGACGACAGGATGACCATGAGCCAACGCTGTGCCCTTGTGGCCAAGAAGGCCAATGGCATCCTGGGGTGTATTAGAAGGGGGGTGGTTAGTAGGTCGAGAGAGGTCCTCCTTCCCCTCTACTCTGCCCTGGTGAGACCCCATCTGGAATATCGTGTCCAGTTCTGGGCCCCTCAGTTCAAGAAGGACAGGGACCTGCTGGAGAGAGTCCAGCGCAGGGCAACAAAGATGATTAAGGGAGTGGAGCATCTCCCTTATGAGGAAAGCCTGAGGGAGCTGGGTCTCTATAGTTTGGAGAAGAGGAGACTGAGGGGTGACCTTATAAGTGTCTATAAATATATAAAGGGGGAGTGTCACAAGGATGGAGCCAGGCTCTACTCGGTGGCAAACAATGATAGGACAAGGGGTAATGGGTACAAACTGGAACACAAGAGGTTCCACTTAAACTTGAGAAGAAACTTCTTCTCAGTGAGGGTGACGGAACACTGGAACAGGCTGCCCAGGGAGGTTGTGGAATCTCCTTCCCTGGAGACATTCAAAACCCACCTGGACACATTCCTGTGTAACATTATCTAGGTGTTCCTGCTCCGGCAGGGGGATTGGACTAGATGATCTTTCGAGGTCCCTTCCAATCTCTAGCATACTGTGATACTGTGATATTTATTATTTTATCTGACTGGATTGAGCACAGGTCAGACTAAAGCATACTAGAGACTGGTCCACAATAAATATGCCAAAGCTCAGCCATAAGAATGAACTACAGCTGGCTGTGTCCAAAGATACAGATAAAATACATATGAGCCGCTGGCTTCAGAGTTTTTATGGATCCACTCTCCATATGCTGAGAATAGAAAAATTTGAAGAAAATGGATGCACAGAAAACCTCCCCCTTGTTGTCTAGATATGTGTGTTTTCATCAAAACCTTTGCAGAAACAGCATTTTTCTTCTCCCAATTTAATATGCCATGAAGTAAGAGAAGTAAATTATTCTCGTTTAATTCAGTCACAACCCTCAGGACACTGTCTTAATTCTGCATCTGGAAAGCAACTGAACAGTAATTCTCATAGTTTTGAACATGAAATATAGGGACGGAAGAGTTCAAGTCATCAGAAGAGGTCTCTTAAACAGGGGAAAGTAAAAACTGACAAAATGATACACAGTGGTAGCCTTCAGCATTTCATAACTGAGATAAAGAGTAACCATGATGAAAAAAAGCTCACGGCAAGGAATCACAAGTTTATGCTGGACTGTAAATCTATTTAAACAAAGGGCTAGAAGGACAGCAGCAGATTCTTGATTTGTATTAGCCTGTCACACACCACTGCAGTAATTGCGAACCAGCCTCTCAACAGGACCTAATTTACAAGTCTTCATGATGAATCTATTTCACAGAAAACTTCAACTAAGTTCTGTCCATATTTCACCTTTGGGTTCAAGATCCTTTTCATAATGGGAAAGATAAAGCAAATTCAAAAGTCTGGTTAACCTGGTTAAACAAGAACTTGAGATAATTCAAATTCCAGGAGCTGAATTCAATTCCAATGCAGATCTATACATATATACAACACTTTCCCTGCTATTATAGCATAAGAAACAGAAAAGCTTCTTGTGAATGTTTGGTAATTTAAAATAATGTTCATTTTAATCATGTTCTTCTTTAAACATAAGGGCTGGCAGGGAGCTTTGTTTAAACTGTTTTCTGCTTCCAACTGCTTAAGAAATGTTTACAGCATCTTTAATACTATCACTCATTTCTGATTAAAAAACTAGAAACAGATCAAAGACTAACAGATAAATATTCAATGACCCTGAATATTAAAACAAACAAATAAACAAAAAATAGGCATAATCTGGAGAGTGAGAAACTTAATTGGGCTTAGTGTTTGAAAATGCATTGAGATCCAATGAGAATTTACAAAAGATCAATTTTTCCAAGCTGTATCTCCTAAGCAGTGTTCAGGAAAGAAAGGAAGGGACAAGATTTTGAAGCCATAGGTTCTCGTCACGCAAAGTAAGGACTGTCAGAAAGCTTTGATGTTCTGTTCACCTAAACCACAAGCTTAGCACCAATGAAATCTCTGCTGGGATTTTGTCCTGAGCAACTTCTAGCTTTAGTAAGTAGAAGACTGATGCAGAAGCTGACTGGGAATTCCACTACTAAGCCTCTAACAGGAATGCAAGTTTATAGTACTTATGACATTGCTCCAGACACTTCTGAGCCCTAATGAAGGAAGAAAAATCCTTACTGATGCTTTAGAAAGCGGAAGAGTGGAAAAGTAGTTTTTAGGTCACGGGACTAAGTGAAATCAAATGAACTCCACTCACTGACATTTATTTGCTGTTTTTATAATTCAGTGGTCATTTAGGATTCTGTCATCGAAACGTTTTTCTTTAACAATTATAAACCAGGGATGCAGTCTGTTGACTCTAAGCTTAAATTGAGTAATTAAAAGGCAAAATTCCACCATGTACTCTGGATGAAGGCTTAGGACAACACTGACTTGCCTGCTTTTTCTGCTCAATTTCCTTTGATGATGGTAGAGTCCCCTTGAAATGTATAATCTGAAAAGACTGCACCTCTTTCAGTACATATTGGAAAAAACTTAAAATGCAAGATCTGTTCAAAGAGACTGTCTACATACAACTTCTTCTATCTAGACAGACACGTAAGTCCTACTGTACACTGAAAGTATGCCTAAACTTTAAAATTAAGAACCACACTTTTTTTCTTTTCTGGAAGTAAGAGAGTCTCAGAGTCAAAAGATCAACCCACATCTGTCGGTCCAACTCTTAGATTTGATTGAACTGAAGCCAGTTACCATCCTGTAATGACTAGCCTTTTGACCAAAACATATAAAGCAACTGTAAAAGACAAAAATAACAGAGTTTTTAAGAATACATATTTACATTGCCTGGGAAAACTCAGGGGCTTCATCATTCACATTTGAAACATGGATCCTAACAGTCGCTGTCCCAGTCTTTGGCTCTTCTCCTTTATCTACAGCCATAATTATAAACTCATACAGATGGTTAGGTCGCTCATAGTCTAACCGTGTTGCTGGAAAAATGGTACCATGAGAAGTAATGCTGAAGTCTTGACTCAAAGTGTAATATAGCAATTCGGCATTCTCTTTTGAATCGCAGTCAGTGGCTGTCACTGTTAAGAGAGAAAGACATTGTGTAGATCAAAGTTTGTGACCTGGAATGTTAAGTACTATAACAAGAGAATTACTGTGCAGCATAAAACAGGAATAGCACTTGCCTTGGCATGTGGTGCTTGAAATAATTCATACAACTGTGCTATGCCTATGTTTTTTATTGAACTAACCCTTACTGGAAAATAAGTTGTTTTAAAAAAATAAAGTTAAGTCCCTGGTTGAATTCAGCTGCTAGATCTTGCCCTTGCTGGATTTAAAGAGCCCTGTACTACCAAGAACCTGTATCCACACAGAGATATATATTCTCATGTCCACCTACACTGTTGATTTAAGATCACTTGGACAGATCACACCCTGTGTGATTTAATATGAAATATTTATATATATTTTTCAACTGCCTCATGTCATGTGTTTGTCAGATCCTACCCATAACCTACAAAACTCTATGCTAAGAGAGCAGTTACCAGAATAGTAACTTACAGACTACTATTACTACAGGATAAATCACGAAGTAGAACAGTGGATGCTATAAAATCCTTTTTACTAGCAAACAGCGATTTTCCTGTAGTTTAATTCACACACACCCCCTCAAGATTTATAGAAAGGTTGTGTAAGGGTCGAACACTAATATCAGGCCCTTGTAGAACCACTTAGGTGACATACATTTTATTGCTAGGATCTGCCCATTTCTTTATAAACATTTTCAACATAAGATTTTTGCAGCTTGCAAAGCCAAAGTTCACCTAATTTACAAAGCATCATCATTTAAAGCTTAAGCTACTGGTTGCATTGGGAAGAAGCAAAGTCGTCTTCTTCAAGCACCTAAACAAAACCTCCCACAAACCAGTTAAACTACGCAAGAGGCTTTTAATGCAAAAAAGTAGTATATCCTACAGCAAGCTCACGTAGGACTCTTGAATTAAGATAGGCAGAGAAGGTGAGGTGATGTGTCCCTAATTTCTGATCAAACATCACTCTCTTCCTTCAAGAGAAGAAATGTTGCAAGATTGCTATTATAAACCTGCTGCTATAATCCTAACCCCAACTGAAGCCCTGTTACTTCAAAATCCCACAAAGATTTGCTTACTTTGCCGTCTGTCCCTCAAAATTATTTGGGCTGTAGCAGCAGTAAATAATCATGACCCAATTCTAAGTGGTGCCATTTGTCTTCAGAGAGTTGCAACTACCCATGCTGGGGCAGGCAATTTTGCCTTCTGACCTGAAGTCTAATTAGTGGGAGGAAAATGTCAATACTCATACTGAACATAACAAATCGTTTTAGAAGCACTAACCTTGTAGAAGTGCAGTTGTCATAGTAACTGTTTCAGGAACACCAGCCTTGCTGTAAATTGACTGATGAAATTCAGGGGCACAATCATTCACATCTGTGATTACAACCAAAACCTTAATAGAGAAAAGAGGAATGTTAAACAGCAAAGTGAATTGAGACAACAACTTTGTTGCTCTACAAATATCAGATGGAAGAACTTCCTGAAAACATCCTTGAGGTCTTCAGAAGCTATAGCACATAGGATAAGCCATTTTTCTTAGACTGCTCTAAGAAATGTTGAAATACTAGATTCCAAAATACTTCTAGTTGCCAAGTCCCAGTCCCTTGCAGCAACACTTTCCACCCACCCTTCATCTCCACTGATAATTTCCTGTTAATAATGTAAAAGAAGATGGACCTTCTGCTTTCCAAGCATCCTTTTTGCATTATCTTATCTTCTAACACCTCTGTAATTTGTAACACTAATGATTCTACTACCAAGCATATTACATTTTAGCATTATAAAACCAAGTTCTGAATTCAGTTACAGCATCATTCTGCTTTTAACATCTTTTAAAATGTTGTCTTATTCCTATGTCAAATATGTGTTCACAGTTACACTGCCTGCAATCCAAACAGTAAGGAGTGAGTTAAATTAGCCTTTATGGCAGCTCGTACTGTTACATTTGAGACTGTCAAAGGTCGGTTGAGGTATTCTGCACTACAGTGCAACAGGTAGACATACACAATCTGTTCTTACACAGGTTCTTATAAACAGAGAGTTGCTGTCTCTTAACTGATAAGGTTGTATCAGTGTAAAGCAGGCATACGTTAAACTATGTTTAGGCTAAATGTATTTGTAAAATCATTTCATAATCTTCAAGTCATATTCCACTACTCTTCATCCTGTAGTACCTAAAACGGTCAAGAAAAATGACCACTCTCTGGTGTGCTACAGCCACTGTTACACTGACACAGACACTGTTTCAGGGTCTCTGTGTCCTCATACTTGTTCCTAATAAGCCAGCCCCCTGTTCCCTCTGTAGCGTACATCTCATTTCCTGCAGCAGGAACAAACTGTTACATTGCATGCACTTCCCAGCTCTGTGAATCCTGGAATTCAAACATTATTTACTATACTTATAAATGTTTTTGCTGTCAAACAGCTTTCCAGAACACCATAAACCATCATCTTTTAATCTATGTGAGCTTTTATTACTTTCTCTGTGCACCTCATCAGAAACAAATCATTTACTGTTCTGCCTTTGTTTTAAATTGGAGTCAATATCTTCTTACAGACAAAGAGACTTTTAAAATGGACAACAGAATAGACAGCATGAACCGGGGCAACAGGAGCCCCTACTGAATCTGTACAGAAATCTGGAAAGGCTGAAGGAAAATGGTAATACATACAGACTGCCAGAAGTGAACACCTACCTCTGCTGCACTGCTGAACTGCTCATTTTCCTGTGCTCTGACCAAAAGAAGGTACTGGTGTTGGTCACTCTCATAATCCACACTCTGAGTTAAACTGATATCTCCTGTTGCCTGATCAATACTGAACAGACCACTGGGATTAGTCAGTAAACTGTAGCTCAGGGATTTCTTCTGATACGACACAGCAGTGACTGTAAGAAAGCTGTATTAAAGAAAATAAAAAAATTAAAAAGAACTCAAGCACAGAATACAACATACTGAAAAACAGGACAAAAATTATCCATATCAGAAATGATGGTGCAATCCTGCAGGTCTGATCACTGACAGCTGTACCTAAACACCAAACTCAAAACACCCAGTTACACAGTGAGGTTCACACATCATCTTGAGGTTCAACTGATAAAGATACGACTCTTGGAAGCAGAACACAATAAGGGTTTAACATGCAGGAACACAGGAGTTCATTTTTGCTGCAGCTGAGTTTGCCTACTCTAACTTTCCACTGCTACAATGCCAGTTTTCAGGCAGCAAACAAAAAGCTAAAGCAAGACGTGACAGATTCATTCTAATAATGGCATAGTAAGTTTGGTGTTGCAGTTATGCAGTCCCTAAAGCTTCATAAGGTAACTGCAAAAGGATAAAGTCACTAACAGTGTGCTTGTTACAGGTTATACAGGACATGTTTTTAGCTCGTCTCACACTATTTTTTTCTGCCAAAGTCCAATATGTTTGAAGTCAAGTGTGAAAAACACTTGCAGTGTGAAGTAGAAGTAATTTAAAAATAGAACAGAATACTAATTCCTTAAGTGTTTGTTGCCTTCATGCAGGTTTCTTAGGAAAAAGCATTCTGTCTCCCAGGTGAGACAACTACCTCTGACAACTACAATCCAGTGACAACTACAATCCAAAAGACAAAACTCTGTCTGAACACCTTTGTCCCCATTACATTTCCATGCTGCTGTCTTCTCATTTCCTTTGGGTGCACTACTGAAACAATGGAAATGGTTGTTGTCGGTCATTATCTCACTTTAGTCTTTTTCTGTATTTTCCTATTATATTGTTTCACAGTTTCAGCCAGCTGACGTGCTCCTGCTGGCAGGAATTATTCAGCCCTCCTTCTAACTCTCTAACTAACTAGCCTTCTAACTCTAACCCTGTCTGCATGTTCATGCCACTCTCCTCTCCCAACAGCACTAAAAGCCATGATGTGAACACGTTTAACAACCCAACTGAGAACTTTTTTTCTTTTCTTGGCTTGGTCTTTCACAGGATCAGCCTGCCCCTACAGATATCACATTAGCACTCATGGCAGTCCAAATGAACAGGAAGATTTGGTGATGCTCCTCTGCTCAGGAGCAGCCTTAAATCAGCCCACAGCTGTGAAATCCTAAATCCAGAAATCCAGTGCGTGACAGCAACTCTAATTTCCTGTGTCCTTGTTTCATTGGTCCTATTTAAATATGAGAATTTAAGGATTCTACATCTTGATCATTTCTAGTAAGATATATAAATTTCTACTCGCAGTATCTATTTATGATTCATAAATAAGATTGAGGCTTTGGGGAGACCAAACAGAAAATAAACTAGGAAACAATCTCACTGCATTATTTTTAACTGTTACTTACGATTTTCCTTGTGGCATACTTTCAGGAACATAAACAAAGTATGATATGTTAGTGAACTGGGGTGGTCGAAATCCAGCAATTACAGATACAGAAGCTGGAGACCCTCTGCTTCCAAGTTTATCTGCTGCTAGTACAGTCAGCAAATACTCCTTGTCCTTCACCAGTGGCAAACCCGTTGTTTTAATCCAGCCAGTGTCCTTCTCAACTTCAAATCTGTCTTCACCACCTAAAAGAAATAAATCCACAAGTTGCCGTCAGCAAGACAGTTTTATTTGATTAAAACTAGGAGGCAAATAGGGTATCGATTCCCTAATTGGTTTTGGCTTAGAATCAGCATGCACACAAAAACTCAGAAGTTTGTTTAGAACTTTGAAATCAGGTATCAGTAATCACATTCATGAGTGCATTTCTAAGTTGCATTTTACTTCTCTGCACAATTATTACTCTTCTTTATCCTCCAACACTTTGCTGTTGTTTGACCCTAAGTATCCCTTACCAGAAAATATCCTGCTAGATCCCTGGCCAAGAACAAAATCACCTTTGCAGTGGTATTGATACTCCCCTTCTGCTTACACAGTTTTGAGCTATTCTTTAAGAGCCAAGTTATTAACAGGTCTGTTAGCTATGCAAAGCTAAGGCACAACCCAGTCCCTTAAAAATTTGTTAGAGAAGGAACATTAGCTCTCTCCCCACAACAAACCATGCTCCACATACTGCCCTATCTCATAAAAATGCAGTCAGTCCAGCAGAGCAGTGCTGACCACTGCTGCCATTGTCACCCCTTTGCCAAAGCCCTGAGGAGGACTGACTGCTCCAACCCCCACCACCCCCCAGGTGACATTCTGGACGGGAACTCCACTTCGAAAGGAGAACACCCTTCAAACCTGGCAAGTCTGTCCACGCCCTCGATAAAAGCTGATCTTTCTCACACACAGAGCTGAAGGCTTATGAACCTTTTACAGGAGGAAGGGAAGATTTCTCACTAATGAAACTGAGGCTAAAACCCAAAGAAGTCACAAGAGTGAAGCCACACAGGGACTGGGAGGGTTAAAATTTACCGTCCAAGAGAATATATTCTACAGCTCCATGGATCCCTTCATCTCCATCCAGAGCAAGCAGCTTGTATACCTCAGTACCTCCCGCAGCTTCAGGGGAAACCACAGCCAGGAACGGGAAGGGCTCCATGGCCCAGTTGGGTACGTTGTCGTTTACATCCATCACGGTAAGTGACAAGTTCTCCAAGTACCAATCCTTCCCTAATAGTCACAGAAAAACAAAGACATATTTAGACAGCTACTTAACGACACTCAGAGTAACAGAAACATGTACAGGTTCCTGACTGTACATTGTCTGCAATACTGTACAATGGCTACAGCAGCTCTGAACTGTGGAAATTAAATATCTGTTGCCAAAAAATTCTAACCAGTCTACCCTAACTAGGGATTTTCCTGGTTGGGAAGCTCCCAGAAATCCTAATATGGTTTTCACTTGTATTAAATATTAAATGCTATTAAAAATAAATAACTAAACAAAACCCCAGAAACAAACCACCACAGAAAGGAACCATCCAAATTCTCAAAAAATGGACAACAGAAGATCTTTCAAAATTGAGGGAAGAGTGTTTATCTCTGCTATTATTAAATTAACCAGTGAAGACAGCCAAGCTCCTAAACAAATAGTAAGTATGAGGCACGTATTACTGAAAACGTAGCAGAAAGTAAAAATGTCAGACTGAAGAAACTGCTCCAAAATCTCCAGGAAGGGAGGTAAGCATTCCTGATAAAGGAGGAAGAAGTGGGAAAACATCCTGATTGAAACAAGTTCCTGAACACAAGACCAAAAGGTAGGATTAAAATCTTCATGTTCCTAAGGAAGCAAAGTGATACAGAAGACAGAAACCTATTTTCTCCTTTTTTTCAACTGAAAAAAAAAAAAAATGCTTCCTTCAACCACATATAGCTAGCTCACATTTTGAAACAACTTAGCTGGGGTAACAACACTGAGACAAAGGTGGTATTTTTTGTAACTGATAAGTATAACCAGTAACATCAGGGAGCACAGTATAAATATAAAAGGCCGAGAGAATTGGGTTTGTTCAGTCTGAAGAAGAGTCAGGGAGACCTTAGGGCAGCTCCCAGTGCCTAGTGGGGCCAACAAGAAAGCTGGAGAGGGGCTCTTTACAAGGGCTTGTAGTGACAGGACAAGCGGGAATGACTTTAAACTGACAGAGGGGAGATTGAGATGAGACATTAGGAAGAAATTCTTTACAACGAGGGTGCTGAGGTGCTGGCACAGGGTGCCCAGAGAAGCTGTGGCTGCCTCATCCCTGGCAGTGTTCAAGGCCAGGTTGGACACAGGGGCTTGGAGCAAGCTGCTCTAGTGGAAGGTGTCCCTGCCCATGGCAGGGGGCTGGAACTGGATGAGCTTTAAGGTTCCTTCCAACCCAACCCAGTCTGGGATTCTATGAACTTAGGCCTTTTGGCCAGCTTGGCTCCAGGTGGGCTGGCACTGAACTTGTAAAACGTTTTGCTACAGAAGCCAACTTGAGTGCTCCTGCAGTCCATCTTGAATGCCTTTAACTCCAGAAGAGTGGTGTATCCGCACCCTGTCTGACTCCGAAAGAGTACAACTGGGCTGACATGGCACTATGCCCCAGCTTATAAGCCTGGGAAGGTGAAAGGGAATGTGGTCTGGGTAAAAACAGCTGTCTATATTTACAACACAATTTATCCACAAGTTTAATAATGGATGTAAAGTCAGAATTTTGAAAGTTGATGGTGTTAACAATTGATTTCAGTTATTACTATACATGAAAATGCATAAACGCACTTATTTTCAAAACAGCTTTACAGGAACTGAAACACCATACAAAGAACTAAACTAAAATTATCAGATTTAATCTAATTAATAATACAAAGACCTTAGCATTTAAGATTCTAAACATAAAGCGCTGCCAAAATGTCTGATCTTGTAGTTGTTATCTTGCTAGGGAGGGATATTCCCCCAGGAAGGTGTGCCACCTAGCAGCTGTGCTCTCCCTCCCTCTCTACTTCCTTAATGGACATCCCTCTTCAAAAAACATCCCTGTTCCAAATTTTGTGAACATTTATTGACCTTATCCCTCCGTTCCACAGAAGTATTAATATATCTTTCACACCAGCTTCTGGCAAGCTTCAGCTTTTCACACTTTGGATCCCCTGTCTGATGGCAAGTGGCATATTTAGTACACTGAATTGTAATCTGCAATCTATAAACAACCAGTAAGTGGATTGTGGTAAAGAAAACTTCTTGGTGCTATGATTAACAGAGGCAAATGTAAGTTTCTTACTGAGACTTAACCCATCATGACCTTTGAGTGCAAGACAATTCTGTTAATAGAGAATCAGCCAAGATAATCACAGAAGTTCTTCCTAAACTGGTAAAACTGTATTCATTCATCTGAATTTTAGAACTGTAACTGTAAGTGCATCACTTTTTCTTCTTCTCTAAAGAGCAACAGAAAGTGTATTGACAGTAACTTGTTAAATCCAAATTGATTTCTGTATAACTATATCCTGTAATCAGAATTTAATGTCCCAGGGAATATAATACTAGTTTAAGATAACACATGTGAGAAACTGGTCACTACAGCAAAATCAAACTTCTAATTTATCAAACAGTAAATCACAGAAGCTAACAGTTTCCTGAAAAAGAACCTTAAAAACACCTCGCACCACTGCAGAACACAGAGATGTACAACATGCATTTTTATATTTTCGTGGAAAAATTCTCAGCTACCACATACATCCCAGTTTTACAAAGTGTTCTGAACTCTAACTGAGATGACTGGTGTGTGCTACATACTTCACTTCTGCAGCCAGGAGTGCTGGGAGGCCTGCTGTGAGGATGCTCAATTTGGCTTCTCTAGCTAAATGTTCCTTTCAACATTGCATGTGAAGCCAAAGGTTCCAAAGATAAACTCAAATTTCCTCATCACAATAAAAATGACTGATATTGAGATCAGAGTATAGTAGCCTAAACTGCTACCGCTCTGCCCCTGTAGTCACCCAGGTATAATTAATTTCCTTCAGCATTTAGACAGACTCTGTGAAAGCAGCTACCTGCTTTCTCCTCTCTATAACACAAAACAAGCCAGATGGAGCACCCAAAAAACCATCACAGAATCATAGAATAGTTAGGGTTGGAAAGGGCCTTAAGATCATCAAGTTCCAGCCCCCCTGCCACGGGCAGGGACACCTCACACTAAACCATGTCAGCCAAAGCTCTGTCCAACCTGGCCTTGAACACTGCCAGGGATGGAGCATTAACAACCTCCCTGGGCAACCTGGGCAAGCCTCACCACCCTAACAGTAAAGAACTTCCTCCTTACAGCCAATCTAAACTTCCCCTGTTTAAGTTTGAACCCATTACCCCTTGTCCTATCACTACAGTCCCTAATGAAGAGTCCCTCCCCCGACATCCTGATGCAAAAAGCAGTGATGTAAATCATGATGTAAAAAGTAGCAGCATGAATATTATTTCGCACTACCACACTAAGTAGAACCAGATGTGCTTCAAAGAGATGTGTTTCATGCCAGAATGTGTGTTCTTACAGTTCCAGGGCAACTAGTTCAAGACACCTGAAGAAACTGCAGAGGAGGAAACTTGTTAGATGTTGATCTGAGTCTGAGGTAGAAATACACACAAAGATGTCCAAAAAAGAATATGAGCAAAAGGGAGAAGTTAGTGTCAAAATTGTCTGTCTCCTGAAAAGAACAGGTCTTGTAGAACCTGTCACAAGTTTGCAAATACTCAATAATAGCTTAGTTTGCCTGGGCATACTGCAGCCTTAAAATAACAAGCACTAACTTAGAAACCAAGTTAAGAACCTTAGAAAATCTGCCCCTGTAATAGCAAGATCTATCGAGGATCTGAACGCCACATTGGTAACCCTGCCACGAGCAGAAAGGTTACTCGTCTTTGCCTCTCTGGAATCTGGAAATCAGTATCCCAATCGCTCCATGAACCCATGCAGTTTCGCATTCTGCTGAAGTTTTTAACATGCCTGAATTCCTCTACCAAAAAGTAAGTCACAATTGAAGAATAATTGATTTTTATTGAACAAGTAATAACAAACCTGGATACAAATTCCACTCTTGCACTTACTGACTGTCAGTTTACTGAACATTAATATGCTGGTATTTAGTACCTAATTATAACATTCTGCTTGTAAGAAAACTGTGGAGA